AGTGGCGTTGTTGTAAAAATTATATCAATTATTAGAAGAGACTTTGAGCAACAGGTTAAGTAATGACACATCGGAGGGTTATTTCATATTAAAATTGCTTCCTAGGAAAACAAAATTTGTTAGAGAACAATCAATTTCAATTACAATTTTCCAAGCTTCATAAATCAACTGTTATATAAGTTTATGACCATTGCATATCATTAGTAATAAATACTAGGAATCCGAATGCTCATTTATATTACTACTTTATCTGATAAAGTGTGACATGTCCTTGAATGTTTGACAACGAAATATTCGATTTATGATGAGCCTACATCGTTAGACCTTGACCACAATCGATGTAATAATGGCTTTTGTTTATAAAACGTACATATACATACATACATTTGCTCCCTTTATTTTGGCCTGTAATCAGTTCTAGAATATCTCAAGTAGTCCATATAAATGCTATTGCCAAAAAATCCATTTAGGAATCAAACGAAAAATATCGAAAATCGATTTTTAAGCTTTTAATTACGTCCAGTTTGGGGGGAACTTAACCACATTTCTGAAATATTTTATCAGTAGGGTGATCTCATTCTAAGGAAATGATTTTTACTCTATAGATAACAATAAAGGTCACTTAAGCAGGGGGCTTAAGTTTATTGGTCAAATATTTTAAGGCGTAAAAAATTCCAACACTAAGCAGAGATTTAATATTTATGGTAGTTTTTTATTTAACAGGGGGAAGTTAGGCACGTTCAAAGTTCGCTAATGGGCTAAAAAATAATCTTTCTTTGCAATCATTTTTTGTTTGTATCTCCTAGATAAACATCAAAGTCGGTCTGCATTATATATCTTATTTTTACTATAAGTAAACTTAAAGATTTCTATATACGTTTTATGACTGATTAAAAGATTTATTTTAAATCATTGAAAACTAAGTTTAGTTTAAAGCTTAATATTTATGAATTGATTGTTATTAGAAACTATTTTACGTTTGTTTTCGGATGTTGAACTTGCTTAAACCTAAAAAAACCAGAAACTTCCAATAACACTTCCTGTTTTCACCACCAAAAATTTAAGCCCCGATGGGGTGAATCCAAAAGCGTTATCTCCTCGCCTTGTTTTGCCCCCTAATCATATATATATAAGTATGTACATAAGTATATATACATAAGAAAATGAAACCCTCAACTGACTGATTTCAATGCCATTTTTGATGGAAGTTTTATTTTTGGGTATTCAACCCATCAAAGTAACTTGTCAGTTTGTCAGTAAAACCACGTCCGAGATTCAGTCTGAAAATTTGTCGCAACCGCAAAAGGATTTTCTCTTATTTCTGATTTTATTTTTGTTTTCGTACATTTACATGTATGTAAATCTCATTTTATGCAAATGAACAGAAAAAATATTGGCCAAAAGGGTCTGCACATGACAGAGCACCTACCACAATTTTCTTGAAATGTGGTTAAGGGGGTGAAAAAGGAAAGGGGGTTAAGTCTGTATTTCCTGTTTAATGTCCCTTAAACTGAGCAAAATTGCCAAATTGCAAAATTGTGTCAAGCTGAATTAGGCTTTGGATCAAGAAAGCTATGTGGGTAGTAAATATAATGCTTAAAAGTTGCAAAAATCTTAAAAATGTTAGTATCTGTAAAATACAACGATTTAGTGATGCTGCTTAAATGCACTTTAGAAGAGCAGCTATAAATATGCCCTTCGTTATGTAAACTTAACTTGCAAAAAAAAACAAGTCGTGCCGGCAAATAAACATTGTTCACCCGACACTTGACTGCATAATGTCAATGCAAATTAAAAACAGTAATTAAATACAAACAATGAAAATGTTTTGTCACTATCTCCTTACTAGTTTTTAAACTGATAAAAATGATAAAATTGTTGACCACCTGCGGCTGCATTTGTAATGAAAGTTAAAGGGACTGAATTATTACTTAGTTTAGCATTGCCAGAATTTCCATAAACTTTTATATATATGGTAAAATAAATCTTTATCGATATATTTTATTTTAATTTGTTTTGGCCAGCCAGATGCACTTTTTCGGGTTTCGTTTTCGGCCAAGTTAGCGGCTATGGTCCCCAAGTTTTCATTCTGGATAAACGCCGCCTTTAACCGGTTCGAGTGGCTTTCGGCCAGTTTGCTCTCTCTCCCTCTCGCTGTTGCATTTTTCATAAATCAATTGGCTTTGATTTGTTTATAAATAATTTTGCCCTGCAATTGCAATGGCGATTTGTACATTCTCTTGTGGCGCAGCTTATCGATTAGCTGTCTGTCTCTCCAAAAGCTTAACCCCAAAATGGGTTTGGGGTCGAAGTTCAGGAACCTGTACAAACAAACAAACAAAGTTGACATTAATGGCTGGCAGTGACGGGTGGAAAATACGTTTATTTAACGATCCTTGGCCAGAAAGTTAATAAGTGGAAAGAAATAGATTTTGGTTTATGTTTTTTTTTAAAAAAAAAACAAAAAAACGAAATGAAACACTTTTTTAAGTGCATTAATTTATTTTCTTTTTATTTTATATTTTTTGATTCATATTTCGCTAAAAAGCGCTGCTAGTTTTGGCGGGGACAGAGAAACATTTTCTTGGTGGCTGGCCAAAATGTACATCAGGCATATGCATATTATATATATTCCCAATTGGTTATTTGCACAGATATACTATATAGTTCGTTTGTCGTAATCGTTTGACCTTTAAAATATAAATGATTTCCGCTGGCTAAACCTGAACTTTGGCCATGAAAGACCCAAAATCCTTGCCTCAAATATATACAGTTTATATCGAAGAATTAGTCGCCCCCTCCACAAAAAAACGGGCCAAAATAAACATAAGTTTATGGAGTGAGTAGATGTTGGTAAGGGGTTCCGAGAGGGGCAGCCAATCCAATTCACGTCTATAGCTGAAGGTGTGAGGAGGAGAACGTCTCTGTAAACTCAAATTAAATATTAACACTTTTCTGGGATGTTTGGTGGCCGGCGATGTGCGAAGAAATCAATTAAATTGTGGCGCAATTCGTTCAAGCTCAAGGACTTGTGTCTATAAAAGTTGGATTTTCTATCTAGATGAAGATTTTTTACAGTGACCAGAGAACAATGAAAGTTTTCTAGCTGATGCTGCAGAAGTTTTATTCCACTTTTTGGAATAGGAAGTGAAGCAAGTCAAGTTTAGTTTTTCCTGTAACAGAAAACTTTAGTTTCCCCTTAGGTGTCATAAAGTTATGAGTTTCATAGATAAAATATAAGAAGTTATGATGAATGGAAAATGTTAAACTCTTTGAAAAATGAAAAGTTTGATAACAAAATGAGAAACACAATCCACTGTTCCTCTGTTAAGTTGGTAATTAAATCAAACCAATGCCACTTGAATTTGATTCAGACAGATTTTGCGGCCTGTTGGTTAACCTTTCGCTTAAAGTCGGTTAGTTGCTCAGCTGTTAACGGCTTGTAATCAAAATCACTGAACTTGAAACTCTGAGGGCGCTAATCTAATCACCACTTTGCGCCGAATTGGATTTGTGGGAAAAGCCTGGGAAATTCCACACCAAGAACAATTGAATATGTGAGATTGAGAGATGGACAGAAAGAAAACCCTAAATTGCCCATCAATTTGATGTAATGAGAAGGGCAACACTTGCTTAGAAAGACAGCGAAATTGTCCATAAAAACAGATTCAATTCAGACAATTACAGGAATCTACTAGTACATCGCCCTGCAGTTTATCAGCATCTCGGAAAAGGAAGCTCAATTGATAATCTTTATCACCCGCACTCGATTGATAAGCTCAAGCTACTGCTGCTAATAAAATAAAATTTTCGTCAATAATACAAATCAGATCTTATCGAAGAGTCGACCAACTGGCGTTGCCTCCACTTACCAGTATATATATTTGTTTACCCAGCTTTATGGCCATTATTGACAATTGGTATTAACTCGCTAATTTCACATGGCGCTAAGTGCACTGGATCGATCCAGTTCGAAAAGCCAATATTGTCTGTATGAATGCCTGATAATTTTTGATTAAATTTATAAACAAACGCAAACTGCAAAGCCACTTTACCAAGTGGCCAAACAATGGTGCTTGATTTTAACTGGATTTATTGCAAATAGATTGCAAATTAACATTGGAAATAAACAGGATGAATGATTTCAGATTGGGTTGGAGGAATCTATTAAATCATTCACAATATTTATCATTATTTTAGCATTAACATAAAAAATGATGATATATTTTGCATCTTAAAAGTAACTTTCATATAATTTTAAGTCATCTTATCAACTTGAAAATAAACATTGGAAATATGGTAGGGAGGTTTCTTTCTTCTTTCTTATTTTGGATGAATGATTTGGGATTGGGTTGAGGGAATATACGAAATCATTCACATAATAAAAATATATTATTATAAAATAAGATATTAATAGATACATGATTTCAACTTATCTTTTATATCTTAAAACTAACTTTCATATCATTCCAAATCACTCTAAGTTTCAATACCATATCCTTACCCGTTATGAATGATTATGAATATAATAAACGGTAATCCGCACCCACTTAAGTCTGGATTTTTATAGTAAATCACGTGCCACTGGGACTCGAAAATGCGATTTGATTTTAGCACATTTTTATTTGCAATTGGCCACGAAAGAGAATGCGCCAGCAAATCAAAGAGAGTTAACCAGAAAACCCGATGGGTCCGATGGGTGGTTTAAGAATAAATATAAATGTGCGATTTTATGAGGTATAAATGGCTATTGGCCAGAAGGCTTCATGGTTAGTGAAATTCGTGGGTTTTAACCAGTTTCGATTGGTTATTGCGGCAGGTCGGTCGATCTCATTCCCAGTGATAATAAACAAAAAATCTCAGTTACCAGTTGCTAATATCTATTTACTCTCTCTCCTTGCAGTTAACAAAAAACAAGAACTAACAACCATAACTAAGAAGGTAAACTGGCTAAGTAGAAGGACATTATAGCATGCCAGGATCAAGAAAGTAAGAAGTAAAAATCAAACAATGAGCAATCGCACGGAGCAGGATTATGACAGTGCCACGCCGGCACTGCAACAACAAATGAATCTGGCCCGAAGAGCCTGCTGGAGGAGGCACAAATCCTTCAGCCACGACATCATCCCTCCCGATGCAGTTAGTCGCCTGGAGTTAGCTAATCCCCAGATTGCGAATCAAATCGATGCCGAAGCAACACCACACCCACCACCACCACCGACGGATGAAACCAAAACAAGAATCGAACCACAAAATGTAACCACAACAAGGAGCACAACCTGCACATCCGACTGGCGAGGGATTTTCAGCAAAAGGATGCTGCTCATCTGCGCCTTAATCCTGTTCCTTGGAATCGTTCAGGGCCGGCCAAATACTAGTGCTGTGGGAGTGGCCAGCAAGGATATTGCCGATGCGGTCACCCAGCTAAATGTGAGTATGGCTAAATCTGAAATCTGAAATCGAATTGAAGGGCCATTAAGCCTGGCGTAATACCCGCACATCCGGTGTGTAAGCTCTTTAGGTAGATTGCAATTACGGTGAAGCGGGGGGTTTAGTTAGTACAGGTAGAGGTTACAGGTTAAACAGTGTGGATATGTGCTTAGTTATACTTTTTATGTGAAATTTTAGTGAGAAAAAACAATCGAAGAAAAATATCCATCCATCCGTAAACTATTGATAAACTGTTATACCCAATAACCTTTTTTTAGAAAAAACTTCTAACTTTTTATTTTAAAAACGTTTTTCCTAGTTTTAAGATAACTTAAACTGCTAGTCTCTTGTCTGTATTTGAATTTGAAAAGCGTTCTAGGGGGTCATAAACTAAACTTAATTGTTGTAATTTGTGATGAGTTATCTAGTAGTTTATATGGGAAACTTTAGGATATAACTTAAGATAGGAAGTGAACGTTTAGTGACTGCAACATTAGTGCAAATTATCTATATTTTTCCAATACTTTCTTGGATTTATCTACAATTTATGAGTTATTAAAATGCACATCAAAAGTGACAAGCCATGGTCAAAGTTATCTAAAAAGCAGTCACATGATTTCTTATCATGGTACTTCTAAAAGTTAAACTATTTAATTCCCATCACACATACATATTTTTATAAATATCTACAAAGAAAGTTCTAATAATAGATATCATTAAACTTGTATACAAAACCAATTAGATATGTTAGGAAGCCCCAATTAATTAACAATGATTTGACGTCACTTCGAAAAAGGCCTCAAAGTGCGCACAAAACTGCTTTCTAGATTTCTTGACTTTGTAAACAACAACTGATTAACCCCAATACGCAATTTAATATTCAGCCAGTTACCGCTTACCTCACTGACCTAGATCAACATTTCAGCCAGAACTTATTATGTTTAGGAATTGGAAACGCTGACTGACGACTCAATCGGCAGAAACCTAAAAAAAATGAAAACAAAAACCTGACACTTTCGTGTTTGTCAGTGCGTCATTAACCGGAAAAATGATTGTAATTTTCAATGGCGTGTTTCCCAACTCGGAACCTTCCCCGCCCCCTTCACATACCCAACCCACTAGGTTCTGGCTTTTATTTTCCACAGTTTACACGCCCATGTAAATATTTGATGTTTGCCTTTGGTGGGTATTGGAAAATTTACTTGCTCTGGTCCATTTATCAATTTTCTGCACAGTGTTTGCCAATTATAAAACCGCTAATGCCAGAATTATTTCCCTCTTCCTTCCTGCCTTTTAAAACCAGCTGGCCCAGACATCGCCCGTGGATGCTGTTGGCCTGGATCCAACACCGCCGGTGAGGTTGCCACGTGCCGATCCATTGAAATCCAGCGACCAGGATGAGGAAAGCGGCGCCGCCGGCGGCGAGGGTCACAAAATGGAAAGGTATCCTCTCTCTAGTGTGGATTTCGCTAGGGTAAAGACGCCGTTCATCATTGGAATCTGGATTCTGTCGGCCAGCATTGCTAAAATAGGTGAGTAAGAATGTTTACCCTTTGAAATATTTAACTTTAAGTCAGGGAAAAACTTAACCCAATTAGCAAAAATATGGCAAAACTGAATGCATAATCAGCTGAAAATGTGGTTTTTCCTGAACAGCCACCAATCCTTTACCTGAAGGAAGGAAAAACCACAGTGTCTGGCTGTCCTGGGCGTGGGTTTCTTCTATTATATTTTCCTTCGTCTGTTGCCAGGCAAAATCAATATGGTTTATGTAATTCCTGCGACTACGACGACGACTACGACGAACGCCATCATGCAGATTTGCGTCAAGTCGGCGACGTAACCAAACGTGTGGGCCGTGTGGGTGTGAATCCTGGCCGAAGGACATTGCATAAGTCATACGATGGCTGTGTGCAACAAGCAGCAGCAGCAGGCCTGTATGTTGGGGCCTTGACCCTGCCCTCCGAGCAACAATTGGGCCCAAAAGGCGTTGGCATTAATCATTTACTTTGATTCTCTCCTGGCCACTCTCGACCCTCTCGAGACTTCATTACCAAGGTTTTCTAGTTTTTTGGGTTTATATTTATGTTCGCGGCCCCAATGTCGGCAATTTGCCAACTGCCGCCAGACAGGTTTATCTGGTAGCCCTGTGCCCAGTAACCTTGACTGCAGGCGAGAGAAAATCCATTTTCCTTTATCAAGGACGCTGGCAGGATTTTTTTCTGTTTCTGTTTCCATTTCAATTTCTATTTTTGAGTGGGCTCTGGGCGTAGGTTGGTAGGAATTTTCAGCTGCAATTGAGTTAGAAGAGAGCCCCAAAAATATGTAGGCGAAAAATGATTGCGAATGCCATTTGGCCAGAAACAAACTAGTGGGAAGGTCGATTGTAAAATGAGAGGCTTGGCACTTAACGAGGAAATAAACTTGAGTGTTTACGGCGAGATAAGAATAAGAAGGTTTTTGGGAACTGGCCTTAAATTTTGATAAGTTTTAAGGGCTATTAAAGGTTAATAAGAAGTTAATAAAGTTTTTGGTTAATTGAAATTACTTGACAAAATATTACTAATTCACAGAGGAAGAGAGGGAAAGTTTTCTTCTTTAAAAAGTTTAAACTTAATACAATACATAAATTCGATAAACTTCCTTTCAGCTTCTTAATTAAATACCAAAGCCCCAAAAATGCAAATTGAGTTCTTAAATTTGTTCTTGAATTCCCCACCATTTTTGCTTTGTTTTCCAAGCATAATTATCCTTTATTTCCATGTCCTTGAACCCAAAATATTTTCCCAAAACAGTACCAAAGGCAATAAGGCATAATCAAAAGGGGAAACAAAAGGGGCTAACAAAGGGCAAAGGGTATAAACTAGAGAGGGTTCACTATCAAAAGGAAAACCACCCGAAAATTGCATGCAAATTTGCCATCATTTCCCTCGACTTACGAATATTTTTGTTTTTATGGCTGTTTTTTTCACAATTAATGGAAATATTTCAGCAATTGCGTTGCAAGAATATTTTGTAAACATTTTGTAATACATTTTATATCAAAATTGAATAAAAATTTTACTTTTCAGGTTTCCATATGACGCCCAAGCTGCATCTAATATTTCCGGAGTCGTGTCTGCTGATTGTCGTGGGCGTTGTCATTGGGGTGGTGCTCTATTTTTGCACCGATGTTGCCGTCTCCCCGCTAACACCGAACACGTTCTTCTTCTATATGCTGCCACCGATTATCCTGGACGCCGGATACTTTATGCCCAATCGATTGTTCTTCGACAACCTGGGCACCATCCTGCTAATGGCAGTGGTCGGTACCATCTTCAACATAGCCACCATCGGTGAGTCTAGTAACCCGAGATGGATTCGATTTTAGTCCTTGGGGGTGCTGTCGTTTAGTTGATGGTTAAGTAGTTAAGTAAACAAAGGTGGTCCACTGGGGTAATCCCATCCATCTATGTCCATCAGTTGGAAAATGGTCAATGGGAGTCGTTTTGAGTCCTCGATTTGTGGGAGGTCATTGTGTTTGTTTGTTTAGGTTTGGGGTTAGCTCAGGAGTGAACTTAACTTAGTTTATTAAAGGCAAACAATGAGTCAATGTTAAGTTAGTCTTTCTTTATAAGAGATTTTGGTTTAATAAGCTTAATATATATAGAGTTTATATCATTAGATTGAAAGTTAGAAGTTAAGCTCTTGACTTTATCATATCTTCTCACACTTTTCCTATTGATTTAGTCACCTTCTTTTCCTTTATTGACTTTGCCACTTCCTGGAGTGCAACTTAAGCTTAACTATTGACAATTTTTAATTTAATTTGAAGTACTTAGCTGCAGTCTAAATTAAACAAACAGCACTTGTTAAATGATTGACAATCACAATAGGTGTCAGCGACGGCAGCAATTAGACACCTGATGATACAGATGAGTAAGCACACACACCCGCTGAATCGTTCGGAAATGCCGCCTTTTTTTTATGAGCTATCCACTGAAAAGAAAACTACAATGCTTTGTTTTCAATTCCAATAAATTAGGCGACACGCGAGGGGCGTGCCACTGGCCGCTTAGATGTGATTTACACAGAGTGTGGCAAAACATGCGATTGTTGTACATTGAGATGCTGCCACAGCAGATGTTGAAGTGTGATGAGAGAGGGGAAAGGGGTTAGTTAGATGAATGACCGAAACCGCAAAACGGAGAGCGGGATATACGCTCGAGTTGCCACAAGCTGTTGCCCCTCTCCCTACAGCCAGACTTTGCCAATTACTTATGCTTAACAAATTGGATTACATATCACAATGAGCGGACATTTCTGTTGACTTATCTCTCGCGATTCATTTGGAAAAGTGGAAATTCCATTTCCATTACTCATTCAAGGGCTATTATATAGAGATAAATCTCTTATATAAGTTTTAGATAGCTAACAAGGCTGTATAGAAAAGTTAATTGCCGTTTTCTGGGTTGTTTTTTAATTAATAAACATATCGTTGGAATGAAATTGTGAAGGAAATTAAGGGCTAAACTGTTTCTTAAGTTAGATGGTTATTTTGTTTACTTTTAACATTAAGAAATGTATAAAGATGTACTTACTCATACTTAATCAAAGAATAAATAATTGAAGGAAGCTATTTCCATGCCACCAAAGGCATCATTAAAAAGCCTTACTAGTGCCACAAATTTCTGCTTATTGAAGAGCTCTACAAGCTAAATTTCATTGCAAACATTCAATTTGCGTCTTTGCAAATTCAATTATTATTGGAGGAAGGAACACGCTTATCAATTGACTTAAGTGACTTTCAGATGCATTTCAAGTTGCACAAACAACAAGCTGCAGCAATGCCAATGCCACATAGACGGTCATCGATTGGCCAGTATCTAATTAAGTCTTAGGAGTAGTCTGGGCAACTGATGGCTTGGAAATATATCACATATTATCTACCTATATATCCTTTGATTTTATTTTTCATACCAATTTCTCCCTCCCTTTAAAGGTGGCTCGTTGTATGCCTGCGGCAAGATGGGAATTTATGGTGAAAGCGAGACTCCTGGTCTGATGGATGTATTCCTTTTTGCCTCCCTAATATCCGCCGTGGATCCGGTGGCTGTTTTGGCCGTATTCGAGGAGATACACGTCAACGAGATCCTGTACATTGTTGTCTTTGGCGAGTCCTTGCTGAACGATGCCGTTACGGTAAGATGGGTTTTATTGATTGTGGGGTGGGTTGGACAATTAAGTCAACAAGTGCTCGACATGGTTAACTGAGTTTGAGTATTGCTTCCTCTCCCCTTCTTTAGGTTGTGATGTACCACATGATGGAGTCCTACAATGAGATTGGCTTGGACAAAATCATTGCCCAGGACATAGCCAGCGGTGTGGGTTCCTTCTTCGTGGTTGCTTTGGGTGGCACTGCCATAGGTGAGTGCTGACTTTATTACCTTTACTAAGGTATTAAATTTGAAATTTATTTCATATTTACAGGCATCATCTGGGGCTTCCTCACTGGTCTGGTGACACGTTTCACCGATCATGTGCGTGTCATTGAACCCATTTTCATTTTTGTGATGGCCTACTTGGCCTATCTCAATGCGGAAATCTTTCACATGAGCGGCATTTTAGCGTGAGTTTTCTTAAGAATATATAAAATTCAATATATATAGCTAGTAATAACTTATTTTACAGCATTACTTTCTGTGGTATAACGATGAAGAACTATGTGGAATCGAATATATCACAAAAGTCGCACACGACTGTTAAATATGCCTTGAAGATGCTGTCCAGTTCCGCGGAGACCATTATCTTTATGTTCCTAGGCGTGGCCACGGTGAACAATATGCACGTATGGAATACGTGGTTCGTGGTCCTGACCATTGCCTTCTGTTCAGTGTTTCGTGTTATTGGTACGTATTTTCCAGTACATTTTAATATAAAAAATTAATATTTAATATATTTTTTTGAAGGTGTTATTTTGCTTTCGGCCCTGGCCAATCGATTCCGCCTGCATAAGCTATCCAGGGTAGATCAGTTTGTGATGTCCTATGGCGGATTGCGTGGTGCTGTGGCCTTTGCTTTGGTCCTGCTGGTCGATGAGAATGTGGTCAAGCAAAAGAACATGTTTGTTACCACCACGATAGCTGTGATTTACTTTACTGTCTTCCTGCAAGGCATCACCATCAAGCCGCTGGTCAAGATACTCAATGTTAAGCGGGCCAACAAACGGAAGCCAACCATGAATGAACGCATTCACGAGAGGGTCAGTTAGCCATCTATCTGTCAAGTTATATAAACTTAAGAGATGTTTTCTTTATAGTTCATGGATCACTTGATGGCTGGCATTGAGGACATTGTGGGCAAGACAGGCAACTACAATGTGCGTGATAAATTCAAGCGCTTCGACAATCGCTTCATCCGCCCGCTGCTGATCAGAGATCTTAAGGTATATTCTAGTACTAAGTCGGTTTGCAGACTTTTAGGATATAAGCTTATCTATATCGCAACCTAAACTGCTACTTAGGAAGTCAATGAATTGCATTTACTGGATCACATACCCCTGCAAAGCTATATACGAGTTTTGGACAAGAACAAACGTGGAAAAGCCTCGAAATCTGATGAAAAGTCTCGCAGGCAGCATCGCAGCTCAAGTCTTCCCGCGAAAAACAAGTCTTCGAAGAGTCTTAATAAATACGATGAAAATATTTAGTAATAAGAAGAATAAAAGTCAAGCTAAATCTTAAATATATATCATTATTTTGCCATTTAAATTTAGGGCGCTGAGCCGAAGATCATCGAGACTTACTCCAAGCTGACCATGCGCGATGCCATGGAGGTGATGAGACGGAATCCATCCACCATTGGCCAGATGACGGGCACCGAGTCGATGAGCGCCCTGTTCCGGAACTATACCAATAACTATATTGGTGGCAGGTGGGCACCGCCAACCATATACACCACCTGGTAAACGAATTTTGGATTGAACGATATCTCACGATATATATATCTCTATCTTGCCTGTACTCACACTGAATCGTATATATATACTGCATGAGTACGACTAAATTCCAAATTGTTGTAGTTTATTTAACCAAACATAAGCATGAACTTGCACAAAACTTTAGTTTAGTAAACGATTGGCCACTAATCAGATTAACACAATAAGAGCAAAGTTTCATGATTTCTTTGAATATCTTTTACTTCAAATGTCTAAAATTCGTTTAACCACCTCTTTGGTTTTAACTGTACTTAATATCTAATCTTGTCTTTTGATAAACCCATACTAATGATATCTTAGTCCCAGTCTAACCAATCTAGACAATACTTGCTCGCGTAATCTGGACATGGCTGAGCTGGATTATAATCCATCCAAGAAGGATCTGACTGATGCCCGGATCCATCATCTGTTGGCCGAAGAACTGAAGCCTTATAGAAGGGTATGTATCGGTGCTAAATCTTTAGTTTTCATTTTCAATCTCACTTTTTTTATGTAATAATAAACTCTTGGTTGGTTATTCTATAGCAAAAAAAAAAAACAGTTTTTTCAATTTTTTAAAGAACCCCCGCCCTAAAGTTAATCACAGCCCAAAAGTTATATTTCGTTTTAATTGATATTTATGATATCTGTCAAACTATCTGTCACCACTATTTCGCTCTACAGTAGTCACTAAAACAGAGAGTGTTTATGCCAAGTTCTACTGTAACTTCACCTGCGACTTTTCCGTTTCTGTTCTACTGTACTTTTACGGGCATTTAGTTTTCTCACACTCTACGCTTCTGGCTCTCAATATATATATATATATATATATATACTTATGGCTGACTCTATATACTTATATATATAATGAATATAGATATATATATTTCCATCTAGATATATTTGTGATTAATCATTTATTTAATTTCTTTCCCGTTGTTTCGATACTCAACATCTCAACTTCTCAACAATGTGTTTAAAAATATATAAAAAAAAAACCGCTTCGTGCTTAACAAAAATCAAAAAAATATAAAATTTGAAATATCGTGATAAAAAGGCCTCAATACAAATGGTACGAATAAATTGGTTAATTGGTTTTTGTTTCTGATTAATTTGGTCTGTTTCCTGGTTCATTTCGATAAACTCCTTTCGAATTAATCAACTAATTAACGATTAATTTTTGTTAAATGTTACACGTTGTGTGTCTGTACTCTATGACTGCAAATACTCTAAATGTGTCTTCTAATTGGTGTTTTTAATATTTTAAATAATCTTTATGCTAAACTTGTTTAACTAAACTAAAAGACCTTAACTGCCTGGCAGATCAGCTTTAAGTTGGGAATTTCCCTTTTTAAACATTTATTTAAAAGTTAGTTAAATCTAGGATAAATATACACTTTTGCTTTTTGAGTAAGAAGAAATAAATCTATTAAAATTAATTATTTGGTAATCAGTAAACCATCAATATCCCTTAATCTCTGGATCCCCTAATTTCTCATTGAATAAATAAATAAAAATAAAAGCTAATTATCAGGAATATAAACACATTCTTTTGCCAGGGCTTAAATATTAAGTTGTCAAAAAAGTCTTGCGGTATAAAATTGGTTACAATATTGCGATTTAAGTCATATATGCGCCGTTTTGTTCGATGACGCGTTCCCAACGAGATGCCAACTTCATAATGCCCCTCTCATAGAAGCTCGCTTCCCTATTGGCAAAAAACTCGGAGCGTGGCGCATCTTCGACCACCTCTACACCAGAACGAAAACGTTGATACCTTCGTTGCGCGGGGGAATTGGAAACTGTTTCGGTTCCATAAGCTGCACAAATTTTATTGGCGGTTTGAGATGCATTTTTGCCTTTATCGTAGTAGTACTGTAAAATATGCCGTATTTTTTCTTTATTTATATTTATTTATAACGACTTAAAAGAAAAGACAATCAATCAAACACGTGTTAGCGCGTGAAATGAGCTTACCAAAAAGGTATAGTATGACCTGATGCGACGAATAAAACAAGAACTACGCGCTTTCAGCGAAAACTAGCGAAAACACCGCAAGACTTTTTTGACAACCTAATATAATCAATTACCTCTTGAGATTATATAAAATACTATCTAAGGTCTTGCTTAATATTTTTTAAATAAACTTCTAATTATATTCTTTAAACTTTAATACACTTTCCTACTAAGATTTCCTGCCAATGCCTTATGTAAAAGTTTAATTAAAAAGTTCTTTTTAACACTAAGAAAAAACACAATCAATTTGTTTCTTGTTAACACTGACAATTAACACACTAAATTTGGTTTCCCTATTTAGTTGAATTTGTTTTTAAATGTATTAAATGTGAATGTATTCTTTAATAAACTTAACAAATCAGAAACTTAACAAGTTTATGAGATATTTTTTAAATCGTTACCAATCCTCTTAATTTATCTATAATTTCCTTCTAATTTCTAAAATCTGTTTTCTTATTCTTCAAAAACCAACCAAAACACTAACACACTTTGTCTGCCAATATTTGTTATGTTCACAACTATATATATTATAAATAACGTAAATCTGAAAGGGAGGCCTATATATTCTGGGTTGAGCACTTAATAGATGTTAATCTCTACTCTTAAGATGTACAAATGTTTATGGAAAGCCGTGTTCTCACTTACTCAGTTCGTGTTTATGTTAGTTAAAAAGCAATTAATCGTATTCTATATTATATATATCCTACTTATTTAAACGTAACTGTCTGATAATGTACTTGAAAGTAATTGCAAGGCCACATCTCTCTACTTACATATCATTGTGCTGGCATTTTATGATTTTGAAATTTAATTTGCTCCATCAATGTTTTTACAGCACCGTCGTCTTAGTTATAGCCGACACGCAGTAGATGACAGAGATTTGTCCACCCAGGTGAGTCTGTCGTACACCCCAAAACACCTGCAACTTAACTCCTTGCCAATTATTAATAATTAAATAAAAATTAAACAAAAATCGTTATTCTCTTGCAGGTCAATTACAAAATGCAAATGAACTTCAGGCGGATGTTCAATGATCGGAAACATCATAAGCGCAGTAAACGTGGTGCCAGCAATAAGGTGAGAAATATTCATAACTATCAATATTTAAGTAACCTATTTTAATGGATATTTTTGATTATCCTTAGGAGGCCAAGGAGAACGTTAAGCAGAATCATGTCTCGTTCCATGATTTCCAACAGAACGGCACCACCAAGCAGCTCACCAATGGTACGGAATCGAGTTCAAACCATTCACGAAAAAAATCTTACAGAAAAAGACATACTCACAATTCACTTAACAAATATCGTAGATTAGAACTAGGTAAATGACGCTAAAATCAGCAACAAATTTTAAATCAATCGAATAGAAGCATTTTTTTCCAGTTTTAAAAACAAAAAAACATCAAAATGTCTGTAGTAGAGTTTATCTTAAATTTGTAGAGTTTCTTTGGTTTTTTCATTTGTATAAAAATCAGACATTGCAAAAGAGTAAACATTTTTTATTTAACTTACTTTTGAATATTAGTTTGTAGTGAAAAGTTTAGTGATTATTTTAAGTTTCCAATGCAGTTTCATGCGTCATACTAACCTAATTCACCAAAGTCTTTAGTTTAAGTTGTCATGTAAAGCACTTTACTAAGCCTGATTTTAGTTTTTATTTTTTTCAAAATTAATAAGTGTAACTAAGGGAGTTTGTAAGGTGCCAGATTCTGCCTACAAACTCCTTCATAATGCATCACCAAAAATGTTTTGATAAGAAGAAAAAATCCTTAAAAAATTGGTATTTAATTGGTAACTAATTTGTTTTTCAACCGAATCCTTCTCTTTCTCCCCTGCATCGCTCTCCCTTCCAACTGATGCCAAACACACACACACAAACACACCACATTTGGCCAAAAAACCAACCAAAATTTGTGCACTAACACTAAAACATGACATAACTGTTCCGCCTGTGCCCATCTGATATATATATATGTTAACTCCACACGATCCATTCTAAAGACTATATTAACAATGTGCTTAATGAAACAGCCGAGGAGTGCCAACAGAATCCCAACGAGATCAATGTTGTTGGCCCGAGCGACGATTGGGATGATGGCCTGACCTTCACAGCCAAATCATCACGTAAGTGTTCTCATTACGACATTTGTATTACGTAACCAACTTATGATTTTACGTTACTAACATTTGAGTTGATATAAAAGAGGTTGTCTACATAGAGCATAGGCAGCTCCTAGATGGTTATGGTGTCCTCCTCTCTATCTCTCTCTCTTTACTACTATATATTCTCGTATATATCTTTGTTTATCCTGATCTGTGAGCCAAGTTTTTTATCTATTACTCGTACGTAATCAGCAGTCATATGGCAATATCTGATATTTTCCATATCCCGATTGTGTTGCCCACCTTGTTTGTTTTGTTCACACAAAAATGCCATCATTTAATTAATTCAAAATATATATATTTTTTTTGTGTTGCCTGAAATGAATATAAAAAGGAATCTTCAAAAGGTTTTATAAGTATTTGTACATATATATCTATATATATATATCGATTAGTTTGAGTAGCTGAACAAGGTTTCTGCAGTAGGTAACTATTTTATAATCTATAACTAAATAACACAAGTTGTTTTAAACCAAAGATTATATTGATTTTTCCAAAGCAAAATGCTTTCACTTTCTATTTTTTCATTTTCGTTTTTTATTTTTTATTGTATTTTTCCGCCTTTATTTTTTAAATCCTATTTCCTAAGGAGAACCTAATAAAAGCTATAACAACGAACTTTCTACATATTTTTTTCTTGTTTTATGCCTTCCCAATTATTTCGAAAAAAAAACCAATCACTTAAAAAAAACCAAAAAAAAAACACAAACCTAACAAAAAAATGTTGCTGGGCGCAAAAAAAAAATGATAAAAAATGAATATATATAAAAATTACGATTAGCTGACTCGGATCGCGCCAATAACAATTCCCTGATAGCCCACATCCAAAACCTGCCGGGTTTCGATGCTTCCAAGGCGCGCATCGTCGTCCAGCATTATGCGCCCAAGGTCGATGACAGTCCGGAAACAGATATAGAGTCGCCGGATCAGGCCATTGGGCCAACGGCCGCCGAATTGATATTGCCGTGGCGGCGGGATCGTTCATACCAGAGCATTGGTAAAGGATATCTCATCTCTCAGATCTCATCATTCTCCACATAATTCACAAAACAAAAACAAAAACCAAACCGAAACCGACAACGTTTTGAATGCTATATGAAAAAGCTCACTTCTCGCTCATTGACATGCTTAGATTCATGGTTGTACTCAAGATCATACGCATTCGAGTTCTTATCTAAAATTCATAGTTTTTCAATGCTAAAAAAAAAAAAAATTTAAATACTTTTGACAGACTTCTTATGTATAGAAAGATACTACAAACATTTTTAGAAACTTTCCAATTGTAATTTTACTCATAACTAAACTCAAGTTTAACTTAACCAAAGATCTAAAGTTCAATTAAGTAAAAAAACATAATCATTTATCTTACAAACACGCCACCTACATCACATTACGTGTACTTAGACCTCATTCAATGCCAGTCATTAAGTCTCCTTATAGAGTGCCTTAAGCTTAGTTAACTCAAACGTATTTTGTGCTCAGCACTTTGCGCGACTTGGTCTACTTATTTCGTTGAGTTAATAACTTTAATTTAATCATTTAGTGTCTAATATTATAATTTACTTAACTACATGATAAAAAGTCTGATACCTTGATTTCCACAAAAACACCCGCCCCTCAAACTATTAGCCATGCTAAGTGTTGCCTAGACGTAGCTGCCCATCTAATTAGTTATCCATTACATTCTATTCGTGCGTCGTTAACGTAAAATTGGTAGATAATTCTAGTCATCGAATGCAGTTAATAGTTAGTTAATATTGCCAAAGCTCGAAATTACCTGCATTTAGTTGCATTAACTTACCTAAAACCAATTTGAAAAGTCACAACAAATTCAAGATTTTTTTATTACAAAAAAAATCTAAAAAAAATTCTAAACAAAACATAAAATGAAGAAGAAACGTCGAAACAAAGCATGGCATTTTTGTGCATGACCAAATTATTGCTTCGTTTTTATTTTTCTTATTTTTTATGACCCTTAAAAATGTGTTAAATAATGGGAAATCTAAATGTCTCTGTGAGTTAAGCTAAGCTTATCGAAAAAAAAGTTGAAAAATTCTTTTGGGGCAACTACTTTCCTGTTTTCTAGGAAGTTGATCTTAAAGTCTTATTGAAAATTTATCTCCAAATATTTTTCTTAAAATTGTATAAAAATCTATTGTTGCCTAGGGAAACTATATAGATTTCTAACCTAATTTTGTTTGTGTGACTCTTGATTTTCCTTTAGTTGAGCGCACTTTGTTTGTCTTTTGCCCTTTGACTGTGTTCCTCTTCCATCAAATGCGCTTAAGTTTAAATTCAAAACAAGTTAAAAATACTCCCGAATTGGCCTCCCAAAAGAAAAAGCAAACGACAGCTAAAAGCCAAAATCTGCAGTTAAGACTGTATGCTGCATGCCCAAGCGAAGCCAATAGAATGATTTTCCTCTAAAATTATATAAAAAAATTAATAAAAATTAATAAATTATAAAAACTTTCATTTGGTATGTAGTGGCTGAGCATCCTATACCCGAAGAGGATCGCAATCTGTCCCGCGAATCCGACGGAGAGAGACGTGTGGCCACGCCAACTGCCACGGAATCCCAGCTGCCGTGGAAACGCCAAGGTGACGAATGCACGGATGCAGTGCAGCAGAACGAGTTTCCAGCTTGGGCCTCCAACAAGGAGTACTTGGCCTACAATTCCCCCAGTGCAACATTCCTAGGTAATGTATGAGAAAACACAAAAGAAAAAGAAAAGCGTTTGGGGGAAAATAACTACAAGGGATGGGGAAATGAGTTTTTCCGACAATCACACAACAATTTCCGAATGGTGGTTATTGGGGGGTCTCTTTTATGATTGTACTTTCTATATTGAATATTCATGTCCTCAGTTGATTACTGTTTGTGAATTGGCAATAAAAAAGGAAGAGCTGGGCGCACAGAGAGAAATTATGGATGCAGTTGGTACATCTTTGTTTAAATTTTATATCATTCAAAGATTAAATTACAATTTCAATCTCATTAAGATAATAAATAACAGCCCAAAGCTATAAAATTGACATTCAAAAAGTATAAATTTTCTCTGTGTAATCCCCAGCAGATTTGTATATATCAATCTGGCTGTTTAATCGTCTAACTGTATATAGTTTACTTGTTTGTATTAAAAAAAAAAAGAGCACAAGTGACCAAAAATATGATAACCGATAAGTGATGGCAAAATTGCACCCTAGTTTTTGTGTGTTTACTGATTTGTTGTTCATTTCGTTGGGATTTTCCTAAACTTTTTTCCATTTTTCTTTCTCTCTTTTTCCCCGCATTGTTTTCCCTCGGTAACTGTTGCCCACTCCGATACACCCAACGTCACCACCCACCGACATCCATGCTCCACACGAAACACCACACGAAACACCCTGTAAAAACTCTCTCTCTCTGATAACGCGAACCAACGAATCTGCAAAAACATAATAAAGGTGGTATAAACAAGCCTAAACAGCCCAAGTCCGTCATAGGTCTGTTCCGGCGTGAGAGTTCCAGTTCGAAGGCCGGAAGCGTTGGCATCGGCAGCAACGGAGCCGTGGACAGCGCCGCCAGTGGTTCGGATACGATGGTTGTGCCATTGCCCAGCCAACCACCCAATGCACCATCGACATCCATGCATAATCCGCGGCTTGATAAGCGCTCCCAGTCGATATCCTCGGGTTCGCTGGGCGCCGGAGCCCATCAACTGGGTCCGGATGGACACTCCGGTCCGTTTCCGGTCACCGCCAGTCATCGGCGGAATGTGCGACGAGGCTCCATGCTGGAGCTAAGCGGGTAAGTTCAGTGTCCACTTGGTTCAGACACCGAAAGACTACACCTTCTCCTATTTGTATATGTTCATTGGTTCTATGCAGATTATCATCTAATGTTTTTGTGTTTTTATTTATTAGACTGAAATGGGTGTTGTTAAAAGTTGATCATAAATCTTTTTATTACTTGGAAAATATGATAAATATACAAACGTATATCCAAACTTTAAGTAATATCAACTTAACTTATCAAAAATATCAAAATATATAAACAAATACATGACAAATTATTATTATATTCTGCTAGAGGACCAGTAGAAAAGTAGTAACATAAATCCAATTTTTTCAATTTTAGTTTTAAACCCATTTCAGTTCTTCATTTTATGCTTGTTTATAAAATAGCTTACTAATATTTTAATTAACTTATTGGTTAATACTAACACATAAACTTTATTTCGTAGCTCAGATTTCCATGGCTTAGAGATTTTTTAGCGAAATTATTATTTGAAAATAGTAAAAATCATCCCAAAACGATTAATAACCTTAAATAATTAGCTTGATAAATATTTAGTGCTAATTATTTTTAGTTCTGCTTTGCAGCAATATGATCTTGATTTCGAGCAGTTGCTCTAAAAATTTCTTTACAGACATTCAATCCCTAAGTCATATTTCTCGTTTTTGGGATTTGCTTAAGTTATTCGAAATTTATAAGCAAGCTTCTTCAGCCTTGATCAGTCGAATTTAGAAAACCCAAAAGTTGCTTTCAAAGTATTTCCCGTATTTCTGCGATACTTTTCCCGCTTTAATGTTGCAAGCTATATAATATCCACCTCAAAACGTCTTTAGTTGCACCCTTTTCCGCAAAACATTGCTTAAACTGAAAATTTTGTACTCCAAACAAGTTCTCGTATTTTCTGTGCTTGTGGATACTTTGTGGTTGAGCCCCGTCTCTGTGTCTTTTATTGTGATGATTATTTTCCAGACTCATTGCAACTGGACGAAGGCCCAGTAGAGTTTTGCAATTTAGTCCGGGAGCAACCAATTTACTAGGGTCAGCCAAGATCACAACTCCTTCTCCTCCTCTACCACCAACAACAACAACAACAACTACAGTTAAAACAACAACAACAAGCACATCAACCAACAACAACACCAACAATTCAACAGAAACAACATCAGGCAGCGCGACTAACTCGACGCCAACCTCCCCCAGATCAGAGGATAGCGCCACATATACGTACTATCCAAAGTAAAGATCCAAAACTGAAACAAATACGTGCATATTATGAGCAATCCAAACCGGCCATTAACGAATTTCGATACTATCTGTGTAACAGAAGAGAACTACCACATATACTAGCCTACATATGATAACTCTAAATACTAACCACACGAACTTTATATACGAACTATGTGTACTGTATATAGAGCCACAGATCAGAGCATATCATTGTAGTATAACAGTCAGTCCTTGTAGGTAAAAACCTTGCCAGCGATCTTTCTCTGTCCATCATATAGCTCTGTACTTAAATACCGAATGCCGGTGTATAATATTCTTGCAATTGAATTCGAAATTCATTCTTCGCACTCACACTCAACACGGATCTCTAAACTGGCCCCACAATTTTCGCCTTGTACTTTCCACTGTATATAACTTTGTCATTAGGATGTTGTTAATTGGTGATCGATTGATTCAGTGCCAAGCGCTTTCATAGTTTGCATTCCAAAAATTATGCTGGGCTCTTGAAGTTGTTTAATTTATATTGCAGTTTAATTGTTTAGCACGCATTTGTCGTATAACAGTCGTATAACAGTTATATAACAGTTGTATGACAGTTGTATACCAGTTGAAAAACGGTTAAATAACAGTTGCATAATAGTCTTAAAACATAAATTACTAGTTTATAACAGTTGTAGGACAGTAATAAAACAATTTTTCTAGCGTAGAGAACCCATTTATTTTTGTTTCTCTCTGAACTTTGTGTTTGCATTTTGTTTGTATGTCCTTTATGTGTGTTTTTGTTTCATATAACAGTTTTGTATGCAATGTTATGATCCCTATCTGCATCCACCCTCTTCCCCATCCAATTATATAACCCAAAATCCAGTCAATGCAATGCAATTTCGAAATAATTAACAAATATCGGAAAATAAAATTACTTTATGATGTCGCTGTGCTGTGTTTCTTTGTTTTGTGAATATTTCCAACCGGAAAATCAAAACAAAATCCGAACTAAATACTTAACTAAACTAATAACTGGTTAATGAACCAAAAACACATTGGTAAACAATTTGATGAACAAATTATATATTTTTAGCGGCGTCTCATTTGAATCTGATTAGTCAAACCCGAAACGAGCACAGAGCCAGAGCAATTAACTAGCTAAACTGTCCTTAAAATGCACAAAAACAAAACATACACTACATCTCTACACGCACAAAAACACACACACACACACTGACACGAAACTGTTATACAGTTGAGAGCACCTGTGATAACTTTCTCTAGACACAATTTCTATACCTAAAATAAAGTGTATTGTTAAACGGCTTTAATCACACAAACTATGTGTAAGTATTAGAAAAAGTATAATTCCATCGTGTTATACGTATAACAACAACACAGTGCCTGGGCTCGGCACAACTAACAAACGAAGCCACTTAACACCACTCCACTCTTCTCTGTGCTAATCCCGAAATCTTTTTTTTACTAAGTCCTTAGTTTATGTACAAAATCCAAACTGCGGACGCAAAGAAATTGTATTGTATTTACAAAAAGTAAAACCTAGTATAAATGTAAAGTAGAACTGTTATACTGTGCCTTAAACAAGTCTTCCTTATAAGCTTATCTTCCATCTTCCTGTTCCATTTTAATTTGCTTAAATGTAGCGCTCTTAATAAATATATTTACATATTTTTTAATCGTATTCCTTATTAATTATAAATTTTTTAAAAGTAATTTAAAAACAAAATCTACCTTAATTAGCCGTAACCTTCCATGCTAACACTAACCACCCAAAACGAATACCCAAACCGAAATCATTAGCCAAAATTGATCACAACTTTGACATTAACTTTCTACGCCTTCTCTTCACATCATCCCCACCATCGACTACCAACCACGTACAACCACCGCACACACCACACAACACCACCAACAGAGACACAATACCCGAAGAGTCGTCGTACCAGCATGGACACTCCAAGTCCTTGTGCGAGCCGGCGGACTCGGATGACTGGGAGGGTGCACCGCTGTCAGCCGCCGCCGGCGGAGCCAACAGTGAACGAATGATGCGAATGAGCGGTAGGGAGCCCCTCCTGCCACGCCCCTCCAATACGCCTCGTGCCCAAATCCGTCGAATGAACGCTGGAGCGGTGGGCGGAGCAGCAGTTAGCCAGGCTGGACGGAAAAACCAGGTAACTAAAGCTCTTTTGGACTACGAGGATTCGGAAACGGATTCCGAGGAGAACGATGATGATGAAGACGAGGACTTTGATTCGTACGACGATGAGAACATTGTAGTCACCACCTTTACCACACCGGCCACGGGCAGGAGACCGGGTTCGAGTCCTGGATCGGGATCGGAAGCCAATACCACAACCACCACCACGACAAGCATTCGGCTGACCCGCAACAACGACGAGAGCATCATTTGAGTATCGAGCACGGATGGCGACGTGGAGGAAGAACTGGATGATGATGACGAGGATCTGTCATCTGTCTCTGTACCAAAACGTTCGCGTCAGCATCTGTTCCCGTACGAAATGTTCTACTAACTAACTCCGGAAAACACCACCCTCACACACACATTTATATGACCTAGTTTGTAAGACTAAAGTTGACAGAAAGTTAAAGAATAGTTTTCCCCTCAAAAAAGAAATGGTTTAAAACACAAAAGCTTTATAATTATATATTACCAAAACCACAAGAATCGGACAGAAGCTTAGATAAGGGAGTAGCGAAACAAATTGTATATAACACAGATTTGAACCTTAATTAATTAATTAATTAATTAACCAACTAATTTCTTCTTGATCGTTTAAGTCGCTTCTTAAGATTTTTAACTTCCAATTTCTGTTTAGTGTTTAGTCCCGATCAATTGTTATAAAATGTATCACAAAGGTATATATCGAAAAGGAAAAACGATTTAGTGATTACAGCTGATGTGTTCCAAAACAAAAAAAAAGAAAATAGCAAGCAGAGAAAATGGTGTAATAACTAACAAAGCGTAGCCAAAGTTCTAATTAAGCCAATAACTAAAGTTGATTTCCTTGTTTATTGTTTAGACGAAATGATGTACTAAATTGAGGTCACATTAGGAGAATGTTTTGCTAACAGTACTTAAATGCGTACTTAGTATGATAGCATAGTTAAAACGCAGAGTTTAGTTCAATTTTAGCCTTAGTTATTAAACAGTTTAAAGTAATTAATTTTCGATATAGCCGCAGAGTCAGAACTAAATATAAATACAGTCAAGTTTTTCTCAACTGGAACTGTAAGTGAAATATAACTTAAACATTCATCAGCATTAGTAATAAACATTTTATGCATTTTTAAAGAAACTTTTTGAATTAATATTAAAGAATATACTTTCACATTTTCAAACTATATCAAATCATGTTGACTTTAAACTTAGAAACCCATTACCAATGACAGAGACAGTTGAGCAAAACTTTGGCTGAACTTAACTATAAAATATACACAAATCAAGTAACTAATAGTGGACAGGTAAATGGACAGAGTTATGTAATTTATAAATTATTTTTGTAAACTTTTACGAATGATAAGGATAAAAACCAAACATAATGCTGGAAATGTTAGAACGAGCGAGAATTTCGTATGTGGATTTTGAGTGAGTACATGACTAGGATTGAGCTAACCAAGCATTAAAAATAAAGTAAAGATTAACATGCTCAAAAAACCAAGTAAATTATACTAGAAATAGTTGAATACAAACTAAAATTCACTATGCTGACGTAGTTTGATGAAAATGAAAATGCATTAGAAGAGTAAACTCTATTTACCAGACAAGATCCAAAGAGAGGGGACACACGGAGCCAACTGAGAACACATAGTAGCCAATATCCAGAATGGGATATGTTTATTCTGGAACCAACCTACCTAACAAAAATATAATATTTGCTGGGACTGCTAACGGTAAATCGTGGAAATATGGAACACATACCTACCTACTACGAGTAATAAATACAACAAAAACAAACAAAAACTATATATATATATATGTATATTTTCTAACTCATGTGCAAGAACGCCTAGTACCAAACTTTAATTTAAACAACACCTAACCCTAAAACTTAAGTAGTTCGTATTCGCATTATGTTCTATCCAAGAAATTGCCTTCTGAATATGCACACCAGATCAAACAGAATTATTTAACTTAGTTTTTAGTTAACCTTTTTTTTTTTTCGATCAGAAAGACAATAAACAGCTACAAGAGTCGCGAGATCTTGGAAATTGTCATTTTGAATAAATCAATTTAATGGAAAACGAAACCGAAAAACTTAAAAATCAGAGCTGTGTTATATTGTGACCAGGTTTGCTTATATAAACTTGATTTATTCCACTGAATTTCCTAAATTTCAATTTAGCATTCGATTTGTGGCGTAAACAATTTTGTATACTGGACACTGGCTCATGAATTACTTGCTTAAGAAAACTAAAATTGAATTCCATTGATGACTAAAATCGAGAAAGCGTTTGCAATTTTCATACCGTAGGCCTTAAGTTGTGCATACTTCAAAATTAATTAAAAAAAAAAAAAAAAAAAAAATATTGATAGCGCAAAATAATAAAAACAAATTAAAAACACGATGCAAAAAACCGAAAGAAAGAATTGTAAATTGTTAAACTGATTTTAAATATTATATAAGAAAAATTTTACTAAAAATAAAATTAATGAAAAAAGCAAAATAATCTAGAAAAAAACTGTTGTAACTAAAAAATGGGTTAATGGGTTAATCACCAACATCGCCATGGACCAAATCGTTTCTTCGGTGATTGAGATGGCCAGTCGATTAAGACTGTCTTGCCAACCAATCGATTCCCATTCTCCTGGAGCATGGTCTGCGCCATCATCTCATTGCACTCAAACCGGACGTAAGCACATCCCATGAGCTGTCCATCCCGCCTCTTGGATATGTGAACAGCTTGTATAATGCCCCGCAGTTTATTCTTGGGTGAGGTATCCACCTCATCACTTGGTTCGGTCTCAGATCCTCGCCAATGTTGCCATAGACTCTGAATCCGATAGGCTCTTCTATCACTGAGTCTTTGATCTGGATTGATGCCTGTGGGTGGACAGACATGGATATAATAATAAGAAATTTATGACCCAATCATCTCGAAGATAAACAAAAGATAGATTTACAAATAAGATTTCCAAACCTTATATTTCTCCTTAAAACTGCCATTGGAATAAATACAAGAATGGTAACCCAGAAAACTTCAAAAACCCAAACCAAGCCCATATCCCGTAATACCTTTAACTAAGATTAAAATTCAATATATTAAAATCCAAAATCAATTTGCTTGAAGTTCCTTTTATACATTTATTGCACCAAATACGTGTAATTTGTTATTTTCATATTTTATTTTAATATTTTTGGTTTTTCATTTTTTACTTTTCTTTCTAATTATGTTTGAAACTGATATATTTCAATATGTTTTATGGTATTTCTCATTAGTTTTTATTTTTGTTGTATTTTTCTCGAAGAATTCAGTTTATATTTACTCGTATGCATTATGTGTCTGCAGAAGATACATTATCTATAAGTTCTTCTCGGTTCGGCTTGTATATATAGGTAAATATATCGATGGTCACCATTTCGCGTTTAAAGTGAGTCTCAGTGTAAGTGAGTGAGTGTGTGTGTGTGTGTGCAGAATTTGTTAAGGGGGTTCCCCTTTACCCTCTCCTGGGTAATTGTTCTTAAGCATTGTTTACAATAATTAACTTTCGTAACGATTAAACAAGTACGCTTATATGAGCATTATATGTATGCGGGGGTGTATATGTGGGACTCGGAATGTTGTACGATTATCTCAATTAACATTTTTGCTTTGATTTTTTCTAAAGAAATTTTTAGTACTTTCTCTATATAGTAATGTATATGCTTAGACTTGTGGTTCATTTAAATTTATTAGTACATATATGGAATCAATAATCAACCCAACATTAGCTACATAAATATGTGTGTTTATGCTTTTAGAATTTCCCCGCCCAACCACTGATCAATAGTGGTTTTAATACCACCAACTGATCAGAGATTTTGTGGGTTTATAACGATTTTTTACTTTGGTTTCGTTTAATAGAGCTATAGACGCATAAATAGTCGTGGTATGCAATAACAAGTTACGTTTAAGTTAATCCATGTAAAGTGACATTTTTGGTTATCATTTTGTTTGAAAGGCATTCGACAGTGTTTCTTCATATGTACGAGATAGCGTAGATACATTCATATATATATATTATATATATGTATATATGTGAGTGATTTAGTTAAATAGACTAACTGTAACTAGCATAAACAGATTCGAACAGCATAACGTGGCCCTCTATAATATAATATCTGACCATTATATTCCAATTCGGTTTGAATGATCTTCTCTCTATGTGGATTTTGTACATACTCAAATTTACATCTCATCCATTCCTATGCCTTTTCTTTTGTGGATACAGATACTTTAAACTAGCGGCAAACAATTTGTAACATTCATTAATACAAGACAATAGACATTAAATAAATACAATTATGGCAGTTGAGACAAGCGCTTAAATTAGATATTAAATCAAGTATGTTATTCAAAAAAAGAATATTTAAGCCATTACAAATACCTTTAATATTATCAATACTGTTGCCCGTACGTGTAAGCTAATCATATATGTATCTTCTTTCCACCATTATTCTTGATGTTTAATAGTTATCTTTTTAGATATAAGAGAATGGTCATTATGCTTATTATTTAGTTAACAATAATTCATACTCCCACTGTTTGGCTGTGGAATACTTGAAATATATATACAATTATATTCGGATATTATTGGAAAACACAGAAAACCATCGTTATAGATCGTTATACTATATGCGTATGTGTGCTAGCATTTAGGGGGGAGGGAAAAAAACTGTTGAATATATTCTGGTTTTCGATTGATAAACACATCTAATTGAACGAAATTGTAATTGTCTTTTGATATCCTTATGTATTTTGTAGTTTTGTTTCATATGCAGATTACTATATAAATCCTTTAAAATGTGACTTACTAGATTTCGGTTGTATCTTTCGTTTGATTGGTTACGAACATGAGAGAATGTTTGATTCTATAAATGTTTTCCGATGAGATCTCTTTACTAATCCTATCAACAAGTTAAGGGAAATCTCACACCAAAGAGGATGATAAACCTTATGAAACAATGTAAATAGCCAACGTTTGGCTTACTAGAATACGATACGAATTCCGATTAGGTAGTTACGGAGGATATAGATGCTGCTGTTGATCTTAAGATAACCCAATTCCCTGGGGATCGTGTGGTATTTTATTTGTAAGCGATTGCCGGACTGCCGCTTATAGCCCAAAGCCGAAGGCTCGTTATACGTTTCCTGTTGGCAATTAAAATCGTTATCGCATTTAATTGGTTTACTTTATGTACAAAATACAAATAATGAAATACAAAATATAAATATGGAGACTAAATAAATACACAAAAATAATTTAACACTAGAAATTGGCTAAACGAAAAAAGAGAGGTTGCCAGCGATAAACTTACGGGTAAGTCTAAAAACTAAATAATCACAATTAACAAATAGATACATCTTGGAAATATTGCAACAAATTAACATTAAACAAAAGTGTTTTTTTTTCAAAGCAACGAGGCGAGAACATATTGGCATGGCTTATTCGATATCAAAAAAGATAATTAAAAAATAATAATAGATTAATATATATATGGAATGTGGAAATTTAGAGAGCTAAGCTTAGCAGAGAGCTGGAACTGCAGTTGTGAGATTCACTGCTTGGTGGTGCCATTAGATTTCGCTGGCTTACCGGACGTCACGAAGGGTCCCACATAGTTGCTGGGGAACAGACCGGAAAGGCCATTCAGCTCGCCACGCCACCACTCCGGCTCATCCCGACCCAGCACGCTAATAATATCGTCCTTATCGAACGACAGCTCGTCGTCGTTTTGTGCTTTGTATGGATAGAGTGCAATCACCTTGTCTGTAGGGTAAACAAACATTTCAGATTAAATTAAAATTTCATATGCTTATTGAGTTTGAAACCCACCCAAGATCTGCTCGGTCATTTCGATGCGACTGCCGGAGACTGGAGTGTTGCGTCCACTGTTGCGGCCGCCTTGAAGAACCTTTACATAGGTAGCCGGGAACCAGCCGATCTGGCGTCGCCGACCCTTGGCCTGCAGCTCACCCTCCCACCAACCGGAGTCCGTCTTCTTGCGGATCATAATCAACTGGCCTCGCGTCAACGAAAGTTGCTCAGTGCTAGTAGCCTCATATGGAGCGATTACTTGCGCAATCTCTGATCGTTTGGCCCGCATGCCCTGTAAAATTTACCACAAAAAAGAAACGAGTAAATGAAATGATCATATAAAAAGCATTAAAACAGGCGGTGTCAACTATTTACGGGTGTCATGGAAGAGGTGCGTGACATGGGTCGGCTGTAGCTCTCGGCCGGCTCGCTGCTTTGTGTCTTAGACTGTGTATTGATCTGGGAAACTTCAGTGTCGAGGTCTTCGTGCGCTTCCTCAGCGCCAACGCCTGGGCTAGCGATCGGCTGTTCGCTAACCTCCTGGACAGGTAGCGGTTGGAAGTGCTGCTCCTGTGTATCCACGGGAGCAGCGGCGTAGGCAGCGTTGCCGTTCAGCGTCGTCTCCTGGGTCAGTGCAAGTGTAACGACAACGGTGGCAAAAAGCACAGCACATGAAAAGCATTGGATTAGTAGATGGACATGAGGGTAACGGTTAGACACGACTCTGGACTTTGGGTATTGTGAACTTGGTATAAGTTAACTACAGTGTGGGTCAAACTTTAAACCTGTCGAAACAGATCTTTCCAAATCTAATTTTAATTCCCGATTTATATATATATGTTGCTAAATATTAAAGTTTAATTAGTGTTTTAAGTTCTTTTAAGGAAAACTACGTTTAAAGTTCTCACGATTCTTGTCGTTTTTGGATTTTGCAATTCCTTCTAATTTAAGCTCTTGCATTGCGTAAAAGCTAACGTTTTTTCAACAAAAGGACCCACACAAAACTACATTCTTTGCCAGCTATTTACTTACCTGATCTATGGATTCTACTGGATCTGCAGCTGCCGTGTTCGCCGTTCCCACGTCCGCCTTTTGAACGTAGTTTGAGGGGAACATGCCGGTGCGATTGCCAATAGTACCTGTCCACCATTCACCTTCCTTCTTGATTACCATAACCATCTCACCGGCACCGAAGCTCAAATCGCCGTCCTCGGCGGAATCATAAGGATATGCGGCTATGTAGTATTCAACGTCGCCGGCGGCACTTAGATCGGCGGAAGCTGCCGGAGCCGCACTGGTATTGATATTGTCATTATAGGTGTCCGCCACTGTTGCAATTTGGGCATTAACTTCTGGTTCAACGGCGGCAACAGGGGCAGCTCCACCATCGTCCAGCTTTTCCACATAGGATTCGGGAAACCAGCCGGTGTGGCCGTTTATCTCGCCAGCCAACCATCCGGGTTCGGCGTTCTGTTCCAATGGCACCAGTATAATGTCACCCGGCACGAAAGTAATTTCCTCCGCATTCCGCGCATTGAACTCGTAGACTGCCTGGTATTTTACGAATCCCTCAGGAGCTGGTCCACTCAAATCCACAGCTGGAGCGGCTGCTGCACTAATGTCGTTGCTCATACCTGCATAGGTGTCGGCGGCAGTCGTATTCGTCTCTCCCCAAGCACTGGAAGTGCCTGTGTCCCAAGCTGAGGTCACACTCGTCTCGTTTTTGCGGTTGTATTTCAATTCCAGCACCGAGGTCCTCTGTACATCATATTCCTTGTACAGATCTTCGCACTTTGTGAGCAGGGCAGAAAGCTCTGCCTTTAGTTCCGACATCTGTCCGTCGTTTGAGTTGATGTCTTCCTTCTTTGACTCGATCTCTTTGCTAATATTCTCCACTTTATCTTTGATTTGGTTTATTATCAGCTATTGGAAAAATAAATATATTTTTAGAAATATGAATGAAATAGGAATTTTGTAGTCTTTTGAAAAGACCCATACCTGCTTATGGGCAAAGGCTGCGTTTAATTGCTCCTGCTGTGCATTCTCGCCACCCAAGGCAGCGCCACTGGCCTTGCTCTTGGCGTCCCACTTAGCCCGCTCCTGGGTGAGCTGCAACAGCTTGGCGTTCTGTTCCTTAATGCGCGCCTTCAGTTGCGACATTTCAGACATGGAAGTATCGCGTTGGGTCCGCATGCCATCGATTACGGTCTTTACATTGGTCACCCCAGCACGTGTGTCGCAAATCCTCTGCGAAAGGTCCTTAATCTGTATTTGGTATAGATCTATTAATAACACTGTCCAGCTAAAGTTGAACTATAAAACCTAACCTTTTCATTTAGTGTGCTCAGCTCCACATTAAGCTGGGTGTTGTGTGCCTTCTGCTTGAGAACACGCTCCTGTTCCCTCTCCTTCTGTGCGTTCATTTCAGCAATTCTAGCCTGTTCCCATTCCTGCTGGCGCTGCTTTTCAAGCTCCCTGATGCGTTAGAAAAATTAATAAATTTTGGTTAGGAGCATAGTCAATATCCTTACTTCCTAGCTGCCTCCTTTGCTTCCAGTTCCCGCTTGCGCTGCTCCTCCTTCTCCAACTCAATTTCACGTTGGCGTTGAAGCTGGCGTTCCAGTTCCTCCTGTTGCTTTCGTTCTGCCTCCAAACGTGCCTTTTCACGCTTATCCGCCTCATCGCGCTCCTTGCGCTCTCGTTCCTCTCGCTCCTTGCGCTGCTGATCCTCCATAATCTTGCGCCTGCGATCGAGCTCGGCTTGACCTTTTACATAGTTTTCCTTGCGCTTGTCCTCGAAGGAAGCTATTAACAATATTGATTTAAATCAAGTCCTTAAGCATTTGAATTTGAAGTGCTTACTTTGTCCAGGAAGTCCAGCAGTTGGGTCAGCATCCACGACTCCCGCTCCGCCCTGCGACGATACAGAGGCGTGCCGGGAGGCGGGCTGCGATCCAGGACGCGACACCACCCCAGAGACCGAACCCGGACGCGACTTGATCTTGCGCAAGTTCGGCGGTACCCAGTCTTGAGGCAAGGTAACCGGAATCTTCTCACCACCCATGGCCTTCTCGCACAGGAACATGGCCAAAATGAACTCGTCGCAGTTGAGACGTCCATCACCATCAATGTCGGATAGCGTCCAGATCTGAGCCAGTGTCACCTGGGGCAGCTTGCTTTGCACCAAAACGCCGCGTGCCTGAGCTCCAGTCAAGTATCCAGATCGGGTACGATCATTGGCATTGAACACCTGTGTATATTTGCGCTTCTGCGCAGCTTGAACGGCCCATTCTGCCTGATTGCTAGAAGGAAAATCATAAAATTAATGTAAACTGAAATCTTTTTGAATAACTAATATGCTATTGAATTTTATAAATTCAAATTAATTAAGTGTATAAATTCGATATAAAGAAATAAGATATTAAAATTATAAACATGCTTACACAGACTCGATGGAGGGCGCTCGCTCTGAGATGGACATGTGCCGACTGGGTGGATTGCTGGAGGGCGGCGTTGGACCAGCCGGAACCTTGGCTAGGTCCACGACACCTGGCGGTGAGATGACAGCGGCCGCAGCTACTGGAGGAGGAGCCACCACTGGAGGGGGAACCACTGCGGAAACTGGCGGAGCAATTCCCTTTAACGGATCCAATGGACTCATGGAACTGGTCGAGCCACGTGGTGTCATCGATGGCGTCTTTTGACCATCGCCGGTAAGGGACGCCAGGAGACTCGGTGGCAGAGCCTTGGGCACTTCCATGCCGCGTAGCTTGAGGTTGATCAACTTGCAAGCTATGCTGAATTCATTGATGTTCATCTTTCCATCGGAATCGGTGTCCGCCAGAGCCCTGCAGATAAGCGGATGTTTATGTCAGTATTGACATTCTTATCTGTGGATGATTCATAGGGGCGTCTCATTTCCTGTACTTACCATATCTGACCCAGGATCAGAGGCGGCAACTGGGACTGTAGAAAGAATCCTTTGGCCTGGGCGCCGGTTACGAATCCTGCCTGTGGCTGAAGTGCCTTAAACTGCTCCTGATACTTCAGGCGCTCCCTCGGGGTCACTGCCCATGCATCCACCGCCGGATTCATTTTGGCCAAACACACTTTATCCTAGTTTACCCCGGAAAGCTCTTCTTCTTGTTCGTCCTTTTTCCGTGTTGTGTGGGTGTATATGAGTGTATTAGTGCTCTCTCTTCAGCCGCTTTTGAGTACACATCAAATACAAGCTCTCTTCCCTTCGCTGCGCACTCTCTTCGCCGCTCTCTTTACTACGACTATCGCCTATTGAGTATCCGTTTTGGCACCCACCACCCCACAAATTTTCACAATGGATTTTTATGGTTTACCTGCAATGCAATTGCGAAAATTATTAACCGATCGCATACTTGGCAAATATATAATGCCCTCCCATTCGAATTTGAACGTTTTTTGTTTTTGCTTTAGTAGGCGTTTTCACTCGGCAAACCGAAATAACACAAATACCGATTAGCGATGCTCCGGTTAATGTGCTGCCAACGCACTGGTATTTCCCTTATCTATCAGTGTTAACGGTTTTTATCGGGCTTACTTTGCATTGGAACAGGAAAATTTTGTATTTGCGTAAATTTTATTTCAATCAATAGTCGGAGTCAGTGTGACTGTCGCTTGATTTTCTGGTTTACTCAAGCCAGTGCTGGAAAAGGGTGCATTGCTTGAGGAAATGCAAATTGTTGTTTTTCTAGCCCTTAACGGTCAATTGAACATATTGTTTGAAATGAATGTGAATTCCCAACAAGTTTTGTTTTCACACTTTTGATCTCTATAATTAAAACAAAATTTTAAAAATATTTGTCTAACTCTAAATAATAATCCATTTCAATATAATATATTTCATGACTTTGTTAATTATGTTTCTATAATAACTCATAATCATATATATATTCAATGATGTTATACTAAAAAAAATTTTTTTTAATTTCGTATCCTTTCAACATCCCCTATAAACTCAAAACACAAGGACGTCGGTCGCCGAACATTATTTTCGTCGAAGGCTTCGAAAATGACAACTGCCTTGTAGCGACCATGAAGAGATGGGCCAATGATGTTATCCACTCTTAACTTCAAGAGGAAAGGATTATACACTATAACGGTCTAAAATCGAAAAGTATTTCAATATAAATTAGCTTAAGAAATATACCCTTGCTCACATCTTTAGTTATTAGACACTTTTCCCTAATCTCCTCAGGGTTTGCAAGGAATTGAAACCAAGCATTATTCCAGTAAGTATTCTTGTCAAATATCGCAGTGCACAGGTCCGTCGTAACTACGTTGAACACAGTAGGTTCCCAGTTTCCACGACTAAAATGGAATACACTTATTCTGGCCTAAAAAGTGTAATTACATTTAGTTTAACTTTTCCATTTTTCATTAGATGTCAGTTTACGGCAAGGCGATCGGTGCGCGGAAAATTCCATAAAGTTGTGGCATTTCCCGTTACATAAATGCCTTCGGGAACCATCTCGACATCCAAGTTGTTCACGTAGAAAGCTTCGTCCATAGAAATGGATCCGGGTGGGCCGTCATCGCACGGCAAAAATGTATCCTCAGGGATTGCCATGTAGTCCGCAGCCCATATTCCGGATACGGCCAAAAGCAGCAAAATTTGAAACATTTTTGTCCGTCAATAGATCATTGAACCAAACTTTTATACCAAATATTCATAGGAAGAGCAATTATAAATAATTACGGATTAACATTACAATATATATCATGTCAGATTGCATTCTGACACGCAGAAAGATTATCAGTACCATGGCTACAAAATAAATAACAAACACAAAAATACAAAAACACTTTTTACATATTTGTGAACTTATTACAAATAAATGACCGATAGAATGTTTAAAAAATATATGCAATGAATAAAAAACAAATTTATTTTATATATTTCAATTTTTTAATACCGTTGGTTTGAGTCTACGGTAAATAAATTCAAAAGCACAAATAAATGAGCATTTTTCGGAATTTTTAGGTAATTCAAAATTTGTTCAGCCCATTTGCTGCGAAATGAATCTCAGGATCTGGTAACACTGCCTTTCCCTTCAACCACGTGCTGCAATTTGGTGGTAATGTCCAAAGCGTGCTCAAATTTTTTGTCGAAATTCATGTAACGAAATGTCGGAAACTTCAGAGGACGAGCAGGCGCAGCTGCAAACCAGCGATGAAGAAGAGGAGCTAAGTGGTGAGGAGGAGCCAGAAGATGGATCGGAACCAGAAGATAACGAAGATGAGAATGAGGTGGCATCAAGTGGTGATGAGAACGAACCCAGTGCCTCCGAGGCAGATGGCGACGCAGCTGAGGATGAGAAGCTAACGTGGAAGGATCTCGTATGTGACCAACCTCAATATGACCCTTTGGATTTCCTCTAAGGCTTGTACTTTCCCTTAGGGTCTTAATGAGACTTTGTGTCAAGCGTGCGAAGAACTAAAATGGAAGGCGCCATCAAAAATTCAGCGCGAAGCCATTCCGGTGGCGCTTCAGGGAAAGGATGTGATTGGCCTAGCGGAGACAGGTTCCGGCAAAACTGGAGCCTTTGCACTGCCAATTTTGCACGCCCTTCTCGAGAATCCCCAGCGATATTTCGCTCTAGTGCTAACGCCCACGAGGGAACTGGCCTTCCAAATCGGCGAGCAGTTTGAGGCACTTGGTGAGTCTTTATCATTTTTTTTTTAATTGTCCTATTTTATTCCACACAATGATGTTAAACCTGTTTTGATTTTGTTTATCAACGAAAATATGAAATTATTATTTCCTTATTCGTCACTACCTCTGAGTTAAAATCCTAACAATAAGCTGTTATCGTTATCTTAAATCACACGAACTCATGCTAGATACACTGTTTTCCAGGCAGCAGCATTGGCATAAAGTGCTGTGTGGTCGTCGGAGGCATGGATATGGTTGCCCAGGGCCTGCAGCTGGCCAAGAAACCGCACATCATTATTGCCACACCTGGCCGTCTGGTTGATCATTTAGAGAATATGAAAGGCTTCAACCTAAAAGCCATTAAGTACCTGGTCATGGACGAGGCTGATCGTATCCTTAACATGGACTTTGAAGTAGAGCTGGACAAGATCCTTAAGGTGTTACCACGAGAACGGCGAACTTTCTTGTTCAGTGCTACTATGACCAAGAAGGTGAAAAAACTGCAGCGCGCATCGCTCAAGGATCCGGTTAAGGTTGAGGTGTCTAACAAGTACCAGACGGTTGAACAGCTGCAACAGTCATATCTGTTTATTCCCGTTAAATACAAAGATGTTTACCTGGTACATATTCTCAACGAACTGGCGGGCAACAGCTTCATGATTTTCTGCAGCACCTGTAATAACACGGTCAAAACAGCCCTGATGCTTCGGGCCTTGGGATTGGCTGCTATTCCCTTGCATGGCCAAATGTCGCAGAACAAGCGACTGGCTGCTTTGAACAAATTCAAGGCGAAGAATCGTTCGATTCTCATATCCACGGACGTGGCCTCACGCGGATTAGATATCCCCCATGTGGATGTTGTGGTAAACTTTGATATACCCACGCACAGTAAAGATTACATCCACCGTGTGGGAAGAACAGCAAGAGCTGGTCGTTCCGGCAAAGCCATCACCCTGGTTAGCCAGTATGATATTGAGTTGTACCAGCGCATTGAGCACCTCTTGGGCAAACAACTACCACTGTACAAGTGCGAAGAAGACGAGGTAATGGCCCTACAAGAGCGAGTGGCTGAGGCTCAGCGCACCGCCAAGCTGGAGCTGAAAGATCTGGAGGATACCAAGGGTGGCAGGGGCCACAAGCGGGGAGGGGACAATCTCGACGATTCTGAGCACTTTACGGGCGCCCGCAAACGAATGAAGCCTATGGGTGGCGGTGGTGGTGCTAGCAGAGGAGGCGGGGGCGGTGGAAAGAAGGGCTTCGGCAAGAAAAACTGGAGCAAAGGCAAACAGAAGAGATAGTTCTGATTTGCATTATAGTTAAGTCTCGATTTTAATTAGTACTACTTTAATCTTTAAAAATAAAAATAAAACGATTATTAAAAAGATCCATTTTTATTAAATGAAGTATTCAAATTTCCATCACATCAATACAAAATATTTGTAACAAGTAGATTATTTTCGTGTTGTCGGGTGAAGAATAACAGCTTAATATTAATTCTAATATATATAAAGTTACATTCGATTGTGTGACTGAGTCGAACTGTTAGTGTAGTCATTGGAGTTATGAGAACTATTGCTTCCATTAGAGTTGTGTACGAGCCTTGGGGGCTCTTTAAAACTAGTTACCGTTGAATGTCGTTTAAGTGCAGGACACTGCTGGCCAGCAGCAAGTGGAGTGATAAGCGAAGAAGGATTGGGAACCATACCTGGCGGGCTCTGACTTAAGCTATCACTCCTATTTACCATATTCGACATATTTGACAAAATCGACATAATAGTTTCATTCTTACAAATAGCCTGCGGATGAAGGGTTATCAGAGCAGCGGCTTTCATAAATTTGTCTCCACGGCTTATAGATGATTGCAGTATCGTTATCAAATTCTCCAGGGGTATATCAAAATTGAAATTCTTGTCCAGGTCAATTAGCTTATCGTAATAATCCTCCCAGTTGGCGTTAGATACAATACCCAGTATCATAAGGGTCATATCTCGAAATTTATGAGCTTTGACTGGAAGCCACACATACTCCATGATGCGCTTAACTGCCTCTTTCTGCATACCGACTTTATGAAGAGCTCCATAGGCATGGGAGAGCAGAGGAGCAGCAATGACTTTGTACAAGCGGCAGTCGGACAGCATGTTCAGCAGATGATGCCAAAGCTGGCGAAGTTCAAAGACATCTACAAAGCAGATGAAGTAGGTCTGGAACAGAAAAATGCTTCTCACTGTTTGTCGATAGATGTTCACCAACGTCTCTTCATCCATCCTGATCAATCGTTTATGAACTTCGTCCAGAATGGTCAATGTATGGTCGCAGTTGAACGATCGACACCTGTTCTCCAGAGATGGCATGCATTTGACTCCTAGGACGTCTTTTAGCCAAAAGATGTCCTGTAGTTTGGATGGTGACGTGGCAAAGGGGTAACAGTGGGATGACGTGCTGCTGGTTATTGTTATCAATCGATTGAGGTGGAACACGAAAGGGTGGCGCGAATACTGGGATCGATTCTTTAGATCTTCGGGCAGATGCTGACTCTTCGCGCTGCTTGCAAATAGATAAAATTGGAGGAGTATCCACCCGTGACGCAGGCTTATCATCTATTTTCTTTTTATTTTTCAACTCCTCCTGCTCGTAGAAAGAACGCATAACTGAAGGCTGAATTTTCAACTCCTCGGCATTTATTTTTGGTATTCGAAACGAATTTGCCTTTTCCACATTTGATACTTCTTCTGTAACATTTGTCTTCAATGTTTCTTTGGCTGGATTTAAAATGGGTTTTGATCTCTTCGCTACAGTTTTGGATTTCTCAATCTGTTTGGGCTCAGATATACTCTCATCGTCGAGCCCATTCCACGAAGCAGCCACGGAGAGCACATCGTCATCATCGTCGTCGTCGTCCTTCAACTCTACGTTTTCTCCGATAAATGGGACTATCAAATCAGAATTTTCCATCTCTACCGTCGACAAACTTGGCAGTTGTTCGAAAAACTTTGTAGTATGGGCCATCTGACTATCAATTTCGCTGGGCGTTTTATTGTTGAAGTTCTTCAGGCAGCGTTCAATCTCGTCCCCTTCACGAAATATCTCTATTGGTGAGTCAAGCAGTTCAAACCTACTATCGTTTCTGAGGTGGATCCCATCCTGGGTGGGTTCGCTGCAGCCCACAGGACTAGTCAACTCCATGGCATCGTCCACTAGGTGATCTACATCCATTTTGTTGGTCGCATCTACCTTTAGTCTCTGGAGTTTATGCTCGTCGACCAGCATGTTGTAGTTGTGCTCGTAAAGATGGTTATGAATCCTCCTCGAACGGCCCGTAATAAAACTGATTTGTGAGTCCATATCCTTTCCAACGGATCCATCGATTTCTGGCCGTTTTAATTTTTTCATTTCTATTTCAGTGAGTGGCTTGTGGGTTGGCATCAATGGTGTTTGTGCGGTTTTCTGTAGCAACAAAAGTATTTTGTTAGGTAAGGTAAATTCCATGAAACTGCTTACTAATTTTACGCTAACGTTTGATATGGTCCTTTCCTTGTGGGATGCTAACTTTGGATCGTAGTGATGTCGAGACTTGGAGGACTGCTGCTTTCCAGATGGCATTGAAAAGTTTTGCATTTCCTTATTGATCTCTTCTTGCGTGGATGTCTGCGGATTTTCCTGCAACTTCTGGATTATTGTTGTTTTATTCGGTCGTGCTTTAGGCATCCTCCGTTGCATTTCTTTGCACTGCCGTTTAGAAGCTTTTTGCAGTGGATTCGCCTGAGCCTTCTTCGCTTTTGGTTTCATTATTGCTTTCTCCGGAAGAAGCTTATTCTTCATGATCGAACTAGATTTGGATGGTGGATAGGTCATCTCGTTAAAATGCTTTGTTTTCATAAGCTCTGCCTGGAGCCTGGCCTGCTGGGCCTTCTCCAGAAGCGAGGGGCGTCCTCTTTTACGTTTTGGAATCTCAGGATGGGAATCTTGAGAAGACGACTTTTTTTTTAAAGGACCCCGGGATTCAGTTTTCGGTTTATTAATTTTCTTTTTTATCAACCATTCGGAAAGAGGAAGTCGGTCATTTAATTCTTCGCTTGAATCTATTAAAAGATTATGCGACATTGGTTTAAAGACTGAATTCTTCGTGGGTTTGGGTGCTTCATATTTTGGAGTATCTGTTTGAACACATGGCTTCGAGGGATTCAAGGCGAGAACATCTGGGAAGGTACATGCGTTTTGTTGATTGGGATTTGAGACAAGAGCTTGTGTCGGGTAATTGGATATTTTAAGATTTGGCTGCAAACATGACTCATTATGCTTAGAGGAAGATGAAGAAGTACTAGCACTGGTTGGTTTTCGGCTTTTGTACGAGGAAACATCTTGCTGAGAACATGTATATCGGCGCGTAATGGGATCCACTGTTTTAAGATCTGACGAAGAACACATATAATTTTGCTGTGTGGAATAAGCTTTAAGAGAACCAGCACTTGATCCTAAGATCTTTTTCCGTTTCCAGAGTTTAACATATTCGGATTCACTTAGGTTTCGAGGAACACTTGATATTTCTTGTTCTTCACCAATAAGCACAGAAGCCGAGTGCGCTATTGTATCGCGACGCTTGCTGAGATTATGAGATTTCAGAGAAGGCGAATGTGCTATTGTATCACGACGCTTGCTGAGACGGGGAGCTTTACAGGAAGGGGAATCCTCTTTGCTATCGTGGCGCTCAGCGAGATTAAGAGTTTTATGACGAGAAGGCGCTGTGGTATTGGAACGGTCGTTAGAGTTATCAGATTCAAAAAGCACTGCGGTATTCGAATCTATAGCCACCGATTTTTGAGAGGTTTCCGTAGTAAGTTTTCTCGGTCTGACCAAGAATTCCGTCCTTATGGAAATCTTAGGATCCTGTTGAGGGCATATAAAAATTAACTTTTATTTCTTGTATCTAACCGAGAACTTACAATGCTGCTTTGGATGTAATACGGATTTTTCCAGCTCTTAAGATATCGACGGAAAATTATATCCCATTCCTGCGGAGGAACAGAATCGGTTCCTATTATGGTCAAAATCTCCTGCCAGCAGAACAATATTTGCCGCATCCTCATCTTTACATGTTTTTAACGAAATCGACGCACTTGAAATTTCATTCAGACACGCTTTGTCAAGTTAGCGGTTCTTTCCAGGGTGACCATAGGTTTAACTGTTCACGTAAGAAATACTAGAATTTCTTAAGCACTGAAACGGTCTCATTAACAGCCTTTGTGCTGTTTTTGAACTTTTACGATTATTATTAAACGTATTTAGTTTGAACCACCCTTTCTATAATTTTAGATAGAAATCTAAAAAATAAACATTCCCATTTAAAATATTCTTTAAGAAGCTAAAAAAAAAACCAAAAACAAGTCACTTTTTAGGTTTACATATTATAAACAAATGCACACGTTACAATATGTGCATTTAAGAATTTATTGGTTTTGCTGTTACCTGGCGAAATTACAAGGAATTAAACTAATTAAAACTTCTAGACGATATAGAGAAATCAAAAGTCAGAATTGTACTAATCATAAATATTTGCACAACGCACACGGCCAGTTGCAGTGTAGCTACAGTCGTAAGGTGTAAATCCCATCCCTCAGTTAAGAGCATTGCACGTCGAACAGCTCGCAGATTCCTTCATCACTTTTTAACGCAAAGTTAAAGTCTTCTTGGGGTGGATTAAGCTGCACCAGCGGCGGGTTTTCTGCAACAGGAATGTCGAAACAAGTTAGGAAAGTTCCTTAAAAAGCCCAATAAAAACTATGCCAACCTAGATTGGGATCATCAGGATAAAATCTTCGCAACGAGTGCCCAGACAGATAATTTTGGAAGATGATCTTTGCGGTCAGCTCGTTCTCCAAAAGCTTCATCTCATCCTTCATATCGGGATTACAAGAATATCCATGCTCGTCCGTGATAACATTCCCTGTTCCAGCATTAGCATCTTCGCTGGAGTGCGACGATGTTGAAGGTGAGGGCGTATCCAAACGGCGATAGTCGAAGAACCCATCCGCATCATGCGGATTTGTGGTGCTCTTGCCCTGGTTCGTCACCAAGCGAATGTCGATTGTGCTGCCATTATCCAGAGATACCGCCAGTTCATACTGCAAAGTAAGCAGGGATTTTAAATTATTCACCTGTATGCTCATATCGTACAGTTGGTTTAGCTAAACTAATCCATAACAAACAATAAATCAGGTTAATGAACTGCAATTAGTTAGATCATTTACAACAAAAACTTAAATATCGTATAAATAATAATAAATAATTTATAAAATGGAAAGTAACCTACTTCATTGCGCTTGATGTCCACTTCCTCGTCATAGTTGGGGATGGTAAATACTGAATCATCTCCAAAAATGTCTAGCAGATCGTCACGTGTCACATAAGCGTAAGACCGATTCGAGGGGTCCTGCATAACATACCGCAGGTTGCGTTGAGCATACTCTAATTGTTTGTCCAGATCTTCTTCTATCGTCTTCAGGTGACTAGTCCGGCTTCGAGCTATGTCGTAGTCCTCTTGATCCTTGGCATTGTTGAATCCCCCGCCGCTAATAAAAGTTAAATTTAAATAAATACTTGTAGTTACTAAAGTAAACTAATATTTAATATAAAATTCTTATTTGCTTAATTTTGGTTTAAAAAAATCCACCTGAGTGTACAGTTTTTTCTGTATTTCATTTTTTCAACCCCATTTTTCCCAATTTACTGGCAATTTTTACTTGCCAGTTCGAGTTGACTGAATTCGCCCTAAAATGCAAATAAGCACCTACCGCCAGCGCACTAGGGAGCAGTGTCTGCCCTTATCTATTAGTCCAATGCCCTCCAAAACATTGGTGATGTCGTATATTCTTCGCTTTTGCACGTCCAAGATTTTCGTGGCCTACAAATCGGTAAATATTGGTTTACAGAGGTAAACATAGATGTGATCCCCAATCATACCGCTTTCAGATCGATAGAGCCGCCGTTGGCCTTCATTAGTTCCACAAACTTCTGGGTAAGCAGGACCAGTGAGCCCACGGAGCGTTGTTGTCCAGGCAGCGACTGTGATTGTGAATGCGACGGAGACTTGATCGGTGTGGGCGGATCCGGGGATGTGTCCATAGTGACGGAAGCGGGTTCGTAATTCTGCGATTGAGACAGAGATTCATCCGATTCCACGTTGCCAGCGTCCATCATCATCATCATCGAGGAGGAGGTGCCCGCTGCAGAGCTGCCTTCTCTTTTAACAATACTCGCTGTTTTGCGCTTGTACATGGTCCGCAATCGATTTGATAGATCTTTTCCCGTTCTGGTAACTCTTTGTGTGTCCCTACTCGATATGAACTGACCACTAACCGAGAAATAATTGTAGTTTGGAGCGAAAATTAAACGAAAATACGAATGTTGGCGCTAGGTTTGCTTTCCGCCATTTATGTCACTTTTTTCATTCTCCCTCTATTCTTCGTGCGCACTGCGCAGTGTGGCAAAGCGAAACGGCGCGATGCGATAGTTAATCGATTAATCGATATGTGGCTACTTTACAACACTTTATTTTCAAATATAAAATCGTTCATTTATTGCCATTTTAACATTTTTTTTTTGTCCGAACAGTTTAATTCTTCTTTCGCCTTGAAACCTATTTAATAACTTATCTGGGTATTTTGTACCTCACGAAGCTTAGCTATGTGCTGCGCTTTATATTCTGAAGAAATTGTACTTATTCTGATCCTAGTTTCCTTTCAGGATTTACATCGCCCTCATCATAAAGGACTGTTCTTTGCGTCAGCAGTTTGCTTAAATTCGATTGCGTTTCACTTTGTAAGATTTGCTCTTGGGGATTATAAGCAATCGCTTTCAGAGAATATTATGATCAGACTATCTTTATTTTTCTTAAACGATCGCATGAAGCTAGACGCTGGGATTTTTTTTATGTGGGGACGACAGCATTACACATAATTCTGTAAATAATTTTGACAGACTCTTTTCAAAAAATTAATAAAAAATACTTTACAACACTTTATTTTCAAATATAAAATCGTTCATTTATTGCCATTTTAACATTTTTTTTTTGTCCGAACAGTTTAATTCTTCTCTTTCGCCTTGAAACCTATTTAATACCTTATCTGGGTATTTTGTACCTCACGAAGCTTAGCTATGTGCTGCGCTTTATATTCTGAAGAAATTGTACTTATTCTGATCCTAGTTTCCTTTCAGGATTTACATCGCCCTCATCATAAAGGACTGTTCTTTGCGTCAGCAGTTTGCTTAAATTCGATTCCGTTTCACATTGTAAGAATTTCCCTTAAGGATTACAAGCAATCGCGAATCGCTTTCAGAGAATATTATGATCAGACTATCTTTATTTTTCTTAAATGATCGCATGAAGCTAGAGGCTGGGATTTTTTTTATGTGGGGACAACGGCATTACACATAATTCTGAAATAATATTGACAGACTCTTTTCAAAAAATTGTCAATAAAGGATATAAAGCCTGATGTCTTTTATTTCTTTTTTAAAAAAGTAAAATACCTAAAACCTTTTGAAATATTTTAAACCATTTCAAATTTTGGTTCAATTACCATTATTATTTGTATTTCCTTCTTTGTGCATGCAAAGATGCAATGTTCAATGCCGGTTGTTTATTATTTGACAAGTATTTTAAATATGGTGTCGTCACGAGGGCGCGCCACGTTTTCTTGCTGAGCTCAATGACGCTGTGCAACACTGATCCTTTTTTGCAGTTTGTTTTGTTCGCTCATTTTGCTTTGGGAAAAAATCAACGTGCCCGAGATTCCACCTTATTGTAACGGTCATATAAATTTCTACGTTATTACAATAAACCGGTAAAATGCCATCCAAGACGAAGCCGCGCCTTTCTCGTGGCGTCCTGGACATGAAGTTCATGCAACGCACAAAGGTCAAAGTGGAAAAAGAGGCCGATGATGAGCAGAGTAGGGCACTGTACTCCAATGAGATCAACGAGAAGATGCTTAATTCTACTTCAAACTTCCTGGTGGAGTCCAGCTATTCGATATGCGCCGGTCTCATTGACGGACGTCTCAGTTTCCGAGGCATGAATCCGGAACTGGAGCTGCTCATGGAACAGGAGCTTGCCGAGAAGCAGGCTCACACAAAGCCAGAACAGCCCAAAGAGGTCTCTGACCAGGACATGGCTAAGGCCTACTATGCCAATAAAGCGCCCACGGTCTCCAGCAGCATGGCCAAAAAGTTCAGCTCTAAGAAGGACTTTAAAAGGAAACAAAAGGGCGATACGAATGGAAGTCCGCATCCCAAGAAGAAACAGCAGTTCAAGAAACCCCGCTCGGATGAGGATTAGTTAACTCTTTAGTTGTTAGTTACTACCCTAGCTACTAGTTTAATAAAAATTACGGTTCAATTTGATTCGCTTAGTGGTTGTTTTACCGCTTGCAGGGCATAGCACATTTGGGTGTTGTTTATCCACCGCCAGGTGTTGCTCCAAAAGTCGTAAGTACTTCCATTCACTAGGACCGTTTGACAGTTCACTACAATGTAGAATACAAGTTATAATTTAAAATAGTACTAAGCTCGAAAAAAGAAAAAGTTAAAAAAAAAGAAACCTACTCGTATCCAAGATACGCTGAACATCTAAGGGTGAAATCATCTTGTCCCAGTGATGCGTTCCCTTGGGGACTAGATGTAGAACATATTCGCTTAGAATTACGCCACCGAACCAACTGGGTATGGTCTTGTTCAGGGTGGTGATGAAAATTGAACCTCCAGGCTTAAGGGTTCGCACACTGGCCTCGAGCAGGGCCACTTTATCGTCGACATGTTCCAATACTTCGGATACTATTACAGCATCGTAGCATTCACAATTGGACTTTGCATGCTGGTCCACAGGCTCCATTTTGTACACCACATTGGTAGCCAGTTCTGGACTAGATAAATTGAGGTGATCGCGAGCAGCCTCTATTAACTTCTCGCCAAGATCTATGCCCGTTACCTGGGCACCAAGGCGCGCCAGTTGCTCCGTAAGAAGTCCACCACCGCATCCTACCTCTAAAATATTCTGACCGCGCAACACTCTGGTTGTATTTACGTAACCAGGCTTCACTGTGCCGCGCGAAACGATGCCATCTCTGATAAAGGGAACCCTAAAAATCGGGATTCTTTTCTGAATTACATTTAAATTAAGAGGAAATCAAATCATTTACCTTATCTCATTCAGGGCATGGAGAGCACCCATGGTTCCGTTTTGGTTCCACCACTCAGAGGCATGATTCTCATGGTGGCGAACTTCCTTTTGAGTGCCGGCATCCAGAGACGGTGCTGTGCTGTTATTCCTGGGCAAATTTCGGGCCAGAACACAGGCCAGGGACTTCCTCAGCTTGCTGGAATGAGACCATTTGTAATTTGATCTATTATCGCACGTAATTTCTTATTTTACCCGCTTGCAAACAATGAATTTCGCAGCATTTTTGACGGCAACAACAAGTTTTGATAATAAAACAGCTGACTTTGTTTTGCTGCAACTGGCAAAAACAGGGGCGTAACATTTAAGGGGATCTAAAAAAACTATATATGTACAAACATATAAGATCGGCAATATGAAACTGTAGATTCATCAAATTATCGAAATAAATTGAACAGAAATTATTTTATTCAAACACTTTCTTAAATTTTTTGTATTCTAAAACAATATATAACGTATAACCCATTAGATCTATGGTAAATTTAACCCTTTTTCTTTCCACCACTGAAAACTCAGAGATGGAATGAAAAGAACAGTGAGAGGGTAACTATTGGAATGGAACACACTTCCAAGTTCCGATCATTGGTTCTTTATCATTCTTCGTTTAGCGCAAATTCAAGAGAGTCGCAGCCATCATCACCTGCCGTATCGATAAAGATAACAAGCCTTTGTGGCTAATCGCAAATCTTAACGTTTTTCGCCATGCCGGAATACAAAAAGCTGGAAAATCAGGATACGGATGTGGAGAGTGCGCCTCGCCCCGTCCAGGACACCCAAGGGGAACCAAGGCCAGCAGCCCAAATGGTGACAGTGTCCTTGATAATGCTCCTGTTCCTCGGCAGCTCCTACTTCCAGGTATTTTATATTTTATTTTAAAATTCGTTAGTGAATAAAAACCAATAGTCATACCAATATCGTTCCTTCAGCCACGACCACGCCTCCATCAGTATCAAGGAGGCAGGGGACATGGCTTGCATCAAAAGTATGACTGCAACATCCAATTAGTAGAGTCCATTCCCATTGGCCTCACATATCCTGAAGGTAGCCCAAAATTCCTAAGCACCTATGAAGCCTGGCAGCAGTTGTTGGACAGCGCAAAGACCTCGCTGGATATAGCTTCCTTCTATTGGACACTTAAAGCCGAGGATACTCCTGGGGTAAAGGATAACAGCACTCAGCCAGGCGAGGACATCTTTGCCAGACTCCTGGCCAACGGAAACGGAGGCAGCCGGTCACCGAGGATAAAGATTCGCATTGCCCAGAGCGAGCCCTCCAGTGTGTCTCCAAATTTAAACACAAAGTTGTTAGAAAGCGCTGGAGCCGCCGAGGTTGTAAGCATCTCGTTTCCCAAGTACTTTGGTAGTGGAGTCCTTCACACCAAGCTCTGGGTGGTGGATGACGAGCATTTTTACCTGGGCAGCGCCAATATGGACTGGCGGGCACTCACCCAGGTCAAGGAAATGGGCGTTCTCGTACAGAATTGTCGGCAATTGACACTCGATGTGGCCAAGATCTTTTCGGAGTACTGGTATTTGGGCAACAGCGCACCATCCAAGATTCCCAATTGGGACTGGTCATACAGGACCAACTTCAACTTACAGCAACCCATGCAGCTAAACGTGAACAAGAATACCACTATGGAAGGTTTTCTTTCCAGCTCACCACCCCCACTATCAGCCTGGGGGAGAACAAACGACCTGGACGCAATTCTCAACACTATCAATTCGGCCATAACGTATGTTAATATTGCTGTAATGGACTACTATCCACTGATCATCTATGAGAAAAACCACCACTATTGGCCGTTTATCGACGATGCACTGCGCCGGGCAGCTGTGGAACGGGGCGTGGCGGTTAAGCTGCTCATATCCTGGTGGAAGCACTCTAATCCCAGCGAGGACAAGTACTTAAAGTCCCTACAGGATCTGGCCTCAAAAAAAGACAATGTTGATATACAAATTGTAAGTATGAAGAAGGAAAATTAGAATTACAAATCTTATTAATTTATAATTTTCTCCAGCGCCGCTTTATTGTGCCAACGGATGCAAGCCAGGAAAATATTCCATTTGGCCGGGTCAACCACAATAAATACATGGTCACTGATCGAGTGGCTTACATCGGCACATCCAACTGGAGTGGCGACTATTTCACGGATACTGCTGGTATTGGCCTGGTGCTAAGTGAAACTCATGAGACGGAGAGCACAAATACATTAAGGAGCGATCTGCGCAACGTTTTCGAGCGGGACTGGAATAGCAAATACGCCACTCCGCTAAAATAATCGTTATTTGATTCCACTTATTTTAATCCAATCCCAATGTTATAAAAATTGTTCAATTCTATTCATTGCTTTTATTCCGTTTTGATTATGTGTTAGGGTAAATAAAAGACTCGTTTTACGGCCATAACAGAAAATACAAATTAATACACGTACTTTGTGAATTGGAATAATATAAGTGTGTGGTGTATAAGGTATGTACAGTGAGCAACAAAAAATCATATAATAATAAAATTCATTATTTCTTCATCGGTTTTCAGTCACATTATTTGCTTTTGATTTGTAACATGTGTCCTACCTGAATTAAACCAATCTGCCTTGCTAGTTGTGTACTAAATATACGTTAAATACTCTTTTCAACTGTAACTTTTGAACTTAATTTACGTTGGGCAAACGCCTTTGTCGTCGTCTACATGAGAATCGTTATCCGTCTAAGGGAGTGCTTGACTATATCCGGGTGCAACTCATCTATCACTTAACGTTGGCTCCACGCCTGAGGAAATTATTGCTGGCAATACTCTTCTCGATTGCTACGTGAATGGAGGAAACTCGGGCAAGCAGCGTGTTATATATCAGTAGCAAACAGCGCGCGTCGATTGCTGAAAGGGAAAGTACATTAGCAATACTAAATTTAGGATGATAAATTCCTAACTCACCGGCATAGAGAATTTGCTCGCGGCGCAGCGGTCGATTGGCCCAGTTGGAACACTGGTTTGACTTGTTCAGCTTCTTGCCGAGGCATGTCAATGATAGATCCGTAAGGGCGTCTCCGGTCCGGTTCACATTTCCATATGGAAGCTCTACGCCGAAACGCTGCTTCTTCAGCTCTAGCCAGAGGTTGCGCAGGTCTAAGTAGTGGTGAGGCATTTGAAGGCGTAATTGCAGTGGCAGTGAGCGCTGCAACACATTGAGATCGCTGTCCATGGAGAAGCCCACTTTGCGAATGTTAACGTTGTTGAATATGTTTGCGCCCAGCAGTCGCCAGTGCTCCGATCGCAGACTCTCCTTCGCTAGGCAATCGATCAGGTATACATTGTGGCCGGTAGCGATCTGTAGCACGCAAAGCTGACTGTCTCCGCGCACACTCATCATCCACTCAGAATCCAAGAAGATTATTTGCTCCTGCTGCAATTGGTACAACATGCAATCAAACTGTGCAGCCTTGTCCACAATGATAAGGCACTCGTCCGGCAGGTCCATGGTCAGGTACATATCACAGCCGCTCGCCGAACAGCTATCCTCGCTGGTGGATTCCCAGTCTGCCGCTTTTCCATCGATACTTTGCAAGACCTGCGTCTTAATCTCCAGGGGACAATCCTTTGGATTTATATTAAACTCCTTGTACCAGTAGATGGCCTCTAAATGAGCCCCCGTTAAGGCAATATGGTCCACAAAGTCCTTCCGCAGGGTATAATCATAGGCATGTACGCTCACTAGTTCCCGAAAACTAGCCAGGTTGATGCGCGCCTTTTCGTACTCGCGATAAAGGTATTTAAGGTAGCCGCCCGTCTTAGTAAACTTGTAGTTGGGAGTGACATCATCATCAAAACCGTACTTTTTGGCCAGACGCGCCACTATCTTAGCCATGGGCCTATAGCTTAGCATATGATGCGAGATTTTCAAATTCTTGTATCGACTGCGGGAAAAGAGCATAGAATTTATCTAGATTTGCACACATAAATGTGTATTCAATTGACTTACTCCAGCAGGTGCTCGCAAAGCTCTATGACTGACTTTTCTTTGTGCAGCAGCGAGTCCAAGAACTTTACGAAGGGCAGACGATGCTGAGTGGCGTGGTCCAGATATTCTTCTGCGAGGGGTAAATTCTCCATGGCAACTAGCGGAAAGGCCAGCTCCATCATATCGAACTCATGTGTCAGCTGCAGGCTAATGGACCATTGAGTGACTTCCTTGTAAAGGCCGCCGTCCAGGAGTTCGCGCAACTTGGGCAGCAAAAGGTCCCGGATCTCGCTCAGCCCGTAGGCATAGATTACAGCTTTGTTAAGGGATAGCAAGCCGGAGGTCTTTACAAAATTAAAGGCTATCATGCTTGTGTTGGGATCACATCCCTGACTGAGATGGGGGTACTCCTCGTGGAGCTTGCACACTGTGTCCAGCACAAAATGTGACAGGCTCTTAATTTTAATGTTGCTACTGTCCGGACAGTTGGCGAATATCTTAAGGGCCAGCAGGAGAGGTTCCTGGTGACCAATAAGGGCCTTTCCAAATTCCTGGCGCAGATGGGGCGACTTTTTCTTGCTGTACATGTTCCACTTCTCGCGGAATAATTTAAAGAACTTCTCCGCTTCCGCGTCCAATGTGGCGTCGAAGTCTCGCCCGTTGATCCCAGCACCTGTTGTGATATCCTCCAACCGCTTAATCTTCAGGTTGGTCATAAGGTATTCCATCTCCTCTTCGTCCGACTCCAGGCCGGCGGGTATTGCGTTGTACATGTGGTTATTGCGTGCCATTTTCTACCGGCGCCTCTTCTTTAGGGTTGTTGATAATATATCAAAATATCAATATATCGATATTTTTTTCCAAAAATGATATATTTATATCGTGATATTTTTTTTGGCCAAATATCGAAATCATGATATTTTTTTTTGATATTTTTTTGATATATTTTCATTTCCTTTCCATTTTAAAGCGTTGATTACTTTATTAGATAGAAAGATACCGGAAAAATGAATGTTAAATCAAATTACACAAATATAACAGGCGGCACCGCCAAGTGCATACATTGTACTAAAACAATAAAGACCAGCGGAAATACATCGAATCTGTCTTTTGTTTTTGTTTTTGCAAAATGCGCGCAAAAGAAGGTATGTATGTATGTATGTAAGGCATGTGTGTGTGTGAGTATGTGCGTCTATGGGTTCCAATTCCAATGAAATATACAAAAAATACAATATATTCATTTGTTTTAATTTTTAGCGACGCTAGAAGCAGAATGACCGACATAAACATCAAACAATGAGTATTTTTAAAATCTTTAAAGTCCGCAAATTGGGTTTAGTGTTAAATTTGCTTTAGTTAAAATAATAATTAAAAAATTTAAAAATTTATAAAACTTGTTTATTTTTTATTACGCAAAAAAAATTTTTTCATTAAAAATATCAAAAATATCAAATATATCGATATTTTTTTCGGTGATTTTTAAAATATTATCATCATATTTTTTGATAAAAAAAATATCATCGATACGATATTTTAAAAATATTCGACAACCCTACTCTTGTTCCGAATGAACGAAGCAAGCGAATTGCAGTTGCAATTGACAAGTAAAAATTTTGCTTGCGACTTTCTGAGTCGCCAACAACAAAATACGGTTGCAAAAACCGTCAATAGTGCTACCAATTTGGTGTTTTTTCAGCTTTACAATTTTTGGTTATATCAATAAGGTAAGATAATGGGAAAATATATATATTCTTTAATTTTGAACAAGTAAACAAGAAAATTATTTGTAATTAAATTAACAATATATGTTTTTATCTATATTTTTAAATAGTTTTTAGTTTTATTTTTAGCTTAACGTTGACTTTCCATTTCCAACGCGATGGCACCACTGTCCAGATATTTGACGATGTGGCAACTCCGTTAAGAGGCGCACGTGCGATTTTGTTTTAGTTTGCTCGTGTAAAAATGAAGTTGACTACGAAAAAAGTTAAGACCCTGGGCAAGTCCAAACCAGGAGTAAGCAAAAAGAAGTCCCCAAAAGATATCCTAAAAGGGATAAAATCTAAGAAGGTGGAAAAATCTTCAGAGTCCAAAGCTGTCAGCAAGAAACCCAAGCAAAAAGCCACTGGACCATTGAAAAATGGGAAGTCTGCAAAGAAGGGCTCCAAGAAATCACATCAGGAGGAGTTAGAAGGGCTCAAGGATCTAGACCCGGAGTTCTACGATTTCCTTAAAAAAAATGACAAAAAGTTGCTGGAATTCAATTTACTGGACAGCGATGAAGAGGAAGACGAGGAGGAGATAGTTAAGGGCAAGAAGGCGTCTGCAGAAAGTGAAGACGACGAGGATGACGAAGAGAAGTATCATAAACCCAGCGAGGATTTGGCTGTGGCAAGCGATGAGAGTGATTTTGAGGAAGAGGATGAAGTCGAAACTGGTGGCACTCAGAAGATCACACTCAACCTGTTGCATCAGTGGGAGCAACAATTGGGCCAGTCCAACGTCTCAATCGACGTTGTTCGCAAGGTGATTCAGGCCTTTAATTCAGCCTTGGCCAGCATATCAGCCGATGGAGCAGACGGCGGCGAAAACCAGCCTAATGCAGCCGCCTTCAAAGTTGTGGGAGCAGCCGCCTTTAATGGAGTCATCCAGCTTTGCGTGATCCACCTGCAGCCTGCCATTATTCGATTACTGGGCGTTAAGCCCAACAGCAGCTTACCTCTGCACAAACACAAGAAGTGGGTCAAAGTACGCGGCTGCCTGCGCTACTACCTCACCGATCTAATACGTCTAGTAGAACAGGTGTCCAGTCCCAATATTTTGGGTGTGTTGTTAAAGCATTTGCATCAAATGGCCGGCATGGTGGTACCCTTTTCTGCACTTGGAAAGACCATCCTGAAACGTCTGGTTGTTCTGTGGGCGACTGGGGACGAAACTGTCCGTGTACTGGCCTTTCTTTGCATCCTGAAGATAACCAGAAAACAGCAGGTAATTATCAGGCACATCAATTAAGTACCACGTTCATTTTACTGACATCAATAATTTTTTTAGGCTACCATGCTAAACCACGTTTTAAAAGCCATGTATTTGGCCTATGTAAGGAATTCCAAGTTCGTATCCCCTAACACCTTGCCTGGAATTAACTTTATGCGCCGCTCTCTGGTGGAGATGTTCGCTTTGGATTTGAACATCAGTTATCAACATGCTTTCCTTTACATCCGTCAATTGGCCATTCACCTGCGAAACGCTGTAATACTAAAAAAGAAGGACAGCTTCCAAGCGGTATACAATTGGCAATTCATTAACTCCCTGCGTCTGTGGGCAGATCTTCTCGGAGCAAGTGCAAACAAACCGCAGCTGCAGCCTCTGGTGTATCCTCTGGTTACTATTGCCACTGGAGTGATTCGACTAATACCCACCGCTCAATACTTCCCGCTGCGTTTCCACTGCCTGCAGACACTTATTACACTGGCCAAGGAAACCAATACATATGTGCCTGTGCTTCCGCTTATTGTGGAGGTATTAAAGAGCAACACCTTTAATCGTAAGCACTCGTCAGTCTCCATGAAGCCACTGCAGTTTACTTGCATCCTAAGGCTCAACAAAGGGCAGTTGGCGGAAAATGGTTTCCGGGATGAAGTGATCGAGCAGGTATGTGGTCTCCTGCTAGAGTATCTCGCTCATGAGTCTGCCTCTCTGGCCTTTAGCGACTTAGTAGTGCCCACTGTAATTGCCATCAAAGCGTACCTAAAGGATTGCCGGAATTCTAACTACGCCCGCAAGCTGAAGCAGCTTCTGGAAAAGATCCAGGAAAGTGGCCGTTTCATAGAACAGCATCGCGGCAAGAGTAGCGTTACCTTTGACATAAAGGATGCTCAAGCGGTGGCCGCTTGGGAGCAACAACTTCGCATGAAGCGAACGCCCCTAGACATTTACTACTCCAGCTGGCTAAAGACGCACGAGACAAAGAAGCGGCGACAGGCGGCACAGACGGACGAAATAAATGCTGACTATGATGTTCCTAAGCTAAAGAAGCTGCCTGCGAAATCGGGAGTGCCTGTGAGAAATGAGAATGGCGAGATCGAGCTATTCCCATCAGATTCGGAAGATGAAGGTGATGATGGCCTGAACGTGGAATCAGATAATGATGACGATGAAGGCGAGGAAGTAGAGGAGGAGGAAGTAGAGGTGGAGCAGCCCAAAGCCAAGAAGGCGAAGAAGGATAAGCACGAGGAAGTGAAATCACAGCCAGCAGCAGTCGAAGATGATTACGATGAAACTGGTGGAGCCGTGGACATAGTAAAGGACTTAGATTTGAACGATTGGTAGAACATTTAAGATCAATTTATCTATATTTACACATTAAATTCTTAAAAAATACCAAAACTAGAGTTACTTCTCCGGAGGCTCCTTTCCAGGAATAAACTCGTACTCCTTGTATTTGGGGAAGGTTCCGATTGTGGGTCCGTCCACCTGCTTAGGTAGCGCCTTATCGTCCTTACCCTTGGCATAGGTTGCCTCCAGTTCGGCGGCATTGCGTTTCTTCATTTCCATAATCTGTAGGTTCTTCACCAGCTCCTCGCGTGTTGGTGGCTGGTCACGACGCCCCCGAAGCCAAGCCTCCCACTCGGCAGTCAGCTCCTGGTCGAAAGCTTCCTTATCCGCCGGTTCAAACCACCGCGAGGGCTTCCTTTTCCCAATCGATGGGTTCGCCGGAATCTCGTAGTACTTATTCCCGAAATAGTCCTCCCCAATAAAATCCCCACGAAACTGACGCGGCCGCAGGGATTTCCAAAAGTTCTGGAAGATAATGCCGATCACATCGCGCGTCGGCTTGTTGGCCATGCTTTTGATTTACTTTACTTTTATTCGAACTGAGTGGCGAAAAATGTAAACTTATTTTAGCTTGGAGAAATTTGAGGTTAGAACTGACGTTTGTTATGACATGAACAGCTGATGGCAGTGTTGTAAATTGCCGGTAGTCAATTCAAATTCTTAAATTTGGTATTAACGGCAGTGCATAAGGACTAAACCAATCTCTCTGGAAAATTTCCAGCAAATCAGTGCGCACACTGTTGTTATTGTAGTCCATATCCTGGAGAACTAATCCAACGCCGGCAGAGTAGGTGAAATGCTCCCCCGACCAGCTGGAAGTGCCAATAACGGCAACAGTATCGGTAACCAAGTACGAATTGCAGCTTACTCTTCCACCGGAAACCCTATCCAGCTCATCCGTGGTTGGCACCACAAAGCGACGCTAAAAAAACAGTAAATTCTAAAATACATTTTTTTTAATGTAAATGATTACCATTTGTATATCCACTTCCTCCCTTATTTTGTTAAGGGCCTGTAAGGACCTTAAGAAGTGATCCTCGCTGGGATCCGAGTATTTCCACCAGGAAACTAGCAGCTTGACGGCCACACCCCGCTCCAAGGTAGCTTTACGTAGCGCATTGTCTATTAATGGCCAATATTCTAGTTTATTACTGCGCCTAAGCTGAGGTGAGTAGTCCATAAGAGAAAGGCTTATGAACTCAGTGGCCTTATCGATAGCTTCTATTATAGCATCTAGTTCGTGACTCCTTCCAGTGGCTGCAAGTCTTGGTGGTGAACTAGCTATATAGGCTCGCATTGTATGGTTTTTGCTTATGCTTAGCAAAAGGGGTCTTCTCTGATTAATGTGCGTTTGGTACATCCAAGGCCAGTACTCCGGCACCTCATTGTTACCCAGGTACCAATATGCTTTAACGATTTTTGACAGATCTTGGGCCAGATGAGGACAATTTCTGGCCAATACACCAAGTTCTTTTCGTTGAGTTAGCGATCGCCAATCCATGCTCGCGCTGCCCAAGTAGAAATGCTCCCCGTCCACCAGCCAGAGCTTAGATTGCAAATAATTGATGCCCACGACATCAGCTGCTCCATAGTTAGACAGGATGCGAGCATCGGCATGCCACAAACTGTCCTGATTACGATTAAGTACAATCCGCAGTCGCAACTTGGGTCTCCCAACATCTCCATTGGATAGTAGCCGCTGAAAAAGGTGTTCACCGGGACCAGTGCTGCTATCGTTTACATTTAACCCACGTAATGTCCAGTGCGGGGACACTATGTCCAGCGAGGTCCTTGCCCTGCCCTGCAGCCACTGCCAGGACTCAAAGGTGCTCTTTAGTTTGGGGTGGATTTCCCTTTGGCTGTAGTTCAATCCCACTGGCAGACTCTCCACCAGTTCGAGTTGACATGGCAACGGGGTCTCCACGGAAACGGGGGTGTTTGCGTTCTCATTTCGGTGGAAGGTCTCCCAAGGCAACATAAGTACAATCATGACCAGAACAAAGAGTATAAACACGGGAATGATGTAGCCGTGACTGCAGCAGCAAAGTTTTCGCTCATGCTGGAACACAAAATTGCAATTAGGACGCCAGCAGCAGGATTTAGTCACTGGAGTTGGTTCGTCCTGTTCTCTGGGCACTGGCTGGTAGTCCCTGGGTATCTCGTGCACTCCTCGTCGCTCGGACATGGCGTAAGGGTTAGGACTAACGCTGACTGGCCATAGACAAACATTTTCCCAACCATGCTTATTTATTATTCGACCAGCTGTGGGAAAGTGTCTCCCGCCCACGCATACAAACGATCAGTGTTGGATAGCGATGAGGTCCTCAGTGCTGATGCTCAAAACAAGACGAAAAAGTCAGAGCAGCATTTTGAAATAGCTAAAACATAACGTTTACGAAATCCAAAATCTTTATCTACCTGATACGTTTTTATATTCGAAATATATGATATAAACGATTCAAATAAAAATAAAATCTGTCAAATATATAATCACCAACACAACTATTATTATTTTGCGTGCAACGGGGACTGTTGATGACATTTGTGATTATAGCGGCTATGTTATGTTAATCCGCAATTACACCTAATTATCACAACCTATTACCATAGCTATGTATATAAAGAAGGATCAACCATCGATCGACTACAAAAATGTTTACAATTCTACTGATTCTCGCTTTGGCTGCGTCCGGAATTTGGACTGCAGACTACAAAATTAATCTTGAGGACTTGTATTTTCCGTGCACCGATGGCCCACCCGGATCAATAAATCTCAATGAAGCCTTTTAACTTGGATGATATGGAAGTCTTTGAGGACTTCGACGGAATTCACGTGTCAGGAAACGTAACTACCAACTGGAGTTTTCCACGCACCGATCGAATTTCCGTAAATTCAGATCTTTTAAAAGCAACTGAGCGTTCCAAAGGAAAATACAAGTGTATGTACCTTTTCAGGCTAGGTTTAACATAATGCACTTCAATCGCGGTAATTGGGAACCCACAGTCTTCAACTTGAGCACTCGGGATTTTTGCGAATCAATGCTTGAAAAAAGTTCCTACTGGTTCAAATATTGGTTTCAATATTTTTTACGACGAGAGGACCTAAAAAGAACATGCATTGCCACCAAAGATGTTAGTATGATAATGATTTCGTCTTAATTTCGCTTAAAACTTACTTTTAATTTCAGACCGTTTTGGAATATAGTCCGTTTGTCGTATCTCCACGGCTGAATAACGTCATTGGCCCTCCTCTTCATGGTCGCTATAAGGCGGTGGTGATCTTCGAAGCATTCGACGAAAATAACAAGAGGCGCCCCACATGCGTATGCTTCGAGCTTAGAGGGGTGCTTGAAAAGATAACCAAATAATTTTAAAAAGTCTGTATTTTTGAATTGTATTATCAATTATTGCAATTAAATCAACCGGTCTCATTATTACGGTTGGGTCTTAAAACAAAAGTTAACAAATTGTTTTTTTTTTTTAAAATACACCCATATTTTATTAAGACATGACATAACTGAATAGTTTTGACCGAGTATGAAATTTTCCGTATAAGTTATAATTTATTTGTGTTATATATGTACCTGTAACAACTCAAGTCACTCGATTTTTAAAAATAAAATTTATTTTTAACAGTATATCCATCCAATAAAATAGTTTTCGTGTTCTGTTATATTTAAAAATAAATATTTAAAATTATTTTTTGTTTAGTTACCATATTTATGACAAATGATGGATGCAGATGTTTTATTATCGATTATTGCAGTGTAGCTATTTCTGGCGCAAAATAATTTAAAATCGCATCGCTGGCGCGAAACCGCGACGCCTACAAACACTGGCCCTCGTGCGAAAGAAGTTAGTCTGTGTTGAAATCTTCCGGCTGAGAGGGCTGAAAATTTTAACGGCTTAAAAAGTTCCGCTGCAATATCAATTCCATCGAGTGATTCGAGTATCGTTTAATTAGGACGCGAACAATGGCTGCGAGATTGATGAGCGCCCAGGCACAGGTAGGTTATATTCCTATTCCTGGAGCCTGTGCCTCCAGTCGCTCCGACAAATCGACGCAAAAACATATATATATATATAAGAATCTACGAACAGCAAGAAAAAACCCAAAATCAAAACTGAGATAAAGAGAACTGGAAACACTGCCCGAAAGTTCATGAAAAATCGTTGGCAACAATCTGCACATCCAACAGGATGTGGCCATTCGAAAAATCGCGAATTTTCGCACAGAGTTTTCTAACCTAAAAACAAAATCCAAAGTTGTTAGGTAACCGAGTACGTAGTGTTTGTGATTCTTTAGGCTCTGCATCCAAAATGGATTGAAATATTTAGAACAGTGTTCCCATGGAAATGGGTAGCATCCAGCAAATTAACAACCATTCGCGAGAGTTCGACGCTGGTCGCATTTACATAATCGCCAATGTCGCAGTTATTTAACCAGGAGACCAGGCCCTATAGCGTATATATCTTCGGGGGGAGGTCCGTCTTATCTGTGACAGGTTTACTTACACTCTGATAATGACCGGCCTAAATATAGCTTTAAATATTTTCCACTGGAGTATCACGCGCTTTAGCGAAGCATTTGCCTTTCGAGTTATTTCCATGGCAGCTTCGAGAATGGTTTCACTGTACTTGCCAACAAGTTAATGACCTATTTGACGTAATTTGCAATTGTTGCCATTTGTTTGTGTGCGTCACGTGGTTAAGCTAATTGCAAAAGGCGTTCTGGCAATTTGTAACAATTTAAAAGGCTAAACGCTGCCTTATCTCTGCATAAACAAAACAAACTATATTCCCAGCTGTTTTCTTTTTAAAAATAGATTGGATATATACATTTAAAAAAAACGTAATCTTTTGAATTTTTATAAATCTTAAAATTCGTAAGCCCAAAACCCCAGAAAGTTATTGAAGAAAAATCGTGAATCACTAGTTAAAAACATAATTAAAATATTAGTTGCCGAGATATAATATCTTGTCACATGAATACCCTTAAATATTTATAAGTATTCATGGAATATTTTTGGTCATTCAAAAATAATGAATAAGATAAAGAGACACCCTCCAGAGAGGTGCTTAACAATTTATAGTCATAGATAAGAGATCTTAAAATAACTCTTAGTTACAAAATGGAAACGGTGTCAACAATTTTGTTTTTAAAAATATATCTAGCACAATAAACTTTATTAAGCACAATAAAACGTAACGCTGCGAACAAAGGATTGTTAGGAAAACTCCATTTGCTTAGTATTTTGGTAAAATATGATAGCGGGGATTTAGATAAAACCCAGTTATTGCCCTAAAATTAGCACTAACATCAGAATATTTTTGGTGATGATCGATATTTTCCTATCTCTTTTATTTTGACATAACATCATAACTTATTAAGATTTGTGCACTTGCTGATAGAGTGGCAAAGCTCTAATTAAAGTTGAGGGGCCTCCTGACATGATAATCAAGTGTTTATTACGCTACCAACGGAATCAATCAATTCACATCGTATCATAAGAGTACGTTCTGCACCCACCAAACATCTATTGATTAAAAACTTAGAAACTGTCTTGTATGGGACTTTATACTGTATTAGTCATGACTGCTAAATTATGTTCCTACAGAGTGCTAATTACTAGATCTTGATTTGCTTCCCTTGGCACTACTCAAACTAAAGAAACAGTCTTCAGTTTTTTTTAACATATCTCCTTTGTTTTCCTTTTCCAGGTGTGCCGACTGGGCAAGCATGTTGTGGCCGAAGGGCCAGTGGTGCGCCAGTTCCACGCCTCCTGCTACACCGCCTCCAAGGTGGCTTTGTCCAAGTTCGACTCTGACGTCTTCCTGCCCTACGAGAAGCTTAACAAGCGTCTGGATATAGTGCGTGGCCGTCTGAACCGCCCATTGACTCTCTCTGAGAAGGTGTTGTACTCGCATTTGGATGATCCCGCCAACCAGGATATCGTGCGAGGCACATCCTATCTGCGTCTGCGTCCCGATCGCGTGGCCATGCAGGATGCCACCGCCCAGATGGCGCTGCTGCAGTTCATCTCCTCCGGACTGAAGAAGGTGGCTGTGCCTTCGACGGTGCATTGTGACCATTTGATTGAGGCCCAGATCGGTGGACCCAAGGATTTGGCCCGCGCCAAGGATCTGAACAAGGAGGTATACGACTTCTTGGCCAGTACGTGCGCCAAGTATGGTCTGGGCTTCTGGAAACCAGGCAGCGGTATTATCCATCAGATCATTCTGGAGAACTACGCTTTCCCCGGCCTGCTGATGATCGGTACTGACTCCCACACCCCCAACGGTGGTGGTTTGGGTGGTCTGTGCATCGGCGTTGGTGGCGCTGATGCCGTCGACGTGATGGCTGATATCCCCTGGGAGCTGAAGTGCCCCAAGGTTATTGGTGTCAACCTGACTGGCAAGATCAGCGGTTGGACTTCGCCCAAGGACGTTATCCTCAAGGTGGCCGATATCCTGACCGTTAAAGGAGGCACCGGTGCCATCATTGAGTACCACGGCAAGGGCGTTGACTCGATCTCCTGCACAGGCATGGCCACCATCTGCAACATGGGTGCTGAGATCGGAGCCACCACGTCCTTGTTCCCCTTCAACCAGCGCATGGCTGATTACCTGAAGTCCACTGGCCGCGCTGGCATCGCCTCTGAGGCCCAGAAGTACCAGGGCAAGATCCTGTCCGCTGACAAGAACTGCGAGTACGACGAACTGATCGAAATCAACTTGGACACCCTGGAGCCACATGTTAACGGACCATTCACTCCCGATTTGGGCCATCCCATTAGCAAGCTGGGCGACAACTCAAAGAAGAACGGCTACCCTCTGGACATCCGCGTAGGTCTTATTGGCTCCTGCACTAACTCCTCGTACGAAGACATGGGTCGCTGCGCCAGCATTGCCAAGGATGCCATGAGCCATGGCCTGAAGTCAAAGATCCCTTTCAACGTGACCCCCGGATCCGAGCAGATCCGTGCCACCATCGAGCGCGACGGCATCTCTGAGGTATTCGACAAGTTCGGCGGTACCGTGCTCGCCAATGCCTGCGGTCCCTGCATTGGACAATGGGACCGTAAGGACGTGAAGAAGGGCGACAAGAACACGATTGTCACCTCCTACAACCGTAACTTCACCGGCAGGAACGACGCCAACCCGGCCACCCACTGCTTCGTCACCAGCCCTGAGTTGGTCACCGCTCTGTCCATCGCCGGTCGTTTGGACTTCAACCCGCTGACCGATGAGCTCACTGGATCCGATGGCAAGAAGTTCAAGCTGAAGGCTCCATTCGGTGATGAGCTGCCCGCCCAGGGCTTCGACCCCGGTCAGGACACCTACACTGCTCCCCCAGCTGTAAGTTTATATACCAAACTGAATGTATGTTTATTATTTAATTCCATATTGCATATCCACAGAGTGGCGACAGCGTCAAGGTCGCTGTCGATCCTAAGTCGACCCGCCTGCAGCTTCTGGAGCCCTTCGACAAGTGGAACGGCAAGGATCTGACGGACCTGACCGTGCTGATTAAGGTTAAAGGAAAGTGCACCACCGATCACATTTCCGCCGCCGGACCTTGGCTGAAATACCGTGGTCACTTGGACAACATCTCCAACAACATGTTCATCGGCGCCACCAACTACGAGAACAACGAGATGAACAACATCAAGAACCAGCGCAACGGCTCTTGGGGTGGAGTTCCCGATGTGGCCCGCGACTACAAGGCCAACGGCATCAAGTGGGTTGCCATCGGTGATGAGAACTACGGCGAGGGTTCGTCCCGCGAGCATGCCGCCCTGGAACCACGTCACCTGGGTGGCCGCGCCATTATCGTCAAGTCCTTTGCCCGTATCCACGAGACCAACTTGAAGAAGCAGGGTCTGCTGCCCCTTACCTTTGCCAACCCCGCTGATTACGATAAGGTTTGTGCGGTTTGAATTTCGTAGTGACAAGTTTTTATTCTTCATTTGTATGCCAACAGATCCAGCCCACGAGCAAGATCTCCTTGCTCAACCTGAACTCCCTGGCGCCTGGAAAGCCCGTCGAATGTGAAGTTAAGAACGGCGACAAGGTCGATAAGATCACACTGAACCACACCCTGAACGACCTGCAGATCGGCTGGTTCAAGGCTGGCAGCGCCCTCAACCGCATGAAGGAGCTGGCCCAGTAAAAGGTGATGGACCTACTTAAGACCCTCCTGTCCAGAACCCCCCATCCTAGCACCTGCTCCCAGTAGGCGAACACACTCAGACTCACAACGCAAGCAATCGAGTTATGGTATTGTTATTCAAATTTTTTTCAAATTGTTTATATTTTAATTTGAGTATATCGAGTGTGCTGTTTTAAAAGTGAAATATTATGTAACCGAATGATAGCGAGAATTTGTACGAGTTTTATATATATAATTATACACAATATTATTTTTAATTCTTGCTATGAATGTTTCCTTCGATTTTGTTCTTTTCGAATTTGTCTAAATGCTCTGCAGATTGCCTCGACGATGAAGATGATTAAGTGCGAATAAAACTCAAAGTAATACGTATTAAACTGATTATTTTATTTAACTACATTTTTAACCCAAAAAGTGGACAATAAGAGCCCTCAATACATCCAATGTCCTCTTTATTTTCCCCATTAATAACTTAATTGTATCAATTATAAAATGTAAGAGACAACAGTGAGTTGATATTATTATTATGTAGTGGAAAATAAAGCATAATAACTATAGCCAGAATTGTTTTTGGTCAAACTGGGAAATCAGGAAAGCAAAGTTTAAGTGGAATTTGAAAAGTTTGTCAATCTATTAGTTTTGCGTAATTTTTCAGTAATTCAAATTTGTAGTGACAAAAATGAATCGAAGAAGACGGAGTAAAACGTCCTTTGCTTCCAGCACAGGATTCTATTTTGAAAATTATCCATTGGGAAGTCAGGCCTTACTGGCCGCAAGGCTGAAGCGTAAGGCACAGAGTAGAACGTCTTTTGATTCCACAACAGGATACTACTCCTACACTGATAGGACTTCGTTGCGCAAGGACACAGTCACCTTCTCAGCCAGTCCAAAGTTCTTGCAGAACGCAAAGTTCAAACTAATCGCCCTTTACGAGGATCAAAAGTGCTTGTGGAATCAGTGTCACAAGGATTTCTTTAATTTCGATCGCAAAGAGGAAGTCTGGGAGGCGATTGCTAATGAAATGAGACAGGATTCGCCAACTGGGTTTTGGAAACATATGATTCACAGGCTCCGCTATGATGTCGAGTTGGAACGCGTCCAAGAACAAGGGGCAAAGTTCTCTGGCGGCAAGGTACCACCTAAGCTTCCTTATTCAGATAATCTGCAGTTCTTAAGTAACATGTTTCGTCGAGAAAAAGAAAGTCCACCTGAAGTTGCAGTAAGTAAATAGTTGATAAGAATGATTCAAATTCTAAAGATATATTATACACCGATCATAACTTTTCATCAGCCTATGCAGTTGAAGTCCTCAGGAGCCAATCTTGAAAGACATGTATCAAAAAACCTGCGACCAGTACAAAATAAACCAAAAACCCGTACACCCATCACTGAAAAGTTGGCCTCACTCGAGAAGTTGAGAAATCACCACCACAACAAGTTGGTCCTGACTCCAGAAGCTTTTCGAAAAATGCAGAAGGTAACCAGCGGGGAACCTTATTATTTGACCAAAACAATGACAAAGAATAAGTCGTAAGGAGGTATTAGGATATTTAAATTAAATTGTATGCATTAATAACCAATTTAAATCGATTTTTCGTTTTATTACATTTCTTTTATCATCATAATCGTTTTGTTTATCTGGTTTTGCCATTTTTTAAATATAGACGTTTTATATAACAATTCATAATTTTAGCTTACAATATTTTTGTTTCGTATTCTTACAATCTTTTTGCTTATGCCATTTTCCACGAAAACACTTTCTCTCTTGCAAATATACAAATTTCAGAACTTGGGTTGCAATTATTTAATATCTGTATGTATAATATATATATAGATATATATATATATATTATGTATATAACTAAAAATGCGTAAATTAATTGTTTTTATTTGTTACGTGGTTTGTGGGCACATTCCTTTTCACAAAAGGAACAAAACATGAAAATGTACATAAGTATTACTAGCAAATAGTTTGCCATCTGTATTAGATCTCGATTTGCTTAATTCCGCATTAATTACACACACACAATGTATCATCGATATTATGAACCTGAATTGATTTCAATTTTTGAAGCGGCAGTTCCAGTTCTGTTTTTGCGCCTCATGAATTGCTCGTTTTACGTGTCTCTCTCTAAAGGCAGGAGCAGCTGCGATGGCCCCGAAGGCTAGGATCGATCCATCCGCCGTTCGATCGTTTTGCCAACTGATCGACCGATTGGCCATTGTCCTCCTATCGAGCGCCCGCCGCTTGTTGGTTGGTTGATTATTGTTTGTCTCATCTACTTCTATGAAATGGCTGTTGAAAGTTTTGGTTTGAACGCATCATTCCCACTCGGTGGTGCCCGGTGGCTTGGCTGTCAAGTCGTACAGAACCCTCGAGATTCCATCCAGCTTGGATATGTCGCGCACAATTTGATTTAGAGCCTATCAACAAAAGAAAAGTAATTATAAATATTTCAGAAAGTTTTGGGTACTGTACTCACTTGTAAGGGCAGTTGCGCAGATCCGGGTTCTGCCGGAACACCAGTCATAAAATCATTCGTTATAAACGGACGCAGCACTACCGATCTTCTGCAGGAGGGTATGCGGTTAATGGGGTCGCGATCAAAGTGCACGGGTATGAGAACAACAGGCATCTGTGAGATTTTTCGGTACAGTCCTGCTTGCATTATGACCTAAAATTGGTATATAGTTAGTTTTACGTTGTTTTCTAATCAAAGAAACCTAACCCTACCTCATTGGCGATAGCATCCGCTTGTCTCAACTGTGATAGTACCACCGTGTTGAGTGTGGTGTGCGTAATATCCGTAACCAGATACTGCACTGGCTCACCGAAGATGTAGCATACCCTATTCACGTTGTGCAGAATACGGGGTATGATTTTAGCGAGGAAGAGAAGGTCCTGCCAGTTGGGTTCCTGACTCGTGGATAGGCCCACCACATAACTGTATGATCGCTTATCGCCCTGCACGCCAACAGAACGGATGGGCAGCAGGGTGGCCTGGATCTGCGAGTTGGCGGAGATTCGCAAAAGGTCTTTCTGCTCTGCCTCGCTGGTGGCGCCTGTTACCCGGTTAATCAGAGCATGGTTCTTCTGCAGCTTATTCTTGTAGTCGACAATCACACGAACAATCACCTGAAAGTAGTTAACCAATTTATTATAGGTAATTATAAAATTTTTTTTTTTATCTTGCCTGAGTCTCAGAGTAGTCCTTCTCCATGTAAGCCTCCTCGGCACAGAGTACGCGGATCGCCAGGCCGGGACCTGGGAAGGGCTGCCTCTCCACAAGCTCCGGAGGCAGGCCCAGATCATTGCCAAGATCGCGCACTTCATCCTTATGGAAGTCACACAGTGGCTCAACAACACGTCCCGCATTACGAAGTTCCCTGAAAAAATGAAAACCAAGAAATATAAAGCTTAGCAGTCGGGTTCAAATGAAGTTCTAGCTGATAAGTTCTTACCTGATCAGATCCGTGTCATTGTGGTGCGTTTTGATTGTTTCTGCGTTAGTGCTAACCATGTTAGAAGCGGACTCAATTAAATCTGGCCGAAGGGTTCCCTGGGCCAGCATAACTTCTTCTGGTTTCAGCTTTAGCTCGGCCACAACATCGTTGGTCACCTTAACGAATATATCACCGATTATCTTACGCTTCTCCTCCGGATTATAAGTCTGACAGAGCATAGGCGTCTCCACCACAGAGTACTGTCCGGGCCTCTTGACTTGCGTGGTACCTTTGAGGAACGTGTAGCCTTCCTTACGGACAATCAAATCAATGCCAATATCGCGCAGGGAACGCTCCACCTTTTCACTTTCGTTCTTACGCATGAAACCTTTGGGAACAATACAAATTATTTGGAATTAATTTAATGTTAAAAGACAATTTTCGCAATGTTGAGGACAACAGTCAGAATGCACATATTCCCAAAACCCCATTTAAATATAACATTCTATTCTTAGAATAGCTACAATTGATTACTCGTATCTTATGCCTTTCATACCATTATCTACATGCACGGCAATTATCTGATTAGGATGAAGGGCACGACGGAGCAAAGCTGCACAGACACTCGAATCCACGCCGCCGCTGACCAGCAGCTGTAAAATGTAGATCCCATTTAAACATGGAAGTCTTAATGGTTATCAATTTTTCCAAACTCACCAACACCTTATTGTTGCCGACTTTCTCGCGGATATAGCGCATGCACTCCTCCTTTCGACTACCCATTGTAAAGTTGGGCGTCAGTTCGCAGATCTCGTACAGGAAGTTCGATAGCATCTGTTTGCCATTAATGGTCAGGTCCACCTCAGGATGGAACTGGACGCCGTAGATGCGAAGTACTTCATTGTAAATGGCTGTCACTATGCGATTTGTGGACCAGCCACCGATCTTTAGATTTTCTCCCACCCGTTCCACACTATCGCCATGGGTTAAAAGCACCGACTGTGTGCGACTAAGTCGACTGTAGAAAACAAAAATAGGTTATATTAGTAAATGAAAAGTAGCAAAAGTTAACAAACTAGAAAAAAACAATAAATTTAATTAGTATGTGATGCCACGTGTAGATCAGTTTATAAGCTGCTCTAAGCTGAACTGTTCTTGGCATTGACATTTTTCTGCCAGCATTGTATCAGCGCTCAAATAAAGTCAATCATTGTAAGCACTTTCTTGTTGCTGCGACTTCCAATTATCCTGCATTTCGGGCTCACCTGAAGAGTGGGCACGAAGTCTCGATCTCGATGTTCTGTTGGCCATCCTCTCTTACATCTTTCTTCAGCACTGTGCCTCCAAATTCTTTGTTGATCAACTGCATGCCATAGCAAATGCCTAGCATTGGTATTTTCAGTTTAAACAGATCGGGATCATAGCTGGGCGCATCCTCTGCATAGACGGAATTGGGTCCCCCGGAGATTATGATGCCCCGATAGCCATTGTTGCGTATCGTGACAGCCGGTGTGTCCAGTGGCAGGATATCCGACTCTACGAGGAGTTCGCGAACCTTACGGTCGATAACCTGAGAAAAAATATTCAAGAATTAGCGTTTTATATTTGCAAATTTAAGTAGAAGTTTTTAATTATTCGTGGGGATGAGCTCACCTTGCCGTACTGTGCTCCCGCATCGAGTATAACAATCTTATCGTGCCGCAGGCCGTTCTCCGCTGTGCCCAGAAATATGTTTGAGTTCATTTCTTTATCGTTGCAGCACTGCAAAGAGCAAAAATTTGAATGTCAGTCAAGCAATCGCCGAAACAAACACCGAATCTCGACTGGCGGGTGGGGTCGTTTCTGCGGCTTATTTATGCTCCAGTTGTGGCTGCAATCGACTCTAAAGAAACAAGGCTAAAAGCTGGCTAGAAGGTGGGGTGGAATGGGTTTTTAGTCACGGGCAATTGCGGGGATTTGATATTCAGGAAAGTGGTACAGAGGGCTCACATACCGGCAATATCTTGTGGAGCACTCGCAGAAACATTCAACATGCAGCTGGCCAGGACGCTCTACGATAGACAACAAACATTGGCAAAGATTTTTTCGGTCACAGAAAGGTGAAATGTGCAATGTGGAAGGAAAACTCCAATGCGAAAACTCAAAGCTAAGAGAAAACAAGGCCAAAGAGGCGACGCCTACGAAAAATGATTTGCAGTGCGGGGTGATTTCAATACCCTTACGAAAAAGTAATATGAATTTTGCCGATAATATTATATATACATTATCATTGAAGTTATTATGTCTCAATATTACCTTATTGCCAAAACTTGGGTCATTATGAATTGATGTCCAAGGAAGTTCCTATGGCAGGTCACAGTCGAATGTATATAAAAATTTTATGATTTTAATGGTTTTTAATCCAGGTTATTATGATTATGTGCTTGAAAATAGGCTAATGTATCTTATAGATACTATAAAAACGATTACTCAAAAGGTTCATGGTTTAATAATATTGTTGAAACATTGAATTTTGATTGAAAACTTAAACTCGAATTTTTAAGCCAGGAGTATCTGTCCTGTCTAGTAACTTGAAGTAATGATAGTTGAGTTTATTACGTATAATGACTAAGTCCTTATAATTTGGATTACTAACTGTCTTTTTTTTATATACAGTTTAAGTTTACTTAATTTAACATATTCTATCCCTCTGGAGTCGAATAAATTTAAATTCGATCTTCGAAGCTATCGTTAAGTAGTCTACTAAACAACGGTCGAAAAGAGCACTGCTATTTCATAAGTTTTTTAATATTATTTTACCGATTGTAAGGGAGTATGCAGTTCGGATTGCCGAGCTATCGAAAATTTTCTTATATTATAGAATACAAATTTGGATGCAAGAGGATGAGGATGTGAGGAGCATGCGGAACGTAACGGGACGTGGGAAGGTGAGGGGACGCCGGCTACTGACCGCCAGATGACAGGCGAAAATGCTAAAAAGAGAGTGAGAGCGGAAGCTAGAGAGACAAAAAGAGCGTCAGATGGAAGTGAAATGGCAGGTAAACGAAAACAGAGAAAGAAAGAAGCAAAGAAAAACGCACAAGAAAAAATGGCAAAACAAATAAACAACGAAAAAAGTCAGGAGACAAATTAGCAGTGGCAACTCTGTGAGTTTTCTTGTGTTTTTCCATTTTTTTCTTGCAGCAGCAGCAAAAAGAAATGCAACTCCAGGGGTTAAAAGTGCATTAGGTCACTGATGCGATGCGAAGCCTGTGATGTAAGCCTTGCTCTTCTTTTTGCTCTCTGAATTTTGATAACAAGCAAAAGGTTATCACAAACGACAAAAACAACAACAAATAGTGGGAGGCCGCGTGCTTGTAATTTAATACACATGTAGCAAACACACACACAAACACGGCCGCACACCAACACACGTGGAGCCGCCTACAAGCGGCGCTTATAACCACAAAATGGCCACGAGAAATGTTTGCAAAATATATAAATCGCAAATGGGCGAAAAAAAAATAATTGGCAAATGCGGTTGAAGCAGATGCATAGGGGCGCGGGGTTGTGATTTGTGGGTGGAGCAGTGCCGCATGGCAATTTTGTTGGGATCGGTAGATCTTTATCCACATAGCCTCTCACCTGCTCGTCGTTTTGGCTTGGCAGGCGGTTTTTCCAGGGAGCGGGTTATCCGTGGGCAAGGCCGTGGAAAACCGTGACAAGCAGCGGAAAACTTAATGCCTAAACACTAGGTTCGCGATCCGTTGTTAGCGGTCCCCCGTTGTCCTCTCTCTCTCTCTTGAACTTTTAACCAAATTTCTTTGGCTGCTGCACGCTGCTATTCCGCGTTTCCACGGCTGCTCGACACCGCTGGCAAAATGTACCGCTATGATTTTTACGGCTGCAACTCGTCTGCGTTCGGATTGGCCACTTCTAGGCACTTTTCTATTGCTTTTTCTGCAATTTTTCGTGAATTAAAGCCGAAAGATGACTTATTGACGAGGGTATGACCGTAACTTGGATGTGGAAATTTCCCGGAGTTTGCGGCAAAATAAATTTACTAAATATACTAGAAGTAAGTATTTTTTGAGTAATTAATACAAATTAGTTTAAAAAAATTAAATTAAATTTAAACATAATTGCAATAAATCTAATTATATGTGTAAATTATAAAATATTGTTTTATTAACATGACACCTCTAGAAAGTTAGTGTTGGTAAATGCCAAAACGAACAATTAAACATATGCGGGCACACTGAGCCCGCCAAAAGTAATTTGTTTTTGCGCTCATTTGGAAAATCATACGGGGAAATTAAGAAAACACGTGAAAATCTTAGAGTGAACCGGAGGAAATGAGTCCCGCCAACAAATCGCAAACAGACTTGAGCATTGAAGATGAAGATGAAATATTGGCTTTGGAAAAACTGCTGGGCGCAGCGGATGATAATGATAATGCCGACTCTGCAAAATCGGAGAAACCAAAACCCATACCGAGTTTGGCCAACGCAGTGCCAAAGTTACGGGAAGACAGCAGCTTCGCCGATGCGTTTACCTTCGAGAAGACCGTGAAACCTTCGAAAGAGGAGAAATTTATAATCAGCAAAGAACCAGAGCTAGACTCATCCGACGACGAGGAAGTCAAAAACTTTCTGGAACGGAAGTACAACGAGTACGGCAGTGATATAAACAAGTGTCTGAAGAATCAGAGAGAGACTGAACACGAGTCCAAGGTGGCGAGGGCGGTGGATAAGGAGCTGAAAAAGACCACGCAAATGGTAACTTCTACGCCACAACCCCTTAAGAATCCGCACAATCCTATCCATCGTAAATCTACTGTAAGCAATACGTTCAAACGGGCTCCACCTACTGGTGCCGCTGTAGCATCCACTTCCCAGGCGACTGCTCCCATCTCTGCTGTTTACACTGATCCTGTGTTTGGACTGCGTATGATCAATCCACTGATCTCAAGCACACTTCTTCAGGAGCGTATGGCGGGCCGTAAGGCGGTGCCCTTCTCCGGCGTTGCATTTCACATCGAGCGAGGTGACCTGGCCAAAGATTGGGTTATCGCCGGAGCTCTAGTTTCTAAGAATCCCGTGAAGCAAACCAAGAAGGGGGATTCATATTCCACTTGGAAGTTATCTGACCTGAAAAGCGAGATCAAAACAATCTCTCTATATCTTTTTAATGATGCCCACAAATCCCTGTGGAAGACAACGGAGGGATTATGCCTTGCTGTTTTGAATCCATCTTTTTTCGAAAGGAGAGCGGGTAGTTCTGATGTGGCTTGCCTATCAATTGACAGCTCTCAGAAAGTAATGATCTTGGGTCAATCCAAGGATCTCGGCACTTGTCGGGCCACAAAGAAAAATGGTGACAAGTGCACGTCGGTGGTTAATCTAACCGAATGTGATTATTGCATCTATCATGTCAAGCAGGAATATGGCAAAATGTCCCGGCGTTCAGAACTTCAATCAGCGACAGCAGGTCGTGGTATTAATGACCTAAGGAATAAGGTGTTGGGTAAGTGGTCTTCAATTCGAAGATCTTAAGTTCTTAAATTAAAGAAATTTTTTATATTTCTTGATGAATAGGCAAAAACGAAGTCTTCTATGGCGGTCAAACTTTCACTGCAGTTCCCGCCAAGAAAAGCGCCAAGCTGATCTCCAAGGAACGCGATCGTCTAAGCAAGCTGGCTGGCTATGATGTTTCGCCGTTCGCCCATACCGTTGATCACGCCGCTAAGCCCAAGACTGCTGAAGCTCCTATAATTCCATATGCAGAGCGAGGTGGTCCTGTTTCTCGTTTGGCAGGTGGTGTGGAGGCGTCTAGAAAACAGAGGATGCAGGATTTGGAGCGATTGCGCCAGCTTAAAGCTGAAAATGAGCGTTTCGAGAAGGATAAGCAGGCAAAGGGTCATGTTTTAGGAAGCGAAAACAAAAAAGAACACGATGCAACCTCTTCCACTGCCAGCATGCCAACCACACCTGTACCGGACAAGTTCAAGAATCGTGGTTTCTCGTTTGATGCAAGTTTGACACCTAAACTTTCCGGTAGCGAAAACTTTTCCTTTGAGGTAAATGTTGGCGCCCGCCAGGCACAAAGTGCCAAAATGAGAGCAGCCGCTTTGCTAAAGAAGAAACCTCTGGAGAAAGTCAATCCAAACTCTATCAGAGGCAGTGTCACTGGTAAGAGAAGAGCCATAGATGAGCTGAATGAAAAGTTCTCCAGTAGCGCCAAGCGCCAGAAAATAGAGGAAGATGATCGGGAAATGATGCGCAAATCTAGAATAGAGAAAATCATGGCAGCCACCTCGTCCCATACGGATCTGGTGGAGATGAAAGAGCGCGAGGCGCAGGAAGGAGTACTTCAACAAGCTGGAACGCAAGGAGGCTATGGAAGAAAAGATGCTGGGCACCTACAAGATGCCATGCAAGGCAGTCATTTGCCAGGTGTGCAAGTACACAGCCTTCTCCGCTGCCGATCGTTGCAAGGAGGAGAAGCACCCCTTTAAGGTGGTCGATGCCGAAAAGCGATTCTTCCAGTGCAAAGACTGCGGGAATCGTACAACCACAGTATTCAAGTTGCCCAAGCAAAGCTGTAAGAATTGCAAGGGCTCCCGGTGGGAAAGAGCGGCCATGATCCGAGAGAAGAAGGTCATGACTGGTAGGGAATCTTTGTCCATCCGAGGAGATGAGGAAACGTTCATTGGCAGCCTGGCAGGCAGTGCTAATCTGAACTTGCTTGTTCCCGACGAGGAGTGAGAAAAAGAAATCTCCGTTCGCTGTTATATTTGGTTTGTTTTATTTTTTAATATATATATATATTTAAAAGTTAAATAGCATATGCAGTACATACAAATATTTACAGTCCTCTGGTTGTTCGCTTTTTGGCTTATAAAAAGTATTCATCGCGTTATATATAAATAAGTACAAAGGTTCTTCGATACCTAAAGATCTTAAGTGCCTGTAAGATTGTTAGTGCAGGTTTTAGTATTTAGAGTTGTACCCGGTGTACTCACTGATTTAGTATGAATGTTAATCTTATGATTGTATGACTTATGATTTAAATAAACGAAATCTTAGATTATGACTGAACATTAAAAGATAGGCGATTTCAGTAAAATGGAATGCTTAATAAAGTCTGGAAATTATGAATCACACTTAGCTCATCCTAGAAAAATTGTACAATTTTGAATAAAAGAAATCTTTTTTAAAACTCATACTTTTTGTGTTTTTAAATTGTTTTAGAACTCTGATTATAGAGAAACCTTAAGCTAACAGGCGCAATCTTAGGCTCTTATAAAGGTAATATTTTTAAGATTTACAAAGATTGTGGATCTATAAAAGTTTGTAAAAAACTTTTCTTAGCAAAAAGCATTCTGGCATATTTCTGACAGAAGTTGGCAGCATTTAAATAGTTGAAAGTTGTTTATGTTTTTAGCTTAAGTTAGTGTTTTTCGAATGACATTTTGGAATGTATGATCAATAGAATTTAGTTTGTCTTTGGCTATGTAATTTCTTGTATAAATTATTGGGAGTATTCGAAATCGAATTCGGTTCTTTTACTATCCATTTTTGGCATCAGCATAAAGCTACGAGACTAAATATAAAACTAAAACTAATCAACAAACAGTTTGAACTGAAAAACAGGCGCAGATGAGAGACAAGAACTTGGAACTCAGTGGTTGAGAGGAAAAACTATACACAGTACTCGTTATCAGGACATTTAGACAGCATCTTCGGCCTGCTGTCCAGGAACAGTTTCCGCCGCTTCCTTGAGATTTAATAAGCTGGAGAACCGAAATGAGATGGTCTTGGACAGATGCTTCTCAAAATCCCTGCTGTCTAGGTTGTCTGGAATGAGACTCTTGTTGGTCATGTCCAGATAGGAGCGACCCCTCTTTACAGGAACCGAATAGTGTGGCAATGCGGTGGCAGCCGGAGATCCATTGGTCATGTTGCTGTAGCTTGGAGTGCAACTGGATTTTCGAATGTTTAAGGGGAATCGCAAGTCGTTTTCGTATCGCAAAACTTGCTCCTTGGAAGTCGAATCGATCAGAGGCCGTGGGAGATCATAGCCAGGTGGAGCCGTGGAAGTTACTGGCATTTCCTCCTCCGATTGATCGTAACTTGTACCTTGGTCATGGATATCGTAGGCTATCTTTGGAGGTGACCATAGATGTTGTAAGGATTCCGGTTCACCAAACTCCGTAGTCATCAAGGCAGAATCATCGCCACAATAAAGCGGATTGGAAACTGCATTCGTCTCAAGATCTATGTACTTGGCATTATTGCCCAACAGCTTCTCAAACTCCGAGGCCAAGAACTTAAAGGATGGCCTTCCATTTGGTTCATCTGCCCAGCAGGTGCGAACTATGGAGTAAACAGCTTCCGAACAATTCTCTGGCCTGTCCATACGGTAGCCGGTTTTTAGCAGGGACCATAGATTCTGTGGAGCAATGCCAGGATATGGAGAGGCTCCCAGAGTGATCAGCTCCCAGCAGAGTACGCCAAAGGACCAAACATCTGATTTGCTGGTATACACATGATCCGCTAGAGATTCCGGAGCCATCCACTGGAAGTTGGAAAATAGTTCTATAAGATCTTAGAGCTTGTATGCGATTTAATAACCTCACCTTAACAGGCACACGATCTCGTGATCTCTTCAAATAGGCATCGTCTTCGTAAACATCTCGGGTCAGTCCGAAGTCTGAGATCTTGCATATCTTCCCATCCGCAAGGAGCACATTTCTAGCCGCCAAATCACGATGAACCAACTATGGAGGATAATAGAATGTAAATAGGTCCAAGCTAGGAATATTTTAAACCCACCTTAAGTTCCGTAAGATAGGCCATACCCTTGCAGATCTGCCAGGCAAAGGTGAGAACCATCTTGACATTCACAGGCTCCACGCCATCAGCAAAATCCACGCCGGCACACTCGATCTTTCGGCTAAGACGAAGGTAGCTCCTAAGCGAACCATATCTGGCATACTCAATGATCAGGAGAGGCGCCTCCGAGGATGTACAGGCCCCCAGCAATTTGATCACATTGGGATGAGAGACCTCCTGCAGGAGCTGAAACTCCGAAAGTAGGGCCATGTACTCTACGGAATTGGCACCCTTCTTCAGCATCTTCACAGCCACAGTGGTTATGCCCGGTAGACCAGCAATCTCTGTGGCATAGCCCTTCAAGACCTGGCCAAATTCACCTTCTCCCAGGACCGTATCCAGTTGAAGTTGGTCCCTGGGGAACTCCCATTTGGTGTCGCCGCTTTCGAACTTAAAACCACTTTGCAGTGGCATTAGTGCGAGATCTCCGTCTCCTAGTTCGGGAAGAGCCTGTTTGGAGGATGGAGTCATAGATTGCTTGCCCAGGCGACGCTGAAGCATCTTTCTTTGGGCAATTAGCAGGCAGAGGAGTAGGAGAACGAACACCAGAGGACAACTGACCACGAAGAACATGCAGGAGCGATCGCACTCGAAGCCAGCCACATTGAGGACACCTAAGAGTAGAGGATCCTGAAGAGATTGCTCTCCACTTTTTCTTCCTCCCAGCAGAGGCACCGCCTCCGTTTCGTTCTTTCGTTTGCGAGGTTTCTTAATCTTGGGTTCCTCATCCAATGGAGCACACGAGCACTTGCCATTATCCTCGCAGATACACGTTCCAGAGGCACTATATATTCCCCTTTTATTATCATTACTTGAATGGGGACCCATTATCCTCCCACCTGGTGTACAATCCTGTGGACAGGCCATTGGATTCAGTTCCTCCAAGGGATCACACACATGATCTGGACAGTAACGCGACTCGGGTACACATGATCCATAGCGAGTACTAAACATGGCTGAATTGGATCCTCTCCACTGGCAAGATCCTCCACCGGTTGCCAAGCCGCAAAATCGATTGCACTGAGACTGGAACTTAACCTGGGAGCAGGATTGGGATCGGGATTTGATCTTTAGGTCGCAACTGGTGTTCTCTGGTCTGCCATGAATCAAATGCACATTGATCACACGAACATGCGAAAGGCGCTGCTGATCCATCCAGGTGACATTCAGGAAGTATATGGTCTCAGGCGCCTCCTCCAAAGCCTGGGGATTCTTCACATACACTATACCCGAAGTCGGGGTTATGCCAAAGGCTCCAATCTTATCCTCTACGATATCGAATTTTATGGAACGTGACCTCATTAGCTCTACGAAACTCTCCGGCTGAACTACCCGATAGTAATTAGTGGATGTCCGGTAAATGGATATATCCTTTTCGTAATCCACGGTTAAGGGACCCTGTGATCTGCCTGCGGAATCACCATTAAATTCTTCAGTTTCGAATATTCGATGTTGTCGTGACCGTAGAGGCAGAGCCTGGGGCATTTCGTGGTCCGATTCATGGAGATTACTCAGGTTTATATAAAAGCATATGAAGGCTGTAGCTGACATGGCTTCGACGTGGGTTTCAATGGTCAGATCGCGGGCTTCCAGAGAGACGCAGTAGGGTGAGTCTCTGAAAACGCCGCTTCGAGAGAAACGGAGTTCTAGTTGGGAAGGATTTTGATTACGTTTATAAGTTTTTTATATATGTTTTATAACCTAAAACTTACGACAACTGACGATTGTATGTGGCCTGCCCGTGTGATCCGCCTCGTAGGCGTGGCAGTCCGGCCGGAAAATTCTATTAGAGTCATTATGCACGGCGTAGACCAAGTTAGCATTTGCCGCCAGCGTATCCTTGTCCACATATATGATTTTCTTCCCCGCCTCCTCGTCCTGTGGGGATAAGAAAAGCAAGCGAAGGGTATGAATTAGTAGCTCCTTCATTAGCATTTACTGACCACCACTAATTAAATTCCACTTGGCACCCCCTTGGCAAATTGCAGCGCTGCCCTCCAAGGATGCGCTCTTGGTGATTAGCATTTTTAATTCGTGCACAAGGTCAGGCTGGGGTTTCAGATCCTCTGGAGACCTGACATTTCCCTACGAAGTGCTGGACTCACCTCATCCTTAACCCAAAACCCTTTTAATGGATCCCAAGGGCAAGGACATTAGTGAGGTGTCTTTCCCTGAACTTAGGCTTTTGTTAAGGTAGGATGGGCAGTAAAGTTTGAATTTTGGACTCCCTTCGTATTTGGTTAGGAAAAACAAAGGATTTGGAAAGAAAATTGTTTTTTAGGTGTACAAATCTGTTGGGAAAACTGTTGCTCTTTTAGGTTTTAGTCTGGCTAGAAACTATCAGACCTCTCCCAAATAAACCTTCTAAACTATCTGAATTTGAAAATGTTTTCAAATTAGTTAACCCACCCAACCTCAGCCACACCTCACCATAGTAAACTTTTGTTCACTTTTTTTATAGAACATGTCGCCAGCAATTTCCTCGAAATAAAATAAACATTATTACATTATTTAAATGCAGAGCCACCTACAGCAATTTGTACTTTAGTGCAGAACCAATTACTCCACCTGGTGGGAGGTGGAGGAGATAGCACTATCTGCACCTGAACTGACACAGTTTGCAAATCCTTGGGGATAGGCTTGGCTTGTTTCGAACACGACAACATAATTTACTTTTGTGGCAACTTTAAGGGACATCGTCTGTGGCTTCAATTCAATGTGGCTGTAGTCACTTGGCGTTCCCATTCCCATTCCCGTTTCCAATCCGGTTTCTTTGGCTTTCCCTTCCTGTCTGTCATGCTCCAATCATAAAAGCCCATAAACGTTACGCGTTTTTAATGGCAACATATGAGAGTTGGAATGGGCTTTGGGAGTTTTGGGAAACTATACAAGGAAGTGGCTAACTTTATCTATCTACCCCCAGAAAGGACCTTTGCAACCAGACGTGGTAATGGCCAAATAATGGCTGACCGGGCTTGAGTCTTTCAACAGCGGGGTCTTCAGATACACTTAGGAAATTTGAAATACTTAAGAAAACTGTAGAGCTGCGAAACCACAACTTTCATAAAGTTGCTAAAACAAATATTTTAAGCTGACAAAATATTACTTTCAGTGCAGCCGACTTGCTTGCGTGTCTAGGGGGCGTTCATCATGGGTGAATTCAATAAGCCCGCACCCAGTGAGCGGCCAGACAGCCGGCAGACGAATAGTCTGGGCAGGGTCTACTTGGGATGCCATGCCTCTACACCCCTGAAATCCTCTCCTTCGTAAATTCCCCTTCTACCTATATATAACCTAACCGCTCTGGAATTCCGAAACTCACCGCCTGAAAGTAGGGCTGCTCCAGGTAGAACTTAAACTTCGGATCGGTCTCCTGCAACTTGGGTCCATTGTCATTGCGATCCAGTAACCTGATATCGAAGCTGCGCATGAATTTCCTCTGATCCCGGGCGGATAACTTAACCGTGCAGGTAATCTTGGCCTGCAGCTGTCCAGCTTTGACATTCAGGCCATTGAGTTCATCATGATCCAGGGGTTGGCGAGTGTAAAGGCGATTTTGTTTGAGAACGAAATGGGTACTACCAGCGTTAAGGGAGTAATCCAGGGATACGTGACAAAGATACTTGGCGGCCCGGGAATTCAGGGCACCGATAAGTACGGGTTCAAAGGAATCCCTACGCTTATATTGACCCTGCGACTCGGCTATACTGTACTGGGCACTACTCCAGAAGCAAATGTGCTCCAGTTCTGAGCAGTAATCCTCCAGCGGCTGTGGTGTTACTTCTATCGTTAGATGCGAGACGGGCAGCAGTTCATGATCCCGTTGATCCCTGGGAAAAGCGGTCACCACATACTTGACACTCGAATTCGGTGAAAGGTAATCTGTGCGCATGTAAATCTCGCCGGAGGAACTATTTATCCTTAGCAAGGGATTCTCCTCCAGGCTGTACAAGTAATTACTGGCCAATCGATTGCTCTCCATTCGCAGCACTTGGAACTGGGCCAGCGGTATCTTGGAGAAGATACTCTCCGACTCCTCATTGATGGGCAGATTGAATTTCACCGACGTGCTGGGAAAATAAACATCAACGGCTGCAAAGAGAGAGAGAGGGAAGGGAGAGAGTAAGAAAGAGGGTGGAAAAATAAAGTTAATGTGGATGGCGTCATGTGGGATTGGGGTTCATTGTTTGGGATGCTGCCACAAGTGGTTGACCACAATTGACCCACTCAGTGGAAGTGGGGTTTCGTTTTCCATTTGCGGATTAATATTCATTTCTTTGGCCATCAATTTGGAGTGGGTTTGTGGTTGAAAAAGAACAAGTCTTAAAGATATTTATGAAAACTGATTAAGTATGAATAAGCTGTGCCCACCACTTTGGCACCCCAAAATAATATCTCTCCCCGAGGGTTGCTATCACTTTTTGGGTTTGGGCTTATTTACCCATCATCCGAAGGGACACACGCTGACAGTCATCATCAAATCCAATCAAATGATTTAGTTTAATGAGCTCGCGTTGACCTTAATAGAGGTGGTCATAATTCCCAACGCCCTTCCTTTATCTACCAAATTGAACAGGGCGTATGCGTAATTTGATAACAGCTCCATCCTAATGACCCCGATTGTTGTTGCTGTTTCTGGGGTCGTGTGTTTGCATACGAGTCAAAGTCCAATACAAGCGATAAATAAATATAATACAGATATTAGTTATTAGCATATGGCTTATCTCAATGACGCCTTTTCTGCCCTCTTTTGCTGTTGTTTTTGTGATCTGAAATTGAAGTGCCGTCGGCGTCATCAAGTTGCGTATTGATTTTGTGATAACGATAAAGTTTTTGTTAGCCGGGGAAATATACAACCGCAGGGATAATTGGTTACAAATTTCCCTCGCCCTTCGTCTATGTAGTTCCTGCCCCCAATTTTATGCCACAATATTTGTGGTAAACATTTGAAGGGGAACCGAGGAAAACTCTTGTAATGTTATGGTGTAAATAGGTTGGCGTATCGTGTTGAATGAATATAAATTAAACGCATTGAACCTTAACTGATTTATTTTTGGGGAAAGCAATTGGATATAGCTTTGATTATGGTTTAGGGTGAGAGATTTTCCACCTTATCGGTGTTTTAATGAGCTAAATATTCCATTATCGCTGGGAATGTTTTATTAACCTTATATTAGGAGGGCTTTTTGTGTATCTGTAAGCCAAACACATTAGGTTTTCTCCTCTTCTTTAGAAACATTCAAACAAAAATGAAGTGACTACCTAATTTTCCATTTTAAAACCCAAACACTTGACCTGCCATTCAGGAAGTTTTCCCAAAATGAGAAGAGGAGAAGTGACTGCTTCCTAGCAAATCAAGCCTCACACCTCCTCCATACAAGAGGGAAATGTAAACAGCTGGAATAAATGAATAAAAAAGCCGCTAATTGGATGGCCACAAGGCAGGCAGGCAGTGTTACCTCCACTAAATGCCTGTCATAATTATGCCCTAGCTTTCGAGAGCTAACCAAACAGAGGACTACAAAATAACAGAGGGGGGAAACTCCCGCAATCGCCATACAAAACGATGGTGGGAAAATCGCTTCTTGATATGGCCGTTGGCTTAGTACACACATTATAAATAATAAAATGTGTTCATTACAATTGCTGACGCTCAGGCATGCGAAAAATGTTGATAAAATATGTAGATGAGTGGAGTTTGAGTATGAATATGTACTCACTCCATGCTCAATCCAACATGCCCGCATTTATAATGACATTTTAAATGTGTGTCCTTGGCGCCCAACGTGGCAAGGACCCACCACCACCACCCTCAAGCAGGATATATTAATGCTGTCAGCGTTCCTAATGAAATATGCGGGGTTACTAACGGGATTATGCCGCCTCTCTCCCCCAGCTACGCTGCTTCCTGCCGAATGATGGCGCCACTGCTGTTTATGGATGGAGCGTTCTGTCCATGATTAAGGGCCAGGCCAAGTGCTTTGCTTTACAAGGAATCCAAGGAAGGAAACATACTTTGGAGGATGGAAAGAAATTATGGGGCATACTAATAAACTTGGTTTAAAGTTATGCGAGGGGGGATTAAAGAGATTTTTAATAACAGATTGTTAGTAAATTATGGGAAAATTGTGGGGCAAATATATAAAGATTATTCTGTTGGGAAATAAGGAAAAGGGAGCACATCAACTTAATATTCAACTTTAAATAAACAGAGAGCTTACTCCTCCTAAAAGAACTTTAACAAAATAAAAGCCCTACACAGCCCTAAGACAGTTAAGAGGTCTTAAGCTCCATTAAAAATCCATAATCCCTTACGCCACAGTCTTTAATCTACCACCGATTTGTTGCAATCAGTTCTCAATTAGAACTCAACTTGACCTCTTCGATTCCCTTGAGACAATAGCTCTAAGAGCGTTAAACCTGCGACAGGTGAGGGGCCATAAGCTGGTGATTAAAAAGGCCACAACCACCCACTAAAGGTTGACCAAAAGTCAACAACCGTAAAAACGAAAATAGCGACAAAAGGGCAGGACGAATAATAAAAAAAAAACAGTGTAAACAGGGAAGGACTAAGACTATTAGGTTATCTATTAGCAGGACAATTAAAAAGCCAGCAAATGGCGCATTGAAAACTGGATAAAACAAGGCCTTAAAATTGAGGGAGGAACTGGCTAAACCGGAGAGAAATTCTAGGGTGACTGGACTTCAGTGGGAGTTAATACACTTGGAAAATATGTTAGAGAAATGGGTCAAAAAAACAGAAGAGCCTATAAGCAGGTAAATGTATTAAAAAACTGGCAAATGCGATGAGCCTCTAAAAAGTAAATAACAATCTAAGAGCTCTACATAAAGTTAATTTTTATAACCAATTTACATTTTTCAGCATTTCTCACAGTGTATATAAAACTGCTAATGACAGCACTGTCAACAATTGATGGCCGGCGACTCGGATCCCGACATGGCCATTAGCTGGGCCTGTGTGTACCTGAACTTGGTGGCCACTGGTCTCTGGCCAGGTGAAATTGAGACACTCCGAATGAGGTGCGGCACCGGGATGAAATGTCAACTAGTTTCGCATAAACTAATTAATCTGCCCCGAATTAATTGACTCCACATCGAATTAGGTCGTCAGTTGTTTGCCTGTTTGACCAGTTCCAACTACCAACCTTCCGGAGTTTATTGGCCTCGTTTTTCCTTTGCCCGAAACTCCTAGATGCAGAGATGACTCATTTGGGAGTTTGTATAGCCCAGCATCCGACTCACATTATGTTTGTCTACAGCTGCGTAATGAAAACTTTGTCTTTATCAGGGTTTATTTTCTGTTGTTTTTCCTGCAACGCTTTTCCCATTCTTTTCCCTGTTGCATTGTTATTTTCATTACTCATACGTCGTGTATGCCAGACGTGGTTTTTCTTGTCTTCCTCGGCACTGACTGCAATTGTCTGTTGCCGTGGCTTTTTCTAGCATAAACTGTTGGCATTGGCCAATCTCTGGCTCTGCTTATTGTTCAGATTCCTATTATTAAATCCATTTCATTGCCTTTCCTCTACTTTCACTCTATCGAAGTGTGCAGACAAAGTGTCTTGAATGTTTTTCTATTTCCTGCCTTGGCTGTCCCTGAAATTTTCTCTTTGCCGGAAAGCCAAAGCAAATTAAATTGGAAATAAGTTTAAGGTGAAATGGAAGTTGTTTGTACTCTACTTAAATTATTTTTATATTTAAAAGATTTTAATAATAAGGGATAAAAAGTGAAGTTGAGTCAAGTTTTAACATTCCCGATAAGGAAATGCAAAATTAAATGCCTTATTTTTACATTTTAAGTAAGTTTTCTTATCAATTCCCTCCATAAAGAAAGAGCATCTCCATCAAACTAAAAACAATTTGTTGTTATTGATTTAAAAGTAATTTCCATTTAAGTTTTCCTCTTTTTTACAGTCTGGCACAAAGAAGTGCACAGTCACTGCTGGAAAAGGGATTGGGTGAAGCAAAGGGAAATTACAGAATAATCGCAGACTAGAAGTCACCAGGCGAACTTCAAAGACTTTGACTTTGGCATTGAGTGAGGGATGACACTCCCGTTCAGACAACTAAGACCACATCCAAAAATAACTGACCCTCGACGGTGATCGATGGGCGGTCTCTCTCTGTAATTGTTGTCTGTCATCAAATGGAAAACTTGAACTAGCATTTGTCAAAGTCAAAGGGTCTCTTAAAATATATGCTAATTACGGCTAATTAATGGGTGGCTACCATTAGTTAGCTTAGGTTGGTAACTGGAAGTAGGGATGTTGTTTTAGGGAGAAAAATAATGCAATAGCTAAGAAATTTGAAGATTAAAGTTAAAACTTTAAGCATTTTAAATAGTTAAAATAAACTTAAACTGGTTAGTAGATGATTTTAACTTCTTTGTAAATACTTTAATGTTATTTTTCATTTACTTAAGATTTTGATACCCTTATTAACCCACCAACAACTGTATTTTCCAACAGGAAAACGCGTACATAAAAACAGAAATCCAATAAATAAATGCAGATTTCAGACTCCCACTTGAAGTGGCTGAATGGGAGTGCATTATAAACCCAATATCTCTTGCTGAATCACTATATTTCTCGTTCTGAGATCTGAGCCTGGGTGTTGCCCCTAGGATAGACAGTGACACAGACGCAGATCTCATAACTACAAATGGATTTCGTTTTATTATTATTTTGTTATGCAAAGTAACCAATAGTAAGTAGAAGACGGCGAACCAACCTTGAGTGTCTGATAAATGTGTCAAGCTGGCTCATAAATCTAAAAAATGTGTGCAAAATATGAAAAAGTTTTTGTGGCAGGCAAAGTGATTTCAGATTTGTCATAAAATTCAAGATATTTGAGTAGGAAATGGAAAATGCTATTAGGGAGTTTAAAGTTATAATTTGAAGTTATGTAATGAACTAAAAAATAAAACAGTTTGCTATTTCAAACTATTAAATTAACGATAAAACATATCTAAATTTCAGGAAAATGGCAATAAATCTTGTTTCTTAGTAAGTTTACTAGCAAATTTCACATTCTAAGCTACTTAAAACTAGATTTTTATTAGCTTAGCTCTATAAAAAAAAACGACTAGTTATCTGGCTAAGATCGATGACTTTAGGTACTGCTATATAATTTTGTTAATTCAGTAACTAGCTTGGGGCTAGGTTTATGTCTTTTTCAGAAATAACTGAAAGTCGGTTATTAAACAAAACGCTTTAATTGAAGTCATGAAACAGCCGGAGGCCACTTAAAAGTTCACAGAGTGCGAAAAACATATAGAAAACCATAAAAAACCATAAAAAAAAACCACGAACAGAGGCACACACCTATTGACATAATTGATTGCACATATATTCATGAATTTCTGGAGGGGAATGGGCACAAAAGACAGCTGGCGGGCACTTCGACACCTTTAACCCGAGTGACTGATTGACCGACCGATGAAGGAGTCACCTCACCTCACCCGCGGTGCATTCAACTTGACGAGGACAAAGTGCAGGGCTTAAAAGAGGAACCATCCAGTGTCAGCTGTGCGGAATTGAGCCGGAGAGCCGCGTAGTGGCAAGTCATCCCCCGAAAAATATGATATGTCTTCGCAGCGTGATGAAATAATTTTGGTTTTTGGGCGTGTGCGCTTGTCTGGCACGTCATACACTCAGAAAAAAAGGACTAAAGAAAAGTTATGAATTTTAAAGGCTTTTAGAAGCCTTTTCTAAACTTCAATGGCCACTATTCTAAAAGAAAATAAAACAAAAAACATTTCTTTTACAGAATTTAAAAACTTTTAACTTTGAAAAACTTTTTTCAGTTCAAGACATTGATGTAGCGCCTCGGGGGAGTTACTCGGTAGTCCAGTCCATCACCGTCAGTCACTCGAAACCAAGTCAAGTCAAATGGTTATAGCCAGGCCCACATATCGCTTACCAACTTGTCAAAACGTCAGTTCACACCTGTGGCAGTCGAGTATTTTATATGGAAAACCTTGTGTGGGTCGCCTAGAACGCACTGGGCTTATAATTAAGAGTTAACCAGTGCATCATAAAGCACATAAAAGAGCACCGAACCCAAGTTACCCCTTCTCCAGCAAGAAAGGGGGGGTCATAAAAGGGGTTCGCACTTTATTACCCCATACTTTCGGTTGCATTCCCACGACGCGTATGTTTGAGTTAAAGTTATCTGCGAGATTTCTACTTTGCCAGCCAATGCAAATTAGTGTAATTGGTTTTTATGGGTTATGTATTTGTCAAAGACAAAGGTGGAAAGGGGTTAATGAGTTAGCTTTTATCACTGATAAGTCGATCAGTTATTTACTGATTTTATAAGCTATGGAATGAGAGATAGAACTGTTCAAGCAACAACCAAAAGGGGTGACAAACTTACTTTATGCCAAATTTAGGTTTTTGAAATTTGAAATGGAATTTATTTTAGATGAGAGTTAAATATATTACTATTATAAATATATTCCAAAATTATTCTTTGTTTTTCATTTTTATTTGAAATAAGTTTTTGCTTAGAATTGAATGTTAAATACCTTTCAAAATTTCTTTCAGTACACAAAACATTTGCAAAGAGCAACTCTTTTATGAGACACGTACTTTTTTTGGCAAGATTTTTGGCACAGCAGGCAATTAAAAAAACGTTTAAGTTTTAGTTATTTTGGCTATTAAAAGGTGTTTATTGTTTATACTTAAGTTTGAGAGTAATTTAAGATTCTTGTCTTAAAGGTAGTGCCATTGTCAAACTCGTTATTTTACTACCCAAAAAGTAAGAACTTTAATCTTAATCATAAGAAAAGCTCTTCTGCATCGAGAAACATAAATTCAAATTGATATGGCCATGTGATCCAACATTGTATCAAGAAATTACCCAATAAATTTTGGGCATTTCTTGTCTAATTTTTAAATTCTTTATTGAGATATAAGTGAGAACTCACCCGCACAGTTGTTTTGCTGTTGTGTGACAATTCCGAGCAGCGTCACAATCATAACAATAAAAGCCTCCATCGCAGTTAGTTTTGTTGCAAAAAGTCAGTTACCGCTCCACAAATTGTCACTCACTCTGCCACGCACATTACATATTTGCACATATCGAACGTTGTTTTTTAATGGTATTTCACTTTTTATTTGTTTTTAGTTTTTCTCTGTTGTCTTTTACGTGATTTTTTTTTCCAGTATTGGTCTTCTTTTTCAGTGATGTCGGCAATTAGCCACGTACGAGTCGACCACGAACTTAATTACTTTTGATCAAAAATTGATAAGTAGCATTTATCAATTAATTTGCGAAAAAGCAGGGCAGGAAATATGAAAAAATGGGCAATTAGTTGGGCAGATACAAAGGGAATGAACATTAATAGTTTTTTGTTATGTTGTTAGGGAAAAAAGGGGAACGAAGTTTTAGTACCCTTTGGAAGTAATAAAATGTTTATAATTAAACCTATTCTTGGGTTTTTATAATTCAAATTTATCTTTAATCAATCTTTAAATATATAAAATTATTTAACCAAACTATCTCCATACCCTCTGTAAGAGTATAAATAGTAATTATTATTATTGATAGCGGCGCCCACACTCCCGTTTTGCCATTTAGCCAATAATAATTTATCACTCGGCTAATTCCGCATAAAATCGAGTAGGGCCGCGGGGTCTGCGAGTTCTGATTATTGCAATTCAAAATGAGCTTCGATTTGGTTTTGCTTTTTTTTTGGTATTACAATATTATTGATATTGTTATTAAGTGGTCTTCGGTTGCTATTTTTGGCCAGCGCCAGGTGAAGAGCTTAAGGTCTTAGCTTTTTGTTTATTTTCTTTCGTTTTTTTTCCGCACACTTTTGGTTTCTTCTTTGTTTTGTTTTTTAAGTTCTGAGGCCAAACCCCTTTTTTTGTTCTTATTGTTATTAATCGCATTTTTTTGCCAATTCATTTAATGTCGAAACGCTGGCGGTTGGCTCAATTGGTTTTTAAATGGAATAATTTAATTAAATTATTTTGGGCAAATATTGTGGGCTGTCTGAGGGATTACTTCAGAGTTTTGTTCGGTTGCTCTTTGAGAAAAGTTGCTGGGTTTTTGGAGAAGCTTTAAGATGAGTTTCAGAGCTTGAGAACTTTGGTGTAATATTTGAAATATAAAATAGGGCAAGTTTCATGTGCTGTTTATATTGTTTTATCCCTAAGCTAATGCTAATTTTAAATAGAAAAACAAAAAAACCAAAGAGCTTTGTTGTGAACCCAAACTAACGAATTCTAAGCAAGTACCAAGGCAAACAAGCACTCCAAGAGGACGTGCCATGAAAAGAGCAAACTAAAAAAAGGTGGAAGTACGTGTACTCTACCTCTACTCTACAGGGTACTTCACTCCACATCGCTCCAGTGAGGTAGGTGTGTGTGTGTGTGGTATCCAGCGGTGCACGGCAGGTGTGATAAAAAGAACCCGAAAGAGACAATTGCGGCGTGAATTACCCGCTGGCCAGGGGAATGGCAATGGAAGATAGCACGCATAATTCAAACGAGGCCCAAAGTCAAACAACGTGATAAGCAATTCACGAACACTGAGAGAAAAATGTTAGAACCTAAATGTTTATCAAGTGACATTTATTAAAGCCCAAAGTGAAGTTTTTAACTGAAAACCTAAAGAGTTAACTAGGAGTTAGCAGATACTTCTTTCAATATAAAATTCTTAGAAAAGTTATATTTCTTCATGGCGTGTTCTCTGCCAGCAACCTTGCAGACTAACGACAACACCCAAAATTATTCACAGTGCATTGAAAGACCGACCGATAGACCGACTGACTGACTGACTGACTGACTGGCAGTCCGAGTGTCTGCTGTCTACTTTTCGTCTGTGGGCCTCTCCAGCACCTGAGCACTTTAAAGTTCAAATCTTTTGACACACTGGGAGCTCAGTCGGCGGATGCTAATGACACACGACTGACACAAAGAGGCTTTGCAGCAGGCACACGTAGAGACATTCACTGGGAGCCAACCGGTTGCCAATTTGTATGAGCCCATGGAGTTTTCTTCCCCACCCCACCCTCTCCTTTCCATACACACACCCCACTATTAAAGGTTAGGCTACCCAGGCGTTCCGGGCGGACTTTTAAGGTGCGTCTCCTATAGCCGTCCTGTTGCGCCAAAAATGGCAATTGCCATATAAAACTTATTCGATGCCGGCAACTAACGAACATCCGACGGCCGCAAGAGTCAAAGTACGACTGTGGAGGTTCCTCAGTGTCAGTGACTGCCCCCGACTGTTTTTTAACTGCACTGAGAGAAAAGAGGTGCATTGTAAATTGATTAAATTAATACTATTTTTGCTGAACTAATCTTTTTATCTTTCACTGCTATAGCTCAAAGTACTCGAAAATAAATTAAATGAAAAATTATTATTTTTTCATCACTAGAGTTGCATATCTTGTGCTTCGCTTATCATATCTTTCTTCAAAAAAATTCAACATAAAACTCTTTTTCTCTCAGTGCACTCGCCTTGTTAGCTGCCTCTGTTATTTTGCTTTTTTTTTTCTTTCACAGACATTGGCGAATTGGAAAAGAATGCGAGTGTAGCATCAAGAATTTTGGCCTGGGAGCTTAGAGTTCTTGTTTGGTTTCCACGAAAAAGGGTTCAGGAATGCCAGCCGCCGTCAAGGTGGCGTATGCGTGATGTTCTCTTCGAACCAGAAACAAACCCACCAAAGGCAAATATCAAACAAACTCTAATTGATCTCATTGTTTGAGTTTTTTTAGAACCGATCGCACTTGTAAAGGCATTTGTAATATGCAAATTAATCACTTGACTGCCATTTGCATGTGCCAACTATTAATCTTCTGTCGTCAAGGTAATTAAAAAGAAATATTTTTTAATTAAAATCAACTTTTAAAATTAACATTTTAATGAGCTTTTCACCTGTGCTAATGAAAAACGCTTAAAGCTATTAGGTGTGAGATTTTTGTAATTGATGAAGTGTTTACAATGTTTAAGTTATTTAAGTTATTGGAATTTATTAAGATAGCTTTTAAGTTACAAAAGTATGTTAAAAAAAATGTTCTCAAACAGCAAGTTAATTAATGTTTTAAAAATATTTTTATTGCGAAATAAAACTATAAAAATATGTTAAAAAAGAATGTACTCAAATAGCAAGTTAATTAATGTTTTAAAAATATTTTTATTGCGAAAGAACTATTCTTTAGCAACTTTTTGAACACCTGCATTGATTAATTTCAATGTCTGTTTTGCCCTCTTCAGTTTCCACATATTAAAATATTTCCCTCAATAAACAGCAATTATTTGTATTCACAAATTGTGTAAACTAATCCAAGTTGGACACGCACAGCTAAATCACAATTATCCGTTGGCCAATCTACACGATTTTCTGTATTGAGTTGTCAGTAGTGTGAGAGGATGTTTGCTGTTTTTGGGAAACTCCAAATCTGGAAAATCTGGCCATAGTTCGCCAAACATACATTAACACGATCTTGATTTTCGTTGACACGATTTATGGATGTCTTGCAGCTGCTGCAGCTTTTCGCAGACTCCTTAATTGTGGTTGCCTCGAAATGGCAATTATTTATGGGACAGTTTAACAAGGTAATTAATTAGCCACCTTTTTCTTTCGCGTTTTTTTTTGCCAGCTTTTCCGCGAAAACACTTTTTCAATTGTTGCAAAGCGCAGAGCTGAGAACCTACCGACTAACGAACCGCTTCGCACGAGCTCCGTTCGAAAAATGAAACTGAAACCGGCAGCCGGCAACTCCAAAGCCGCAGAAACAAAAAAAATGAAACCGACAAATTCGTACAGAAAACTTGACTAACGAAGTGGCTTCGGTTTTTGGCTGGCCGAAGTGCGTTTCCACGATGACGATGGCTTGGAAACACCCTTGCTGAATTTTCCCATTTTCCGCTGCACTACTGGGATATCGCTCCCCCTAATCACCGTCATCGAGCCATCCAACTAATAGTGACTTTGAGATAATCAGATGTGCATGTTCTACGGCTTTGTATTTTATTTACCTTTCGGAAATATGATCTCATGTCAAGCACTTTGCCTGACAGCTTCTTTGGGTTTCACAAAATATTTGCTTTATATTGGGAAAGGGTTTTGTTTTGGTTTTATCTCTGCCCGGTTATCACTTGGTTATTGTGGGAAATGTTGGTCTTGGAAAAATAGATCTTTGTTTGCTAGAAAGTTCAGAGGCTGCATTCTAATTAAGACTATCTTGGTCTGCTGCTGGGTTTGCCGAATTTTATGAATGATCAAGAGATAGCTGTATAGAATTATCTTGGAATTTTTTAAAACTGAAAGAACTAAAAAAAGAAACTGCTCAATACTCAAACCTAGTCTCCAAGGTTAATTACGAAAGTAATAGTTAATATATATCACAGCTGCACAGTACATTATATCGTAAATACCACCAAATCTCAAAATACGTTTTTAGGTTTTACTTGTTTTATTGGCTGTTTGATTTTTTTTTGGTATTTTACATGGTTTGTATGTTATATTCTTCTTGGAAGTCTATTATTCGATTTGATTACTGGGATATGCCTCAGCCTTTTGTCATTCGGTTACAATCATTAACTGTTGTGTAAAGAAACGAACGGCCAACTCTGAAACATGCGATGCTTAAGTGGGCAAGGTACTTGGGGGACATCCTGCAAGGACATCAGCAATTGCAGGCTGGGCACACCGGCTTGTCTCCGTCGATGGTGAAGGTCTGCGAAGTGATGGGATTCTCGCACTTGTTGCATCGGAAACAGTCGCGATGCCATTTGACATTCATGGCAACCACCGCTGAGTCCGTGATGGGTTTCTCGCATTTGGCACACCTGGCCGCAAACAGATCCTCGTAGTCCTGTTTGCAATAAGCCTTGCCATCCCGCTCATAAAACGATTGATTGGCCAACGGTTTCTTGCATGCTCCGTCACAGCAGAAGCATGCCTCGTGCCAATTTTCGCCCATGGCACAGATGGTTCGCTCTAGGATTGGCTTCTTGCAGCCGGCACATGTGTAGGTGTACCGCTCAACGAAGCACTTATGGCAAACGGGCTCTCCACTCTGGATGTTGAAGGTGGCGTCCACGATCTGCTCGTCACAGTGGCGGCACAGGAAGTGCTCCGGATGCCATGTCTTGCCCAGGGCAGTTATCATGCGCTTGGTGATGGCCTCGTTGCACTTGTGGCACACAATGTTCTCAGACATCTTCTTTAGAGTTTAGGTATCTGTTGTGAGTAATGGTTTTTGGATTAGCAGGTCGGTACAATATTTACAAGGTGTTTTGAAATATAATCCCAATTATAATAGATTAATAGTATAAACACCGACAGAGATGGCAAAGCAGCGATTTTTTACCGATAGTGTCAGCCCTAGATAAAAAGCTTGCATATAAAACGGTAAAAAATAAAAGGGGTACGCGAATATACTATAAACATACATATTTATACAAACTCTTCCTCCTTCTCGCGCTTCCCTTTTGGCTGACGCCTTTTGTCTTCTCTCCAAAATGTAATGCTTTCTCCGGTAATCCGTTATGTATTCGTTACTTCTTCTTTGTATTGACGTTTCACACAAAATGAGAGAACAGAAAGAAGCAATACAGATTCGGACAAAATTTACCACTCTGTTTTTGGAGAATTTTGACTGTTTTTTGTAATAAATATAGAAAACGAAAAACGAAATGAAAACGTATGAATTTAGCAAGACTCGAAAACGGAATGAGATATTCGTTGGGAACGTTGGTTAAGCAGTCTGACATTTGAAAACCGTAAATGCAGCACCTACTAGAGTTACAAAATATTTGAACTCCGTTTCCAGGTTACTTGATTTTTAAGGTTTTGGTTATTTTTAATATTAGAGGGTTGTATGGAAGTGTGTACAGTGAAATGGAAAAGTGGTGAGGGTTCATGTATAAGCTAATTAGGATTGTGGAGACATTCTTGCTGTTTCCGCGTCAAACTTTTTAAACTTAAACCTCTTAACTACTTTAGAGACCTTTTAGGCTTGTTATGGGCGGGGTTATGTTATTGAACTTCTACTCCACTTTCATAATCTTCCTCCATCTTCAGTAATCCTTTTAAATCAGAAATATCTATCGAAAGAAGCCTATAAAACAGAGATTCCGGGCTAAAAATAGTTTCTGATAATTCAAAAAAAGTACTTAAGAACTTAAAAACTTCATTTAGATTCCTCAATTTAATTTATTCCACTATATCGAATATTGGTAACTTTATACAAAATACTTAAAACTCATAGTTGGTGGTTGCTTATTTATATTCCTAATAATTTATAGCCACTTTTTCCTTGAAATTCAAGCTCTCGAATTAGTCACACCAAAAACCATTAAGAAATTGCCTTTAGAATGATGGGAATAAGGGAAGATCTTCCGCTTCTAGGGGTGACTTCTCAGTAAAAAGTTGTCGGCAATTCCTTGAAGGCGCTGGCTAAAAATGCTTGCAATTAATGAAATGTGTTTTATACGTATTTATTAAAAAATTTAATTAAAGCAAAAATGCTTAGAAACTTCCGCTTAGTCGGCAATTAACAACGGCTACACATGCGTGGAAGTGGCAGGCGTGGAAAGGTGGGTGGTGGCAGTAGAGCCTTCAAAGGACTCTCCCACCTCTCAACCCTCAAAGGGCCATCGTTAGTAAGATGCACTTAGAGAAAAAGGTTAGTAAAAGAATTGGTTTTTAAAATGTCTTTATAAAGATAAAGTTAATATATTTTATATTTTTTTATTTATAATAAAATAAACTTTTAGACTCTTATTTAATAAAAAGTTTTAAGTAATTTCTTCCAGTGGATGTGCCACTTCTTTTGTTCCCTTCTCGATGGCCGCTCGGTGGAGCACAGCATTGTTTGTGGTCGCCACGCAGTGGGTGGCACGAAGTTCTGGGTGGTGCCTCAAACCAAAAAAAAAAACTGGGAGTGGGTGTCCTCGGAGGAGAGGACATGTCACAATTTGGTTTGCGCTTTGATGCGTTGCAAGGAATTCGAAATTGCAGTCCCTTTCGGGAAAGCCATTCGCACTCGTTCCGGAAAAGCTTGTTGTGTAACTGGAAAAGGGGAATTTGTGTCAGGCGGCGTCTGTCTGCGTATGCCAAAGTGCGTGCCCAGCTCATATCCTTATCGTAATCCAGATCCTAGTTCTCATTCCTGTAAATAGGTTGACCTGCTCGTAATTATTTTCATTAAGTACCCTGTATTCCCCGTGTACGTTCTATAATTGCATTTGGGTTTCGCAGTTTTTAATTGCTGCAGGTGACGGAGCATATTTTGGCACGTTTCTGGGGCAAGTTCAAAGAGTGGCTCCTTGGGGCCACATAAACATATCCTTCAAACTTACCCGTAATTGCAAACGCAGTTGCATGACCCACAATCATTTATTTGGGTTTCTCGACTGCACTCGGTGGGTTTTCTCTGTCGAGTGAGTAAATTTAATTAGTCGCAAGATTAGATTGGGCCAATGTGGCCCAAAAAAAGGGGTAACAGTTTATCACAAACCGTCGGCAGTGGAATAAAAAATTGTCATAGGAGATTTAGGGGTTAGAATGTGGCACACTTGTGGATATAAATCGTCTGCGGATTATTGGGTAATTTTGGTTTTGGCTTGTAAATTGTCCCGAAAATGAGGTTGACTATTTTGGTTAGTAATTTTTTGGTTTAGGTATGTTGAAGGAAAGGAACTAGTAAGTATATATTGTCTTCACTTTAAAACAAATTTAAAACCTTCTTCTAAGTACTTTTTTCTTCACCAAAATAGCTTTAAGTGCTTCCCCCCAGTTTGGCCGTAAAACGAGAGCAGGATCAATGGACAGAAACGGGAAACCGGGAGTCGCAATCAATTACGCGACAGTTTAATTATGCATCCAGGGAACGGATACAGGATATGTCGACCTCTGGGGGCGCATTGAACTTTGATTTGGGCCAGGCCCAGAGTTCCAACCCCAACGCCCGTCAAAAGTCAGTTGGTCAAATAGAGGATGCAAGCTGAATGTTTAATATAGAGTGTTGTGTACGATTTTAATGGCTATAAAAACAGACTAGGATTAGGTATTTACAATTAGAACAAATGTAACGACTAAACTAACTAAGGCTTACGAACTATTAGTGTTTGGCTAATCAATGACAATGACCTCCGTTGGATCCTGGGGATCCTGTTCTTGGTCGTCTTCCGATTGCGGATGCCAGTACTTGACTTTGTTCTTGTTACTGGGTTTCTTGGAGGAGATAAGAGTGCGACGTTTCAGACGCTTCAGCTTTTTCTTCTCCCGCTTCTTCATCTTCTCCTGGGCGAACTCCAAAATGGTGCCCCTGAGTTCCAGTCGGTAGTTATTTAGGTGGCACAGTTCTTGAGCCAGCGGATCATCGCCGGCTGGAGCTTTGTTTTCCTCATCCTCCTCGTCTGACAGTAAGGAATCAAAGTCAGTCCAGGACTTGTTAGGTTCTACCAAATGCTGCCTTTGCAGCTTTAGCAGCTCCTCTGTTAAGAGCAGCTTGGAGGTGGCCCACTTCATCATCTGGTGCTTCTTGCAGCCGATTTGCTGGCGATAGCTAAACAAATGGAATGTCAAATTGGGGACTATCTCCTCCGGCTCGGTTACTTTTGGCTTAATCGCCTCCTGCTCCTTGGGAGCCACGAACGGAATGGGCGTGGTATTCGTGGCACGTGCTTCTGAGCAGGACACCTTGCGATCCATTACGTTGCCCATGTTGTTGACGATCTGAAGACTCGATTCTCTCTGACAGCTGCTAACTCTCAACCCCTTACTCTTATATGCCACAAGCTGCATTAATCGTTTCGTTGCAATAAGGACTTTTACCTGTCGGAGAGCTTTACCTGGTCTGGCTTCTTGCCTGATTTGCTGGGTCTCGAACGTGTCGCTGTTTTATGGCTCAAACACCTGGCGTGGATTAGGGAAAAGTTGACAAATTTCGATTATTTAAGCCACAACAAAATTCACAACCTTTTCAAGGTTTTCTTCTTATAGAGTTTCCAAAAAAGGAGACACCCTTAGTAATTACCTGATTATGTAGGATAATTTCCCTTTTACAGCTATGATGGGCAATACCTTCTGGTACTTTTTTCCCGTTAGACTTCTCTGCCTTTTGCTGGCAACTGATTTTAGATGATACTTTCAAGCTCCTATTCCTTAATTGTCATATTTTAAAGTTAGAAATAACACAAGCTGTTTGTTGGTTGGTGAAAGTCCTCTGTCTCTATGCTCGAGTCGTTGAAGAAAATGTTGGCCTGATGAAAAGTCATGGACTACTGCGAGTTTTGACATTTAGCCAACGTTCTTAGCCAACACTTAAAGACTTTTGACACACCACGGAGACTCTTACGGATTATTGCTTTTTTATAATTTTATTTTTTTGAGTAATTTTATTTATTTTATTTTTTATTTTTGTGTTTAACATAATTCCCAAACACTTTAAAAATGCACTTCTGCGGACATCTTTTGATCTTTCTTAATTTAAGAAGAATATTATAATTTTAAAAGATTTTTTAGTTTAAAAAAGTATAATTTCATATAACATTTGCAGGCAGTATTTTTTCCTTATTAAGTTTTATTTTTTGTAAAGCAATTGAAGGGAATTGAAACTATTATAAAAAATAAATATTAATATAATGACAGTGCAGACAGCACATTGTGACCATTTCCATTGACCAATACTTTTTGAGGCTTTTTGTGAGTACTTAATTTAAAATATTAAAGAAACTGAATGAGTATTCTAACTTATATTCCTGATTAAGCCATTTCCATCTTCTAAAACAATCAATCTAATAAACAGCTATCTTAGGCAGCTTAGTTTATACCAATATATCTTAATAACCAATTAGACCTTCTTTTCAATAAGTAGATATTCTTATTCCCTTGCAGTTACAGCACTGATAGTTTTATGTCAAAGTCGTTTAATAATAATATTAAAAATGTTCTTGTGTTACTCCGACGTACGACTAGTTAAGAAAATAATTCAAATCTTCAATATATATATTATTCCTATTCTAGACATGGGCTTTCCATTATGTTTACTATTGTATAGTTACCCTTCATTATTATCTACATTTATTATATAAAAATTTATAATATTAGCTTGTCAAAAAAGTCTTGCGGTATAAAATTGGTTACAATAATGCGATTCAAGTCAAATATGCGCCGTTTTGTTCGATGACGCGTTCTTAACAAGATGCCAACTTCATAATGACCATCTCATAGAAGCTCGCTTCCCTATTGGCAAAAAACTCGGAGCGTGGCGCATCTTCGACCACCTCTACACCAGAACGAAAACGTTGATACCATCGTTGTGCGGTGGAAATGGAAACTGTATCGGTTTCATAAACTGCACAAATTTTATTGGCGGCTTGACATGCATTTCTGCCTTTATCGTAGTAGTACTGTACTGCTCCATGATTGCGACACGAACGACTTAAAAGAAAAGACAATTAATCAAACACTTGTTAGCGCGTGAAATGACCTGATGCGACGCATAAAACATGAACTACGCATTTCAGCGCCAACTAGCGAAAATACCGCAAGACTTTTTTGACAACCTAATATATTATTCCTATTCTAGACATGGGGTTTCCATTATGATTACGATTGTATAATTACTATTTATTATTAATTATATATTTTTATTATAAAAAAGTTTATAATATTTATATATACAATTTATTTAAATTATATTACAAAAAGTATTATAGAATAACCTCTATTTTCCAATATTCGATTTTTGCTATAGCCCTGTTGATATATTCTTCGACCAGATTTCTCTTAAATAAACTCTCAGCACATAAGTCTATCATGAAAATAACTCCTTAAACAACGTCAAACCATATAATAAGTTCTCAGCATCTAATAAAAATATATTCCGTTAACAGCCGTTCGAATATTACCAATTGTTATATTTACCTGATTCTTCCTGACCAACATTCCAAATTGGTAGACAATACTAAAATCTGGTAGCGTACTTTCAGAGCCATCTGTCGCATCGCAGGTAAAAATTAAGCCATAGGAATTTCTAAGCTCCCTAAAAACCAATCAACCTTTTGACCTGTCCGAAAGGACAGTCCCTCCCACCGATATCAACTACCTGTTCCACTATATAAACCAAGCAAATCAACCACATCATTATCATTCACATTCAAACCGTCAATAGCCATGGATCCGTCCACCGTTCACTCCAAGAAGCTGATGATGTTCCGCACTCCGAACGAGGTCGAAGCACTGAAGAACCAGATCTTCATATTCAACTCACCGATTGACTACAAGGACCACAAGCTGATTGTCTACCAAAAACCAGGAATCCTTGCCAGTGACAAGGACTACGGCTACTGCGTTGTCTACAAGCGGGATCATTATGTGATCAACAATCCGCCCAACTTCAAGAGTCCTACGAAGAGGAGCTTCCTCAACGAGTGCATCCGTCAGTTGTATCTGATGAATGGTATGGGTCACAAGATGTACTGGAGAACGACCAGTGCAATGGCTTTGAGTACACCCGGCGAGGTGTGGCACCAGGTGAACAGCTGCCTCCTGCCAGAGAGACTTACACCCCACAAGGAAAGCCTAAAGCGTGTTAAGAGGCAGCTTTTCCGGGATCCACGGGCAGACCGCAAGAACCCCAAGCCCATTAAGGGCAAAGTCTGGGGCACCCAAGTCTTTTACTTTAAATCGATGCGGGAGAAGATTGGCAGGAAGTACATCCGCAGGGGTTATCTAACCATTGCCCGCCGGGAGGCACTCCAAGAGATGATCCGTGAGCATTTGGCACGTGAAATAGTTTGCGCTCCAACAGTTTGCCGGACGGTAATCAGTGCCTCCGATGGAATCTTCAATGTCAATGCCGGCGTCATCGGTGACATCTGTAGTTATCACAACAATGCGGCACGTCATCAGTCCGCCGTAGAGTGCCGTCTTACGGCCGGAGAAGCCCGTCTGCGAAACAATGAAGCCTGTCGGCTGACTCAACGGGCCAAGCGTTTGGAGGCCATGTTTATACATGAACAGGTCCGCCGGGCCATACAAAACCACCAGCTCATCCTCGAGGAGTCAGTGCGTTCCATCTACTATGCCAAGGAGCTGTTCCGCCTGATTGAGGATCACGAGGAGTTCGTCTACACGGACAACAAGATCCTGGGCAAGGTTTAATGGGCACCTTTTGACTGGCATAGCCACTACTCTTTTTTTAACCTGATTCCTTAATATGTATTTGTAATTATTATTTGTAAATTTAATAAATAAAATTAAGAACTAAACAGCTTGGATTTTAAATTTTTTAAAGGGGGAATACATGGATGAAAATGTTCCTTAAGACATGATTTATTTTAGCCAAATTTTTAACCAGTAAAAGACATAACAACATTAACTTTTTTTACTCAAAATGTTATAAAATTTGAGGTAATTACATTTAAAATACACTTTTATTGTATAAAAATTCGTTTGATTTTAATTTGAAAAACTATACTGCAGGGTTTGATGCTATCAAGATCTACATTTATTTTTATGATCCTCTGAGGTTACGTCGTCTTCTGTTGCTCTATCAGCTTGGAATGAACGTCCATTAGGCTCTGTAAATATGTAAAATATTGGAAATTAGAAAAACTTAGGCAACTTGTTAATTATTGATAAATGGAAGCTATATATTCACTTATGCTTTAGCTTAAAAGGAATAATCTAAGGTATTTCGTAATGCATATCAAGTTCATTTCTGATTTAATTTATATAAAGTACAAGTATAAAAGCTATAACAAGAGGTTCAATAATAAAGAAAACATATTTATTTTTTTCTTAATTTTATATTAATTATAATGTATTAATGTTTGGTATTTGGCCGCAGTCTTCCATCTGATCTCCAAACTTTTGGTAGAGTTTTTGTTTCCTTTTTTACATTTCATTTTCAGTAAGTCTGAGTTAAAACTAGCTTTGGGTACATAACAAAAGAAAGCTTTATACTTTACGCAATTTCAGTTTTTGTAGCCCTTCCTGTTGGGAGCCTTCGTCTAGATCTCTGAGAATGCCCTGTGAAATTGTGGGAATGGCCAGCCAGCCAGTCGTTAACAAAGTTCCATTATTCTTACATTCTTATACTTAATCAAACAACTATAACCTTGGAAGCCATTATAGTACAAGCATTTAAGTCAGCCGTGTTCTTAAGCTAAATCAACAACCATATAAAAGGTACCATGTAAGCCCTTGATAAACTAAGGTTTTAGTGGAAGTTCTAAAGCGGTTTTTTAGGTTAGAGAACCAACACCTTAAGAAGCTTCTACAGCACCCACTTTCCAGCTCAGTTCCAGTTCTATAAAATCGACGAAATCGAGGGCGGGCATACCTTAAAGTATTTCACTGTCTTAACTCTCAACTCCAAAGTGGCATCCTCATCGCATATCATCAGGGTATTGGCATGCTGCTGGAAGGCACTAACGGTCCACATGTGGTTCACACCCTCCTCGATGGCTTTGTACAGGGCAAACGCCTTGTGGGCTCCCGTTATAAGGATCATCACCTCTTTGGAGTCCATCACGGTACCAACACCCACAGTTAAAGCCTGTTTGGGCACCTTGCTCATATCATTCTCAAAGAAACGAGCATTCGCTTCCAGTGTATCCTGTGCTAGAGTTTTGACCCGAGTTCTGGAAACCAGCGAGGATCCTGGTTCATTAAATGCAATATGTCCATCGGGTCCAATGCCGCCGATGAACAGCTCCACGCCTCCAGCCTCGCGGATTTGATCCTCAAACTTATTGCACTCCGCCACCAGATCTGCTGCATTGCCATCCAAAATGTGCACATTCTTGGGCTCGATATCGATGTGCTTGAAGAAGTTGTTCCACATGAAGAAGTGGTAGCTCTCGTGGTGATCTCTGGGAAGGCCTAAGTATGATAGGGAAAGGTTATAAAGTATCTATTAAAATCAATAAAAAATCACGAATCTCTTTTAAGATAAATGATCCTGAACTGTATATCTGTAGACTACAACAAAGTTTATTGCTAATCTTTGAGATATTTTCAGCTAGAACTCACCGACATATTCATCCATGTTAAAGGTTTTCACATACTTGAAAGGATACCTTTCCTTGTTTGTGGAACTCAATCAGTTCTTTGTACATTCCCAGGGGAGTAGAGCCAGTGGGCAGGCCCAAGACAAAGTATCTAAAAATAGTAAATGGGTATTAATTATGTAGAAGTTATTTAATATTATGATATTTATACTTGTCGGCTGTTGGCTGAAAGTCGTTGATCCGTTTCATCACATATTTGGCCGCCCACTTGCCAACCGAATCGCTAGTTTCCAAGATGACCAATCTCATTTTTTGACTGGAAAAGTTTTCAGAACATAAATAACTTTAAAATATGAAGGAAAATTTTATAAAGAATACAGAAGGGACGAAATTAAATATATATTGCTTAAAAATGAATTTGTAACGTAAGTAATGGAAATATATCAACACCCTTCTCTTGAATGGAATTCGCCATTTCAATGAGGAAAAGGAAAACATCACCAGCTGTGAAGAAAGAAAATTTCAAAATGAAAAACAAAGACCTTATCTCTCCAGAACATTCACAATATCAACTGCCAAGGATTTAGATTAGATGTTGATATGGTGGGATAAGATACAAGAGTAATGCAAACCATTCTGTTTTCTTTTTCGTGTATATTCGCAGCGTACTTATAGATACCGTCTTGTTTATTGTTGTACTCGTCTGATAAACAGCAAATACTTGGCAATTATTGACAATTAACCCATTTATGGCGTTGTCCCCACGGAAAACACTTTCGATCTCACTTGGCAACACGAATTGTACTTGAAATTACGAATTATACTTAGCTAGCTACTCACCTTCAAAGCACGCGAATGCAAACAGCTGGTTTGTTAATATTAATAATATATATTATTTTTATGGCTCACACTTGCTTTTTTGGAAGAGTTTTGGCTACGCCGCTTATTTCCAATTTGAGCTGCGAACTGAGACTGTTCAATTGTTCAATTCGAAAGGCAATTTATGCAGCGATTAGCTCGAGTTTGAGTTTGTTTTTGCGGTTGTGGTTGAAATACGCTCTTTGGCTGATAAAGAGAAATACATTATATATGTATATTTGATAATCGCAAATGCAGTTGCAACCTTGAGATACTTTGTGTTATCGTTATCGCGGGTTAAGTGGTCATGGTTTACCGTAGAAGTCTCTCTTTTCATTTCATTCTTCAGTTGAATGAACTTCAACCGGCGTTTATTTCTCTTTACTAAGGCATCTTTTAGGCACAGTTGTATATTCGCTCTTGAGTGGTTTTTTCTGCATTCGGAACTCCCTCTGTGTATCTCCGTTTCTTGTATTTAAAAGAACTGGTTTTTAACACTCTTGAGTACTTTATCTTATAGGATTGACAGCACCTTAAAATAACAACATAAGAATTCTTGGTTGAAAGCCGGTTAAACTTTTAATTTCTTCCTTTGCTTAATTTATGTATGCTTACTCAACTTACTCGTATCGATAAATCACTCAAATATAATTTTGAGTGGCTAGAACGCCCGCATTGCTTATGTGTGCACTTTGTACATCATACAGGCGCAGAAAAAATTAAAAATCCAAAAATAACTCAAGGCGGCGAATGGAAACGCAAAGAGCACAAGGAAAAAGGGCCACCAGGCGGCGAAAGTGAAATGTGTACCCTAAGAGCAAATTCTAATGAGCATATTGGTTTTAGGTTGTTGTTAAATAAACATCAGCTTAATTTTTCGATTTTTTTTATTAAACATGGTTTCTTTATTTTTTTTAATTATCAATTACATACATAAACGTAGATGTACTTAAAGTTTAGGTATTTTCATCAGTTTTTGTTTAATAGTTTGTGTGGACGTTTAATTTGTTTGGCCGGCGTAAAACGCAACCACGCCCACACATAAAAAAGCGACGGAGCCACTGAGCCACTAGCTGTTTTTTTTTTGTAATAATTGTTGTACATTTTTCATGTTGCTGTTGTTATGCTATGTTGTTATTGTTGTTTGTCCGGACTGCAGGAAGCTCAAGAACCGGTTTCAGCCGGGAGAAAGCGGTTGGTTTTGGGGGGTGGGGATCGTAAACCCTATGGCCATGGCTAGAAAATATATATTGCTGGCTTCTGTTTCTCATTTCCGTAGGTAGTATCTAAATATAATGTTTATTGTATTTTAAGCTGATTGTACAAAAAATACTTAAATAAATATGTCTGTTGTCGGGAGCTTCTGTTAGTTAATTCTCAGGCCTGTATCATAATTCTTTCCTCGCTTTTTGCTCGTTGTTTTTGTTGGTTAATCTTGGATATTGCTTAAGAACTATTTACTTATAGAGAAGGGAGGGGGCTGCGCAAGTACATCGAAAATATTGTTTTCTTGCAATATTTTCGAAATTCTTGCCGGCACAAATACAAATGTTGAAGGTGGCATGTAAATTCTATGTGGCATAAATGAAAGAACTACAAGAACTACAGTTTATACCAAATAAAGTTTACAATAGATTGGGTTAACGTTAAAACACAGAACGAAGAAATTATTTTGTCATTGGAACAAATAAACTAAAAGACTTCATAGAAAGTGATAGTATTTTGAAGAAGACGAGACAAAGATTCTTTTTAAGCTGCTTAGGCTGTTCTACACAAATGATTTTTGATTAAATTACTGACCTTGCGGCCACAAAAAATAACTTAACTGATTAATAAATCTCTGTACCTCTGCGTTTGTGTGGATTCTTGTTTGTTTGTTTGTTGTTGTTGTTGCTTTCCCTTTGTTATTATTTGTCTGTCTGGTTCAGAAGATTTGTTGTTTTTGTATTATTACATAATGGCGCACCGTTCGCCTGTCTGAGGATCGCCCTGTTGGTGATAGAGTTGTTCGTTGCCATCGACGGCACTAACACTGCGACGGCGAGTCAGACGGGAGGAGGAAGTGTGCTGGGACACAATACGTTTAATGCGATCCAGATTGGCCACAGCTTCGCCCTCGGCGTTTAACAGAATCGTCCTGGTGTTGTCGGCAGCGATCCACTTCTGCGACTTCATCACCAGACTCGATGGTGGCTCATGCGATGCCTTTGTATCTGCTGACCAAACGGTCACCACGGCATTCGGTTCAATTTTTACCGAGCGATGGAACTTGTAGGTGGTCGAAGGACCGCCCTCGTTGATCAAACGCTGCAGCTGCCAGCCTCCTATTGCCACCTCATCGCTGCCCTTATTGTACAGCTTCACGAACTTGCCCTCGGGATCGATCTCCTTGATCTCCACGTTGCCCTTGGCACTGGCTGACACATAGTAGTCGGAGATGCTGCGATCTTCAGATTCATCGACCACAGCACGCTTGCGCTTCATGGCGCCAGAAGAAGTGCGACGTGAGGGCGTGGCACGGGTGGAGGTACGCAGCGATTGGCTGAAGGACTGCACCGTGGCCGTGCTGGCGGCTGGGGTAATGTTTAGGCGCGCCTCCTCGCCGACCAGCAGCTTGTCGTAGGCAGCGATTTCCAAATCCAGTGAGACCTGCGCAGGGAAAATAGATTTATAGAATATAAAAAATCAAAATAATATAATAAGGGGTTTAACTCACCTTGATGTCCATGAGGTCCTGGTATTCCTGCAGTTGGTGGGTCATCTCTTCGCGCAGTCGAATAAGCTCCTTCTCAAGATGAGCCACCTCTTGTCCGTGACGCTCGCGAGTGTTATCCAGTTCCTGCTCTAATTCCCGTACGCGACCATTGAGAGCGGCGTTAATCTGCTCAAGATCGTGAATCTTGGCATTTAGGCCGTCAATACGAACGCGAGTCGAACGCAACTCTTCGATGGACTTGTGCGTAGAATTTAATTTGCGTTCAGCGGTCTCCTCCAGACGACGGATTTTATCCTCGTACAGCGACTCGATATCGTCGCGATTAATGCGCATCTGCTCCTCATACTGGGAGCGCAACTCCTGTAGCGACTGCTTCAACTTAGCATCATACTCGGAGCTGAGGCGTCCGTCAATTTCGCTGTACTCCGTCTGGCGGATGCGGCGCGATTCATTGATCTCCTGTGAGTGGACTTGATCCTTGAATGACAGCTCCTCACGCAGGCTCTGAATGGTATTCTCCAAGTCAACGCGCGTCAGTGTCTCCTGCTCTAGATTCTTGCGTGTGTCCTCGAACTGCTTGCGCAGACGCTCCAACTCCTTGGACACCTCGTTCAATTCATCATTGATCTTCTTCCGATCGGCATTGGCCAGGTTGAATTTGTTGCTTAACTCATTGGCACGCGACTCGTACATCCGGGCATTGCCTGCGGGGTGAGAAAAATCAATCAATTATATGGGATTCGACTTCAAATGGCTATAGAATAGGGTGGGTTTGAACTTTTCGGCTGAGGATCACATAGGCAGTAATTCGATTTTGTATACAATATACCCTAGAAAACATCCCTATCTCAGGCAAGTAAGATTCTCCATAATGACTGTCTTCTGACTGTATTTAACCCCACCCCATAACTGTTTAGTTCCTGTTTTTAAATTTTATCAAATAAATATACTTATGAATCATTAATTATATTTCATAAACTTGAGTGTAAAGGAATTAAAAAGAATCCAGACTCATTATGAATGAGATGATCAATGAAACACTCACCCTCAGCAGTGCTGCACTCCTTGGTTTTTTTGTCCAGCCTGTTCTTCAGCTCCTCGTTCTCCTCCCACAGACGCTTGATATCGATCTCGGCACGAGCTCGATCCCTGGCCGTATCATCTAGAAGACGACGCGTCTCCAGCAGCTCAGCCTCAAAAATGTTCTTTATATTGGTCGTCTCGCGGGTGACCGTGTCCCTGGTGGTCTGCACCTCGATGCTAAGACGGGAGTTCTCTGTCTCCAAGTTGCGCACCCGGTCAATATAGGTGGCCAGTCGATCGTTCAGATTCTGCAGCTCAACCTTCTCTGCGACGCGAGAGTGGCGGGTGGGACTCAAGGGGCTGGAGGCCGCTTTTGATGGCGGCGCTTGCTGGTGGTGCTGTTGCGGACCCGCTGATGGCGCCCGCGGGGTCGAGGTGCTGCCGGGCTGCGGCGTGGCGGTGCCAGCACGTCGGGATTTGCTCGACATTTTTACGCTAAAAAAAACAGATAAATACACAGAACACGTGAGATTTTTGTGACTATGACCTCTTTAAAGACAGGCACAGAGAGAAACAGGCCAATAAAATAGATAATATGCGTACAATTCATTAATTAATAACTTATCCCACATTTTTTAAATTTATTTTATTTATTTAAGTTCTTACTGACGTTAAAAACAAGTTTGAATTAATAGGCTCCGCTACCGATGATTGTTAAATATTATCGCAGCTTGAACAAAACTTGTTTTAATGTGACTATGAATTATCTGTCACATTGATTGCAACATTATTTTCTCGGTGTAGAATACGTTATTTTTGCGCCCTGATAAAATTCCAAACAGAAAACGAAAACGAAAAAGGGGAAACGCACAAAACGCTCAAAAACAGAAGCTAAACGAGTTTCTCAATCGCACTCTCTCTCTTGCCTAGTCACACACACGCGCACGCCACTTTTCACTCAAGCGACTGTACTAAAGCGGACGAGGAAAAAAAAAGTTTGTCGGCGTTTGTTTATGGGCGTGGGGCCTAAAGGCGGGGCTAAATACGGATTTAATCAATCGCACTGCTTAACTAATCCAAGCGACTCACTTTAACCGATTTGATAAGGTCATGAAAATTGCACAATATGGCGGTTTTAATTCAATATTTGCGGCATTTTCACGCAGCTGCAGGCAGGGGGGTTATTTCCATTTCGAATGAAATTGCACCGCCACTTTTCATCATCATTAGCTTAAGTTTTTCGAATCACTTTCCACTGTCTCTTATTGTTTGATTGCAGTAACTAATCTTACCTGTTTTTGGTTAAGAACGCAAAATGCACAAATTGGAAAATTAAATATTTTGCTGCAATAAAACGCGGCCGACGCTGAAACTTGTAATCGAGTCTGTTGCGATGGTTCAGAGATGGCCCTTTCGGATTATTAACCGATAACTTTACAGACCGGGCAGTGGGACCATACTACCAGAATATTCGTCACTAAAAATGACATGTGTAAAAAATTTTAAATGTTATCATAAAAAGTAAATTGTACTCAAAATTATTAAAGAAATTTCTTTATTTCTGCATCGAATTTAATTGAATTGGATATAAAGTATCGAAATATCAGTGGTATATCGATATGTCTTCCAGCTCACCTTTAATGGGATGTAAAAATTGGGATGTACAAATTGTTGCTGAGGTCACACTCTTCTGCTCTGTTTTTTTTGGTGCGCGTCACGTTAACTTTTTAGAATAAATTTCTCTTCACAAGTTTTATTCAGTCTGAAAACGTGCACAAAAGGTAAGAATAACTTAAGATACTACGTTGCTGTTAAAAGAACGAGCGCTTACATTGGTTATTTCAATATATTTTGAAATACATGTAATGCGGTTTGGTGAAAAAACAAGATGGCGGAGGGTACGCCGGCACCGGCTCTGCTAAAAAAAGCGGCATTTTCCCTTACAAACACATGTAACTTAGTATCTCCCTCGTCTTTTCTTTTATAGTGTATAGATTTGTATTTATACCAAAGTCTAGATAAAAAAAAAAAAACCGCAGAAATGGCTGATAATGACGATCTTTTGGACTACGAGGATGAGGAGCAGACTGAGACCACTGCGGTCGAGAACCAGGAGGCACCCAAAAAAGATGTCAAGGGTACCTATGTATCTATTCACAGTTCAGGATTCCGCGATTTCCTCCTGAAACCAGAGATTCTTAGAGCTATCGTTGACTGCGGTTTCGAACATCCTTCTGAGGGTAAGTACCAGAATTCTACTTTATATCGAAGGTACAGTTTATAATTATCATTAACTTCCTTGCAGTCCAGCACGAGTGCATTCCGCAGGCTGTCTTGGGCATGGACATTCTCTGCCAGGCCAAGTCCGGTATGGGCAAGACTGCTGTCTTTGTTCTGGCCACGCTCCAGCAGCTGGAGCCTTCGGACAACAACACCTGCCACGTTCTGGTCATGTGCCACACTCGCGAGCTGGCCTTCCAGATCAGCAAAGAGTATGAGCGCTTCTCCAAATACATGCCCTCAGTCAAGGTGAGTTCATTATCTATTTAAAATCCAACTAAAAAGGATAAAAAGGCGTTTTTCTATAATATTTTAGTAAAAATCTTTGGCTTTTTAAAATATTTACCATACAATAACATACGCTATTAGTGTCAGCATACCGAGAAGTTTACCTTATGTTGCACATTAATTAGCCATTTTTTATATCTAGGTTAAATGGTAAAAATGTATCTCCACAATACTAGATTTCTTTTTCACAATGTTATGAAATTGATATCTTATCCCAATCAATTGCCAGCTAACGTGAAAAAAAAAAACTGAAAACTAACCCAATAATTTTTGTTTTTTCAGGTGGCCGTGTTCTTTGGCGGAATGGCTATTCAAAAAGACGAAGAGACTCTGAAAAGCGGAACTCCTCACATTGTGGTGGGCACTCCTGGCCGCATTTTGGCCTTGATTCGCAACAAGAAACTCAATCTGAAGCATTTGAAGCACTTTGTTTTGGACGAGTGTGACAAGATGCTGGAGCAGCTGGGTAAGTCGAAAATATGCCACACAAATTATCGAATTCTGACTTATAAGTAAACCTTACTTTTAGATATGCGTCGTGACGTTCAAGAGATTTTCCGTAGCACACCGCACGGCAAACAAGTGATGATGTTCTCTGCCACATTGAGCAAGGACATTCGTCCCGTTTGCAAAAAGTTCATGCAAGATGTAAATATCAACGTGTTCATAACCAAAATGCTCGTACTTCTTCACCTCGCATCCACCGCTATCACGACAATTAGTTATTATTTTGTTAACGCCACCCGATATCGATTTCTCGATCTCAATCCCCCATATAAGCCAAACACCATCTTGCAAATGGTTAAACGTGTATACCCAAACGTCCAGCGCTCTTTGAGCATAACTCGTATCGAAAAAGTTAGCTAATGACAACCAGACACCATTTTCTAAATGGTTAATCGCGTGAAAAGCAATCGTACCGAAAGCATAAAGAACCTGTAATCGCTAAACCAATCAATTGTAATCAAAATGATTTAACAAACCAACTAGGAAATACAATACTCATATAAAACTACGAAAAACAGCAAATCCCGCCGACTGGCCGATGAGAGAAGGTGAATCCAAAGCGAATGCGATGCGATATGCCGCTCATCTGTAATCCGCACACTTCTCAGAGCGATCGTCGATCCTCGGGAGCAGTTGATGAGTCTAGTTGATGAGATGTGGTGGTAGCGTGGCCGTATGTAGAAAATTCTAAGCATATTGTTGTATGTTCCGAGGCGAGCCTAGTCTTAGTTTGATTATCGTTTTACTCCATTGAATTGTTCCCTTTAAAATGCTCCACATTCTATTTCCGAAATCTAGCCTATGGAGGTATACGTTGACGATGAGGCGAAGCTTACTCTGCATGGACTGCAGCAGCACTACGTCAATCTGAAGGAGAACGAGAAGAACAAGAAGCTGTTCGAGCTGCTCGACGTGCTTGAGTTCAATCAGGTAACTAATTTTTATTCCTTTTTTTTTCTTTATTAAAATTAATTATTTCCCTTCCTTCGACTAGGTGGTGATCTTTGTGAAGTCTGTCCAACGTTGTGTGGCCTTATCCCAGCTGCTGACGGAACAGAACTTCCCCGCCATCGGCATCCATCGTGGAATGACCCAGGAGGAGCGTCTAAACCGCTACCAGCAGTTCAAGGATTTCCAGAAGCGCATTTTGGTGGCCACCAATCTGTTTGGCCGCGGCATGGACATTGAGCGAGTGAACATTGTGTTCAACTACGATATGCCTGAGGATTCCGACACCTACTTGCATCGCGTGGCCCGTGCCGGTCGCTTCGGTACCAAAGGTCTGGCCATTACCTTTGTTTCGGACGAGAACGATGCCAAGATACTTAACGAAGTACAGGACCGTTTCGATGTGAACATCAGCGAGCTGCCGGAGGAGATTGATCTGTCCACATATAGTGAGTTAAAGCGCACTGTTCCTATTCAACTCGATACTAATTTGTTTTCTTTTCCAGTTGAGGGACGCTAGAGCTCGAAAGTGCAGAACAGTACTGCTCAAGACTACAATGCACTTCGAATAGATACAAACTAAAACCTTTTATAAAACTCTACTTTATAACTAAATAAAAATTATTCAGACAATGTGTTGACGTACAAAAATGGATGAATATATATTAGTTGGGACTGGAAATAATAAAACTATTATATTTCGGGCCTCTTCCTTTGGGAAGTTTTAACATAAATGCAATGCAACTAAAATAAGCATAAACTGTACATTTTTATAAAACGCAACTTAATTAAATAAACGAAAGTCCCTAACACCCTAAATATTTGGTTCGTTTTCATTGTGGTTAAGGAATCCGGAACACTCGGATATAGTTTAGTGTGTCCGTTTCAGGACATGCGCAATAGCTTGGAGCTTCCGGCAGCTGCATTGCGACAGGAAGGGCAAGGGGTCGTAGGGGTTGACCAAGGAGGTCGGAAAAACAGGAGGCGAAAAACAAAGAAAACGACCGAAAAATGTGAGAAAATGCACGCGTGCGAAAATGTTGCTGAAAAAGTATGTGAAAACGCGACGTAAGGTGAAGATCCTTCTCCTGCTGGCCATTGTCGGTCTACTGGTCATCACCATCATAGTCCTGGGCTCAAGTGGACGTAATGCGGCCATCGAATTGCTGCTGGACGAGCGGTTCATCGCCCGAGCCTACAGACCCGGGGACCAGCCTCAACCGCCGCAAAAGGCACCGGCAAAGGCTGCGGCACTGATCCAGCCTCAGCGGGAGAATGGAGTGATTGTGCCCGAGAAGTATGACGAACAGAAGATCAAGGAAAGGATCATTCAGAGCAAAATAGATCTTATGAAGCAGCAGCAGCAGCGGGACCACGAGGCGGAGCAGGCGGTAACTAGAAATTAAATGAAGAAAATAATATTACTAGATTAACAAGAAGAAATTTATAATATCTTGATAACGTTGATGCTAAATTTCAGAATATTAATATAAGGTTTTAATTTATGGTCTGAAAAAATCTTTAAAAAATCATCTAAAAATCCAATTTTTATAATTGTTTTACCCATGATTTCAGGCAAGGACCACCTTGGATGTAGTGATCACAGCAGTGCATATTTTCTACACAGCTCCAGTGCCATGGTACAAGTCGAAGAAGCCACCTCCGCCGCCGGCTGAGCACCCGAACGATGTGCCCTTGACGACACCACGACCAGTGAGGATTCTTAACACAGCCTTTTATCCGGCACTTGGTCTGTACAAGCCCAGTACCTCGCTGCTATCCCAGCACTTTGAAAATATTCGGAGCTGTGGCATAGGAGTGCTCATCCTCAGCTTTACGGGTAGCAAGCCGGCGGAGGCGGCACTTATCCATCAAATCCTGGAACTGGCCCCTCAGCATAATCTAAGTGTCACTTTCGAACTCAGTGTGGCTGGTAATCAGAGTGTGGAATTTGTCCGGCAGCAGCTGCAGGAGATTTCCACATACTCCACGCTGCCTGGCTTCTATAAGGTCTACAGTCAGTCGAGAGGTGTCTCCATGCCAGTTCTCTACGTGAGCAATGCCTACAAATTGAGTGATAGTCTGGGAAGATTGCTCTGTCGAACGCCCTCGCTGGTGGAACCAGATGGATTGAGAAGGGTTCTAGATGCCTTCTTTATAGGACACATTAGGTGAATTGCTTTTAAATTGGTTAGTAGCCAAGCTAATCATGAACTTTCGTCTTTCGTTAAGGCTTAAAAGCCATGCTGATGTCCTGCGACGACTGTGTTTCGATGGCTTCTACAGCAAACTGCCCAGCAATGGAGCTGTCTTCGCCAGTACCTGGAAGAACTGGTCTTATCTGAAGTCATTTGCATTATCCTACAAAATGCTATTTGTGCCCACTGTGGGTCCGGGATTCGCAGAGAGAAACAAGTTCCCAAAACATGGTGACATTCAAAGGCATCGCAGCAATGGAAGAGTAAAGATATCCCATTATTCCATATCTAAGATTATTTTACATAATATATGGTTTTTGTAGTACTATGGAGTGGCCTGGAGAACGGCCATCCTGAATCATGTGGGATTCATAAACATAGCCAGCTACAACAACTGGCCGGATGGCAGTCAAATCGAGGAAGTGATGCCTCGTGCTGGCTTCCTGGACTATAATCCTGGCTCAAGAACCAAATATCTAGATCTCACAGCCCACTGGGTGGGTAACTTTCTGAAAACGCGACAGGAGGCAGCGGCAGCAGCTTCTCCGGCATCGCCCCAAAATTGCTACGAGCTGTTGAATGGGACAATTTGCTAAGCTCGTGCACCAGCAACTTCCGGAACGAAGATAATCCTAGTTACTTTAGAAGCAATAGCAACAATTGCAGGCCACAAAAATTACTTTCGAAATGTTAACGAGTCTTCTGCTACACATATATATACACTAAACATATATCGTTTTGATAGTGATATTTTTAATAACTTAATTCGAAACATGAAAGGGAGTGTCGAGTTTTTTTGCAAGCAATTCCTTTCTTTCACTTCGTTCTATCAAAAAGGTTGTGCATGAATGATACTTAAAGCCAATCCTAAAGATGAATTTCAAAGATAACTTCGAAATACTAGTTTTCTTGCCAAAACACTCGACAAGATACAAATCAAACGCAAAAGAAAGCAATTAAAATTGATATCAATTAACATAAATTCTAGAGCCAGAGATACTTTTTTATTAAATCTATATAATAGCTTTCAATTATTGTAGTACATAGAGGAGAACAATATCATAACTTAATGCCATGCCATATTATGTAGACACCAAAGGAAATTATCTATGTTAAAACGGATATAAACACTTGTTAAACGATTGGTACTTAAAAAATTTTAACTTTATTACCAGTACAATATATATATATAAATACTTTATCTAAGCTTTAATAGTTTAGTGCCAAAAGAAAAAGTGTTTTAATATGGTAAAGGGGTCAAGTACTTTATTTTTTCAACACTAAAATGCTACTTTTGACATATGAAAACTGTCACATTTCATTAGTTTTTTCCTGAAAGAGGCTTCGGCAATATCATGACGACTCCGAAAACCAGAACTGTGGAAAAGTCCGAGGGAAAGAGAACCAGGGGTCAAGGTCAAAGCGGAATAAAAGGATGCTGTTGCAAGCGATCGCAATGTATAAAAAATTATTGCGATTGCTACCAATCCATGGCGATTTGCACCAAACTCTGTCGCTGCATTGGTGAGTTTTTAAAGTGAAAGTGAATCATCTACATGTTAATCATCACCAAAAACCAGGTTGCAGGAATACGGAGGTTCGCAAGCTTGTTGACTCCAACTTTGGTGGAAAGAACTCCACTGCAGCGAAAAGACAAAAGGCGGCTGCGATGAGCGCAAAGGCGGCTGCTGCTGCCGCCAAGGAGGGCATCCAAGTGCCGATGAAGGTACTGCAAGCTGGCGTACCGGTCGTTGGATTTCCCGAAAAACTCCAAGCCGTACCCCTGCCCTTTGTCTTACCAGCTAGCCAACAGCCGACAGTTGTTCCCATTAAAATTGTTGTTCCTCCACCCATAGCGATTAGCTCCGCCGAGGTCAAGGTAATAAAGGCTTCCGTAGAACCGATTACCGAGACTCCTAGCATTCCAGTGAAGCTGGATAATCGCAGGGAACGAAACCTTTTTGTCCAGCCAGTCAACTGTGCTCTGTTGGACTGCATGATCATCCAGGCTATGGAGGCCGAGGAATTGGGATTGATGGAAATCCAAGTATGTCAACTTGTTCTCGTGGAATTCATGCGCGGCTATAAGGAAATCTTGGAGAAAATCTGTGAATATAATAAAGATTTTTATTGAATAGTTCGTTATGAAAACTATTAAATAAATAGATTTTAAATATTTTTATCAACCATTGCATTTTATTTAAGATTAATAAACATTTTTTAACTTAAACTTTCAATTAATATCATTCATATTTGAGTAATACATAATTCGTATTTGTACAGAAGAACTTAAACTATGTTTTTCAAAGTGAATATGTCAGCTTATTTGTTAATCTAAATATTTATATATACATATGTTTAATATTAAAGTAATACATATACGATTATAAATTAAAAAATAATCCATTTTCATTATGAAAGTTAAAGAAAATAAAATATTTCCCTCTTACAGAAAAACAACATATTTTCCAGAGCTACCAATCGGGTGGCTGAAAAATCAGCTCTGTAACAAGCATATCGCAGCTGGTTTTCCTTTGGGACAGGCGTGATCCAGCTGGCGTGGTCTTGTGCCTCTCCAGTGGCATCTCATTATCACTGTCACTCTCCGATTGTTGCTCCTCTTCCGATTCATCTTCTTCATCCTCGTCCATGCGTCGTCGCTTCCTTTTTCCACCTTTGTGGGTTTTTGAGGAGCGATACTTCTGCCAGAACTGTGCCGGCTGGGCAAACTCAATGTAGTTCGGGAATCTCATTGCCAAAGCTCGGCAAAAGTTATCGAAAATGTGACTAAGTTTTTGATTCATCACAGACTTTAGATTCCGATGGGTTTCTTCCACATAGCGCAGGCAACGTTCCAGTTGCTTGAGCTGTTAAGGAAAAAATATATTTATGAGGGAAATATAATGATCATATAGAAAAAAAGAACTTACAGGCTCCTCTGACAACTCAGCCTTTCGTCCCCTACCCCTAGCCGGTGCCTCCCCTGCTGCTGGCTTGGATGGTGGAGGAGGTGGTGCCTCCATAGGCTCATCTTCACCCTCATCGCTATTGTCGCCTTCGCCTCGCGAACTTTTCTCCTTGCCCTTGCCTTTAGTTCGAAAACAAATGCGTCGCATGATAAAGAGTATATCCTGAACCACTATCAAAGCACCGGGATTGCTGACAAAAGCTTGGTCTCTTGTTTTTTCTGGAATATAGATATTTTTATTTAAGAAAACAACCGACTTAATACCTAAAGCTTACCAGCCAGTAGTTTCAGTTGACCAAAGTAAAGCAACAGTGTGTTCTCATCCACCGATGACATAATATGATTATAAAGCAACCTTCGGTTCTTTGTCATTTCTTGTCCTTTTAATGGTGATTTATAGTTGGAATCCGTTCTCACACCTCGCAAATAAGCTTGACCATTCAGATCGAAAGGACATTCTTTCAGGCAATGATCAAACAGCATTTTGTTGTATAATCTTTTATAGCGAATGAAAAAGGCATCCGCCTCCCTAGCCACCTCGGCACTTTCGTCCACTAGACCAGCCAGCATGGATATAAGAATGGGACCCTTTAGCTTGATGTTCCCCGAGAGAATAACATCCTTTACACATCGAAAAGTACGCACTCGGGTCATGGCAAATTTGGAATGGAGTTTCGACAAAATCACTTGGAAATTACTCTCAAGAATCGAAGGGTGCTTTTTGCCCAGATCGTTCAGGGCTATTAAGGTGGTGTTGATGATCTGAGGCCTATCATTTTTGGTCAAGATGGTTCTGTAAAGCTTAGAAACGCTGTTGGCCAAATTATTCTCTCTAAGGCACAAACGTCCTGCTATCACAATCATCCAATTGGTCATTCGTTCGTTATCCGAATCAAATTGTGATTCACTGAGCTTGGTGCATTCCTGCAGGTACTTAAAGACAATGCCCACTATTCTTTTGTCCACATCCTGGGGCAGCATTACAATTATCTCCGTATAGGCACCCAACAGGCACTGCAGGCGGGTGTATTCATCTTGGAAATTCTCAGCACTACTCAGGATTCCGTCGGTCAGATCTTCCAGCAAATTGAGTTGCCAATCTGGCATTTCGGAAGCAGCCGAAGGAGCTAGACTAGCGGATAGGTAATGGATCTGGTTAAGCAAATTGACGGCACTCGAGATGATTCCCAGCCAAATACTACCCGTTCGTAGGGCGTTTAAAAGTCTCTGGAATAACTGATTTAACGCTGACTTTGAAAAGTTTCTTAAACAACCAATAATGAGTTGCAGGGCCAGAAACTGATTGGACTTCATGTTGTAGGAGGATAGTCCATTAAAAATGCTAATCAGTGCATCCATATTGTTGGTGATGCGACTGGACAGGAGCAACAACAATCCCCAGGCATCGGTAGCCATGGATGTGGATAAATGCGATATTATAGTGTTTATCAGTCTGGGTCTAAAAATAATATTTAAGAATTTTATAATCTCTTAAGGTGACAAGAGAAGTGGAAACCTACGTTACGATGGATTCTTTTTCTAGTAGCACAGCGAATCTTTCCTGCAGATAAGCTCTAGGTTGTGTCATCAGAAGGGTACTGATGATTCGCCAGGGCATAAAATGTTTGGCTTCATTTGAATACTCCAGAGGCTGAATGTTTCTCAAAACCATTCGATCAAAGCTCTAAAAGATTGAAGAAATAATAATTTAATTTCCAAAATGCTTTAAGTAAGCACTCACCATTATAGCCAGCTTTTGCAGAGCCACATCCTCGTCGCTCATTAGGCAAGCCCAAATTCGGCAATACACACAGATCAAGGCGAAGCAATTGGAATAGGCCTCTAGAAGGGTTTCTATCGTATCCAGTGCTGATTTACGTACTGAAGCCAGCCGATCTACAGCCAGCAAAGAGGTTTCCCTTACAAAATTTGTATTATAGATGATCAATGGATTGACTAGCACCAGTCTTTCAAGTAGGGCTATGCCAGCTGTTCTTGCTAAGCCATTATCAGCGGCCAAAAAACGTTCGTAAACTATTCGGGGGACATTCTTGACCTCTTCCTCTATCTCCTCATGACCCTCAAAGCTAAAGGCGTATTGGACAATTCCGGGCTTCTCGAAACGCAGCTCGTTCTGCTCCACCGAAGGCTCAGCTAGGGCTTCCACATCCGCATCCTCAAACTGAACAAAGCGAATACTTTCGTCTAGAATTTTTGTCGTCATAGGGGAGCCTTGTTTCAGGGCTAGGATGAGCACTTGACATGCTTTCCGGCGGACAGTAAATGTGCGGTCGTTCAGACATCGCATTACCTCCGTCAGGAGAGGAACTTCCCTTGGCACCCTGGATACATCGTACCGGAAAATGCTCCACCCCACCTCGGTTTGCTGCATGAGGATTTTTTCAATCAGATCTAAGGCTCGAGTTTGAATTCCCACAGCATCGTCGGCTTTCACAGCTTCCAGGACGAATTCTGAACAGGATTTATTACACTTTGAAAACAGAATTCTGTCATACTTAGCCGCATAGCCTATGGCCACCTTTTCTTCATTGCTTTTCCACTGCAATAATACAGAAGTCAAGAATTATAATATTATTTATAAGTTATTGCAAATTTGCTTACCGATTTAATGGGATTTGTGACCACGCACTCAATATAGAAATGCAGGATACGGATTAGAATGTCGGGATACTTATCTATTAGTTGGATAAACCAATCCGATATGTGCTCTCCTGGCTGCATCGCCCCGCCTCGGCGACCAGCTCCAATGCTCTGTGGACTATCCGTATAACAATGCATGGGAAAGGTCTGTCGCATTATCAGATGAAGTGTTTCATAGACATCTCCATTGTGCTCGTTGGCTATTTCACCGAAAAGATCGAAACATTTGCCATGCAGGGCGGGAGCACCTGGAATTAAAATAAATTAAAAGTTCGTTATAAAGTAATCGATAATAAAATCAAATATTCTGATAGTTATAGTATAAAAATATCGATAGCTTTAACGTTTTTTGTTTCACCTCTAACGCAAGGCAGGAGAAAAAATGAAATAATCGCGAAATAACAACTAACTTATGAATATTCCAGAAGATGTTGAGCATACTACGGATTCAGGGAGCGGTGGCTTCGGCGGGACATGTGCGTCTAATGTCCGCCCGCCTACTGGCCAGCAGTACCTCCACTGACATGACCACAACTCGAAGCGAATCTACGAAATCGCCGGCAACGGAGCACTTTGATATAATCATTGGAGGCGGAGGTCTGGTGGGAACCACTTTGGCCGCAGCTCTGGCGAAAAATTCCACTCTTGCGGACAAGAAGGTTTTATTGCTGGAAGGTGCACCGGAGTTCCGGGGATTTGATCCCACTGGACCTTATCAAAATCGTGTATCCGCCATCAACCAAAACTCCATTGAGCTTTTCAAATCCATAGATGCCTGGTCGCACATCGAATCCGCCCGGTACAAGCCGGTCAAGCAGATGCAAGTTTGGGAGTCTAACACGGATGCACTGATCCAGTTCCAACACGATAACTTTGCTAGTGATGTGGCTTGCATCATTGAAAACGATCTGATCCTGGATGCGGTCTATGCGCGAGTTAATGAAGCCCCTAATGTTGAGATACTAAACAAGGCTAGAATTCAATGTGTCCGCCTGCCCAGAGACTCGAAATCCAATCTCTCCGAGCTACAGCTGCATGATGGACGCTCCTTTTCCTGCGATCTACTTATAGGAGCTGATGGAGCTAACTCTGTGGTCAGGAAGGAAATGAATGTAGATGTGTTCTCGCTGAACTACGACAGAATGGGCCTAGTGGCCACCTTAGAACTGGGTGAAGATGCCTGTGATAACTCTGTGGCTTGGCAGCGATTCTTGCCCAATGGACCTGTGGCTTTGTTGCCTCTAACGGATAGACTGAGTTCCCTGGTATGGAGCACCACCAATGAACAGGCCAAAAAACTGCAAGCCCTGCCGCCAGGAGAGTTTGTAGATGCTCTCAACGAAGCCTTTTGCAGGCAATATCCTCGCGTGGAAGTTGCCGACAAGGCCGTCCAGGCTCTGAACTCCTTGTTTGGACACAATTCCAGCCAGCACCAAGTCCAGTATCCTCCTAAAGTTTGTGGTGTTCAAGATAAGTCTCGAGCTACCTTCCCATTAGGATTTCTGCATGCCTCGTCTTATGTTTGTAATGGAGCCGCCCTCGTTGGCGATGCAGCACATCGAGTGCATCCTCTCGCCGGACAGGGTGTAAATTTGGGCTTCAGCGATGTGAGGTTTCTGGTGGAATCCTTGGCAGCTGGAGCCTACGCTGGTTTCAAACTGGGCGACAAGCAGCATCTCATCAAATACGAACGCAAATGTCTGGCCAAGAATGTTCCCATTATGCTGGGAGTCCATGGATTGCATACCCTCTACTCCACACAGTTTAGTCCAGTGGTTTTGCTCAGGAGTCTTGGACTTCAGCTGACGCAGAATATGCCCCCCATCAAAAATTTGTTTATGCGGGGAGCAATGGGTCAGTAGACCAACGACAATAAATGGTTAAATCGGGGAAATTAAATCTTAAGCGTTTAAAGTTTTTCACATCTCTTGTTAGTGGAATAAAGTGAAAGTTTATATCAGAGTTTTAAAAACTACTTACATATTGGCTAGAGTCAATGGCATGCTTCTGAGATGTTAGTCTAAAGTTTAGTTTTGGCCAACAACTTGTGCAATTGTTTGATTGATCCATAGTTCTATGATATATTTTGATTCAGGCAGCTTCTTATATTGCTTTTCAAACAATTTACAATTATTTCTTATCAACTCAACTAAACAAATAGATTAAAAACCAAAAAATGTAAGTTATCACTTTACAGGGGACTGTAAAAATGGAAGATTTAACATTTAGGAACATTCCCAACAAATTGCACGAAATATTCAGCCGTATAAACAAAGCTTAATTCTAGTTTAACATTCGTTGTTGATAGTTTTTAGTTTGGTGGATTATGGGTTGAAGGCACATTTGGCATTTGGCAAGATTACTTTAACTTAGTCTATGTAAATTTGGCCTGGTGTTTTTTTGGAATTTTCCAGAATTAAAGCTCCTGATGGCTTTTAGACAAACTCTCTCCAAGTTTTAGCTGCTGATTGAGAGATAATTCCTCCTCTTGGAGGAAAACCTGCTCCCGATCGCTTTTTAACCGAGCTACTCCTTCTTCACTAGTGTCCACACTAATCTGTTGAGAATCCTCGGTGTCCGAAATATATCCAGAGTCTCCTGTGTAGTAAAACGGGTAAAGCAGAAGTGGAGAGGCACTAAATGCTACGAGATTCCGTTTATGGTAGGCTTCGCTCCATGTTTTGTTTGGATGACGATCGAACATCAAGGGCAGAAACTCATCTACGGGTATGAGTTTCTCCAGCGGCTTGGCTGCCAGCAGCTTTAAGGCTCCCTTTAGGGATATAACATAACCCAATGTCCAGTAGGAATAGCCAGCATGTACCAGATTTTCCGCATTCATCACTCCTGCTTCACTTTCCTCCTTTAAACGCTTGCGCCCAAAGTAAATGAGATCGTACTCTACAACGCTTCTGGCCTGATTTAAAACCCTGACAGCATTCTGCGGGAAATACGGTTCAAAGCGTACATCATCCTCCAGAATGAGCACCTCGTTCAATCCCTTGCGAACCATCATCACCCAGATGCTGTAGTGGCTCAGAAAACAGCCAATTTCACCCATCGTCATGGCCCGATGGTGATAGGGATCTTCGTAGCCGGGCAAAAACTTAACGCCCATCTGTTGTAACCGTTCCGTAGTTAGTTCCTTGCCATCAACAGCTGGAAAATATTCAGCATCTATTCCCAGCTCCTCGAAGAGCGTCTCCATTTTCTCCCTTCTCTCGGGGCGCCTTTTCAAATTTATCATAAATATGTTATCCAATGAGAGCTTGCTCTTCTCTGGTTTCTTTTCCAAATGCTTGTAGTAATCCAGTAGAGGAGGTACTTTACCCAGATCATTAACCATAATGCTCTTAAGGTTCACCAGCTGCTGGAGATCCTGTTCCAAGGTATCACCAGGCTCCAAAGGTTGTAGTATATAACCAAAAGTTATATCATTACAGATGTGCAGAGGAACTCCTGAACTGTTGGCCGATATAGCAAACACAATGATATCATCCGCTGGTCCATCGTAAAGCGGCTCTTGCTGCCTGCGTCTTTGCATTTCCACTAGTTTGCTTCTGTCGAAAGTGAGATTTCTGACTGCTTTATGATTCATGTTTACCAAAACAGCTGTATGGACCATAGGCACTGGGAAACTTCCTTGTTTCTTTACATGGTAGATCTCTTTGTACTCATCGGTGCGCCTGTAATAATAGTCCTCCGTCATTCCACACCAGAAGTTGGAGTACAAACTTTCCGAAATAAGCATGGGAGCCACAATTGGCAACTGGAGACGGGTAAGGACGTCTAGTGAGTCTTTCGAGGTAAGCATGACATCAGCGTCAAGGAAAAATACAAAGTCAGCCCAAATATCACGGCCATACTGAAAGGCCTCCTCTTTCAGGGCGATCAGGTGTTTGAAACGCGATGCGGGCCACTCGTAGGGTGAACTTTCGTTGACATAACTCTGCTCCTCCGGCTTAAAAACATAGCTAACGCTATGATAGTGATCACCTTCGTGTTTAAGCCAAGCCCGCAAGAGATCTACACTATCATCATTGCTATGATCACAACGCAACCTGAGGTATTTCGAAATTATAGATTAAATTTCGATTTCTTTAGAAATATAGATATACCCACCAAAAGGCAATCCTCTTTTTAGGATAATTCTGCTGTTCGAGATAACTCAAGAACATGGGCAGTGTGTGAGCCTTGTTGCGCACTAGTAGTACAATGAGTATTGTTGGTGGCTCCTGGTAGTCCTTCTCATCCTGTCCTGAAATGCACAACAAAACGCTGAGCAGAATCAGTCCAAAAATCACTTGTTTCTTCATTTCCACGTCATTGATTTAACACATCGCCGGGTTGAAAGGGGTCACAATACGCAATCTGGCGTAGCCACTGCGTCCGGTTAGTTTAGAAGACGCCAGAAAATTAGATTCGGCGTTATCTATTAATAAACTGCCTCCTTCTTTTCCAGCTCCAGATGATGTGACTCTCAAACTGCATCAGCTGTGCCGGCTCTCAAACTAGGCGGTGTGTGTTATCGTATGTTATCGATGGTGTTTGTTTTCGAATGTAGTTTCATTTCGAATTTTTCCGTTCATAATTAGTTACTCTATTTTTTTATTTAAGCGTAAAAGCTTATGATTTGAGCTCTATGAAATTAGAAATATGTCAATATCTTTAATTGAAATACAAAATATCGATCCACATATGGACAAGAATATTTTTAAGTATAACAAACATTTATTGTTTTAAAACCAAAGTTCAAACAACTTTCTTTTACGCCGTCGCTGCATGGGGCTTCGCATAGCTGGGGAAGTTGAGTTTAAGACCTTCCTTGGCCTCAAAGAAGGTGTACGATAGAGTAATGGTGTCACAGTGCTCCAGCGCTGGATCCGCTGTGATTTCCGGATCTATATAAAAGAAAACTGGCATGTCGACCTCCTCATGTGGATTAAGTTGCTGTTCCTCGAAACAGAAGCATTGGATTTTGTTGAAATAGGCGCCTGCCTCGAAGGGGATCACATTGTACGTGCTGATGCCAATAACTGGCTTATCCGTGGGATTCCGTGCTGTATAGAAGGCCAGAGCCGTCTCACCAGGTGCTACTTTAATCTCGTACTGCTGCGGCTTGAAGTTCCACCGCATGGACGATCCAATATCGGCGTTAAAGCGTATTTTTAGCACCCTATCCTCGACTTTTTTCATGTGCTCCACCTTTTCGGCATCGTGGCCTTGCGAGGTAGTTCCTCCATAGCTGTACGCCTGACAAAATATGCTATATAGCGGCACCGCCGCATAACTAAGTCCCACGATCAGCACTCCGCCGGCTGTTATGTAGTATAGTGTGGATTTCGCCCGCAATTTTCGAGCAGCTTCCTCCGGTGAATTCGTGGATTTCATTCGCCAAAATTGTTGCGATTTTTGGACATTGTTTTGCTGCCGGATTGAACTCCTAAAAAGCCTGCTGGCACTGCCCGCGCAAGGCAAACAGGTTTCTCAACATCGTTAGCTTTTTAGTTCTCGTGTTTTAGAATTATTCCTTTGAGGTTTTCATTTAGTTTATCACTTGTTTGTATAATCTTCAGGTCTATAAGTATGCTAAGTGTGTACACACCTAGTATAATCAGCTGTGCAACAAAAATACAAAGTTAGGCAATCGAAAGGGAATCGGTTTATCGCCGGTCCAATATCTTAAAAACTCTATATTTAAACCGAATAATTCTAAATTTTGGAGAAGTTATCATTCACACTTTACTATTCATACATTATGATATGAAACAAACTATATATGTTGGCGACAAAAAATTTTAAATATTTTTTCTTTGTAATAAACTAACAAAATATCCTATTCAACATAAGAAAATTAAATAGTATTAGGACTCACATGTATTCTGATATCCCACTTTAAAATTCATGTAAAGCACCTCCATGAGGCAGCGAATAATCCTGTCCCGAGGTTTTAGGTGCTCCTTGAAATGTACGTAGCGAAAAACAATCTTTAGGTCATCGCATATGGTCAGGAAGAACATCCAGATGGAGTTTGCCCGGACACTTCTATTTGCATTTTGTTCCAGCAGCTTGAAGATCTTGAGAACTTGTTCAATCACATCCTCATCAAAGATACCATAGCTTTTGGCTCCAGGAATGGTCAAAGATAGCAGATAGGTGCTTGCAGCATTTAGGGATAACTGGAGATTCAGATTTTCATTCAGGACTTGCGGTGCAGCTTGCTGCACATGCTCAGGCGGTATGGCGAGGCTTACAAGGCTGTATATGTATGAGAGATAGGCATTTGCAGGGGAAGTCGCTATAAAGTTTGCCCAATTATCGTGGGTGTTGCTATAGCAGGCCTGATTCTCGTCCCTCATGGAGCGTATTATGGCGGACAAATCCCGAAGCAACTGCAACTGTCCCTCCTGGCGTCCAATATCCTGCTGGCACATGGCCAGGGACCAGAACATCTGTCCCCCGCTGCTTCAACGCAACATCCTCGACTTCTTCGCCATAAAGCCATTCTTCTAGATCTACCCATTGCAAATTGGGCACATAAAACACTCTTAAATCACTAAAAACACGACTTAACTCCATGTTTACATTTTATGCATTGCGTTTGCAAATAAAACCCGATAACCAAAACAGCTGTTGCTGCGATATAACACAATCGATAATCGAAAAGACCAGAAGAGCGGTTTGTTTTCAAAATGGTACAAAATCAGGGCTGATATATTAATGCATTTACTTGGCTTATTATTATGCAATTTTGTTGTTTTTTCGTGGTTACATACGCAATCTTAGTTTCTAATTCCGCTGACAGCTAGAAATCCAGCGAGGCTGTGGCATTGGAATTGCTCAGTAGACCGGAGATGCAACTATCCGGTTTGGCAGATGTCTCCTGCAACTCAGGCGGCAGGTGGAACTTCTCGATGACGAACTTCTTGCGGCGCAACTTGAAGGCCAGATCCGTGGTGTCCGGCATATGGACAGCCAGCGTGTTAAGTGCCGACATCTTGTGCAAATGGAGCAGGCCACTGTACTCCTTAAAAGCTGGATGCGTTTCACGCTCTGATCCAGCAAACGACTCCAGCTCAATAGCATAATCCACTAGCTGGCGGATCTTGGGCACCAGACTAGCATCGTACTTGGCAATCAGGTGCATGGGCATTGTGATCAGGCACACCGAGTTGCAGTTCCGCACACTGGCCATCAGTAGGGTGAGAGAACTTGATAAGATCCTCGCCAAAGTTATCGTCGTACCACAGTGGCGAACCCAACGAAGTCAGGCAGACACGGCACAGGTTCTTCTTGGTCCCAGCCACGAAACTTTCATCCCGTAGCAATTGTTGGATATCGTTAAGCAGTCCTCCGTATCGTGCATTATGGAAGACCTGCGATTGCGACTCCTGGCTCCCTGTTTTTGTGCTGCTGGTCACGCTGCTGCTATTGTTGTTATTGTTGTTGTTGACAGAGGTCTCCTCCTGGGGCGGAATCTTTTCTTGCGAAGTGGTGTCTAAGCCTGGAATTGGTGGAGCATCTTCCACTGGCTGCTGCTCCAGCGACGAAGAGTTCGGAGAGCTGCTCTTGGAGTACTCCTCCGCAATTACAATGTCTGGCTCCTTGTGGCTATCGTCCCACATGGTTGTATTGGTATAGTAGAGCATCATTGAATCCATTTGCTCCATCAAGTTGAAGTGATGACCGATCTTGGCTGTGGCATGCTCGGAATTCACCAAAGGCAGATCGTTATACCGCCAGGCAATCCTGAGGCCATTTTCGGCTCCACCACCGCCTTGTGCCTGCTCTTCGCGTTGCTCCACCTCTGTCTCCAGTTCGGTTAGTGGCTTGGGCAGTCGGCGCAGCATCTCCGCGGGTATATCGTCCAAGCTTCCCAAAAATATCTCTTGTTTGGAGAGTACACCCTCAGCCAGGAAGTACTTGGCCAGAACCTTGGCGTGCGTCATGAAACGATCCTCCTCGATCAGACAGATCGAACCCATAGGTAAGCCGCCTCCAATGACCACGTCCAGATAGGGATTACCGCTGGATGTTATCACCTGCGCCGTGTGAGGCGAGGTGCGGGTGCCTCGGATCGGCTTCTGCACGGTGCGCTTGCGGAAACTGGTCATCTTCGTCGCACGGATTTCGCTAACCTTTATTTTTTGCGTTCTTTTCCCTCTTCCTTTCTTCACCGTGTTCCCTCTCTATTTTCGATGCCAATAGGTGTACACAATCGGGGGATCTATCGATATTCCCACAGCTGTTTTTCGCAACTATGGTAGCTTTTCTACTTCAGGTTATAAATAAGCTAAAAATAATTTTTGAATTGGATTTAATTCGCATAAAAAATAAATCCAGCAACTGTTAGAAGGCTTTAAATCAAATGATAAAAATACCAAGTATATAGAAAAGCCAGATAGGTCAAGGATTGCTTTATTTAAAAAATCTAATCAAAAAAATTTTAAACGAAATCAATTTTAATGTTCAAATTTTGATTTCAGCTATAATACAAATAATTTAAATAAAAAATTAAATTTAGATGCAAGCTACTTAAACTATTATTAGGGGAATTCATGAAAAAGCTTGAATGCATCGATAACAAAAACAGCTGTTTTTCCAAGTTTTACCTGTGTAGTTTGCCTCTGGTTTTATTGTTGGGAATTCAGAAGAAACAATTGAAAAATTACCTTTTAAATAACGCCACAATGGCCGAGGGGGCGTCGTCGCAGATGACGGAACAATTGGACAACGAGGAGGTGCGGGAAATCCTGAAAAACACTACAGATCTGCGACAGTATTCACGACAGATTGAAAAAGAGTTCAAGGAAGTGGAGAATAAGTCCATAGAAGGTAAATAAACCATAACATTTTATTTTAAAACCTATTCTTAATGATCTCCATTTAACAACAGACTATATAGCGGAATCCCAGAATATAGCCAATTTGCACAATCAAATTAACGATTGCGACGATGTCTTGGAGCGAATGGAAAATATGTTAATGAGCTTCCAGAGCGTATTGAACAACATAAGCACTGAGATCACCCAGTTGCAAAGAAAATCCGTATCCATGTCCCTCCAATTGACGAATCGTCAATCAGTCAAGGCACAGCTGTCTCAATTTATTGAGGACATGGCCGTATCCGAGGAAATGATCAATATTATAATGGAAACCCCTGTTACTGAGAGGGATTTTAGCACTCAGTTAAATGTCCTAAATCACAAACTGTCCCTGGTCAAAGAGCTAAGTTTCAATGAGTCCAAGTCCACTAGCGATGTTAGCGATGTGTTGCAGAAATTGCGTCTTAAAGCCATGACAAAGATTCGTTCGTATCTGCTGGAGCAAATCTACAAGTTTCGAAAACCCATGACCAACTACCAGATACCCCAGAACGCCATGCTAAAGCATAAGTTTTTTTTCGAGTTCATCCTTTCCAATGAGCGACAGGTGGCCCAGGAGATATGCAGTGAATATATAGATACAATGGGAAAGATTTACTACAGCTATTTTAAGGTAAATGTGTTTATTTAAGTTGTGTATTTCTTTAACTTATTTACTTATGTACAGAGTTATTCCACTCGATTGACGAGTCTCAAATTTGAAGAATCTTGCACAAAAGATGACTTAATGGGTATAGAAGATAATGCATCCAAAGGTTTATTTTCGAAGACAACAAGTTTAAAGCACAAGAGCACGATTTTTACAATTGGAAAGCGAGGCGATATACTTAACCAACAGCTGGAGGCGCCTATTATAGTACCTCATGCACAGCTTAAAAATCGAGTACGAATAATGGTTAATAAATTTACAGATAAATTTGTAATTCAACTTCTTATAATCGACAGTATACAGTGGAAGCTCTTTTCCGTTCCGAGCAATATGCCTTGGTGGATAATGCCTGTCGGGAATATCTCTTCGTCACCGAATTCTTCATGGTCCGTGGCACCCAAGCACAAGATTTGTTCAACCAGATCATGGGCAAAACCTTAACTCTAATGATTGTAAGTAAATTATTTTAGTATCTGAAAAGTAAGCAATAACTATTTGTTGTATTTAGAAAAACTTGGAGACCTCTATACACGACTGTTTTGACACTATAGCTATGTTTTTGTGCATACATCTCATATTCCGATATCAACTTATGTGCCACAAGCGTTGTGTGCCTGCATTGGATAAGTGAGTTGCTTTATGCGTTGCGTTTTTTCGAATAATACACACAAACTTTTTTCAATGCAGATATTGGGACTCTCTACAAGCGGTTATTTGGCCACGTTTAGAGTTAGTATTTCGCTTGAATATACAGAGCATACATGACTGTGATCCTACAAAGTTCAACAAGGAATTGGGGCCGCACTATGTAAGATAATTGTTTTTATGAGTTACCATTTTTTAAACGGGTTGGTATAAGCATCTAGTTTATAATCAAATTATTGTTTAAAGTCTACGATTAGACTCATGAAAACCACATCTGATTGTGAAGTCACAATTGGGAAATGCTAGCAAAATGAAAACCAATATAGGACATTTATAAGATAATATAGATAGAATAAAATGCCTTGTCATATAAAACGTATTCTTTTTCAGATAACCCGACGCTATGCTGAGTTCAGTGCGGCCATTGTGGGAATCTCCGAACACTTTCCTAACGAGTTGGTGAGCCGATTGCTTTTGGAACTCCAAAATGAAGTTGAATGTTTCATCCTGCGGATGGCTGCTATATTTCCAACGCGCAAGGATCAGCTAATTTACCTGATTAATAACTACGATTTGGTTTTGGGAGTATTAATGGAACACACGCGGGATAATTCCAAGGAGGCAGAGGCGTTTAGAGAACAGCTGAATGCTCGCAGTGCCGAGTATGTGGAGGAGATCCTGGCTCCACATTTCGGAGGTATTATTCAGTTTGTAAAGGAGTGCGAACACTTTTTCGAAAAGGAACAAATGGATGAACTGAGAAAGCAGGAGCGGAGAAGTTTGGCTTTGGTGGCAAGTTTCTCGGCCAACTGGAAGAAATCTCTGGAGGAGCTCAACAGGGAGGTGCTCCTCTCCTTTCCCTCATTGCTTACGGGATCTCAACTTCTACAGTTGGCATTGGCCAGTTTGGTGCAATATTATCACCGCTTCCACAAGCTCCTTACACCTAATGCCCGCGCACAGCTCACCAACATCCATGTGGTTATGGTTGAGATCAAAAAGTACAAGAGTAATTACTGAGAGTCTTTTAATTGATTGTATGTTGACTTCTGTTCATTCCAATTTGAGTAAAGTTCCAAAATATTTATATATATATAAGTAAAATCGCTTGGCGCTAACACTTAATCCTCATCTTCGAACATCATCTCGACGAGATCCTGATTGGAGCAACGTTCGCCGTCCAAACGCTGAGGCTGCTTCCAGCGCAGCAAAGTGGGCAAGAAAATCAGATGGGTGTTGGGATCCTTGCGGAAGGGACAGTTCAGGTCCTTCCAGCTGCAGCGAAAAAAAGAGGAGTTATTTTATTGTTTAGCACGGTGTTTTGTGATAACAGGCAGTGTGAACACAACTCAAGAGCATCGTAAAGCTATCGCTGTTTAATGGTTTTTATCATGAATGTTCTCGGCGTGTGAATAACCCCTCGAATTTTTATTTCATCATCATACAGTTGCGGTTGAATGACTAGCAGCAAATTATCGAAATCCGGTAAATTAATTGATTCACACTAGGCTGATAAAAGTCCACTCATGCTTTTAAATAACAAAGCTTATCTTTTGACAAAATAAAAACAAGAAATGTTTACTCAAATATTAAGTAAATAAATCAGGTTTGAGGGCTATTCGAGGTTAGAAACTACCGACTTTTTCAGTGTTACAATTACTGATCACCTATTTTTTTCTGACCGCAGCTGTGCTTTGTTTCTATTGACTTACTATGCCCGCTCGCCCACATCCACATGCACGAAGTGCGAGTTGCCGGGGGCCTTCTTCAACGCATCGTGTATCACCGGCTCCGCTGCAATAGTACGAATACATGATATGTTAGGAAATCTGATAACCAGCGGTTAACCTAAGCCACATTGGGATCACGGAACTCTCACCCTTGACGCAGTAGGGACACCAGCTCTGCCCATTCTCGTCCTTTCCACCGCTGAAGAGAACATGGACAGATTCGTTTCCATTCTCCAGTTCCTCCATCTTCTTGGAGAACTCTTCGTATCCTTTAACATTGTGTGTGACGACCATTATCTTGCCGGGGTTGGTATTAACCGAATAGTAGCGCCGTAAAATGCGACCAAAAAACGTTGGGAGCGACGTGATGGTGAACTTGGGAGTTACTGGTTTCTGGAGCAAAATGGTTTCACTTATTTTATAAAGTTTTCTGCGTTTTTGTCGTAAAAAAAGCTTACTGAAACAAATGACAGAGTTGCCAGAACTCTCGCTTGTAGAAAAGTGGCCATTTCAAGCCAAAATTAGCAAACAGTCAAGGTTTGCAAATAATAAAATGTTTTTTTGAAATATACTGAAATTGTTACTAAGAAATTTATTTTGGAATTGATTCATTTTTAGCTATACAATATAATCAACTATTTCTAAGTGATTTTTTCGGTATTCTTGGTAACAGGTGATAAGGTGGCAACGCCAGTTTTTATCGCCCACCACAACAGCTGATTACAATTATTTTTTTTATATAGTGCATTTATTTGTTTTTACTATTGGTTTGGACTTCAACAATGTCACGGCTAGCTTTATTGCGCAATTTGGTCAGTCATCGGCAGAACTTGCTGCCCACCAACTTTTCCCGGCTAAAATGTGCGGCTGCGATGCACTGGAGTCCACATTTGCGACAGGAAGCGTCGCGCGGTTAGTGTTTGGACTTCCCATTAGGTTATATATTTCATTAAAGTGATTATCTATGCAGATGGTGGCGGATCATTGCAGCGATCACAGGATAATACTCAAGTGTCCACGGATGTACGTCCCATTGGAGAGAAGATCAAGGAGAACACGAAGACCGCCAGCTATACGGCCATAATAGTCGCCGGTCTGGGAGTGACCTGTGTCATGTTCTTTGCCATATTTCGGGAGCTGTTCTCCAGCGAAAGTCCAAACAATATATACGCAGATGCATTGTCTCGAGTGGTGGATGATCCGCGGGTTCAGGATGCAATTGGAGCGCCCATAAAAGGTTTTGGCGAAACATCCAGGCGGGGACGCAGGCAGCATGTGGCTCACTCCACTTACGAGCGGAATGGAAAGCCCCACATGCGGATGCAATTTTATGTGCAGGGATTAAGAAATAAAGCTACCGTTCAACTGGAGTCCAGAAGGGTAAGATTGATTCTTAGCGATTGATTCTATTGGCTGAGAAATGACTAGTTGGATAATACCTACTTAGAGCTGCCTAATGATTTCCCTTGTCCCATGAATTCGATCACCTTATTATAAACTGCTTTCGTACTAACATTCTACACCTTCCCTCAGGCTCGCTGTGGAAAACTGGAGTATCGTTATCTTTTCGTACAATTGGATCACTATCCCCGCACCACCATCATCCTAGAAGACAATCGTGCCTTTGATCCCGCACCTGAGCCTGCATCCGAATCGTCTTCCTTTGGAAATCTGGCCCTGATGTCTAATAGCCGGGATAAATAGGAGCACTCTTTTAAGCCTCTACTATGCACTTAAATTTCCTGTACATTTGTTATATTTATTATTTGACTGACAATGAAATTGCTTTGTGAATCCAACAACAAACTGGACAACCTGAAATTATTCGCCAATCGAGAAGTTGTCCATTTCCAAAATGGCGCCCGATTCGTGTCAGTAGAGCTTTTTCCATGGTATGATCTCCCAGGATCGAACGATATGGCGCCCGAAGAGGAAGTCCTTCAGCTTGTTCATAATGTAAAACGAGATGCCGAAGAACGAGGCAAAGTACAGCCAGAATTGGCCTAGACGTTCCCAAATGCTGAGATGATAACGAGCGGGCACTTGAAGCACGTCCAGTTCCAGTTCAATGATAAGACCGGGTTCAAAACGAGGTGAAGTCTCTCTATAGTATGTCTCCTGAACGGCCAACTGGAAATAGGCGGGATTGGCCTTCACCTGAGCTAGTAGGGACTCCATTTTAAACTGCTCTATATTTCCTGTAGTCGCATTTGTATCCACTTGGACGTGACGGAACTGAGTCTTGAAATTGCGCCCTGGAAATGGGCAGGTGAACTCCACATATTGCTTTAGTTGTAGCTCTCCTTTCAGTTGTATGTGTCCATTTGGTCCATTTGTAGGCCGGTTGGCAAGAGGTAGTTGATAGGCCAATACGGACGGAGGTGATAGATCACATTTGTGTTGCAGTGATGCCTTAAAGAAGAGTAGCAAATTAAAGCTGAGCAATCGATTAGGCACATCCTGCAGTTCCAGTTGGAAATGGGCCCGATCAGTGACTCCATCGTAGTCCACATCCTCAATCCAGTACCTGGTGGTGGTGCAGCTATTGGTATATCTTTCCATTTGGGCATTGAAATTGCTGAATGTGCTGCAGGCGATCAGTGATTCCTCTTCCTCGTATTCCCCCGCTTCTGTTGTGCCCACGAATATGTACTCATAGGTGAACTGCACCATAGGTTGTTCGTATAACACTCTTGATTCTGATATCCCAGAATAAGGACTGAGCATGGATACTAGCAAAACCGGAAGCATTACGGAGAGTGCGATGAATGCCAGGACCAAAAGTGAGGCAAATGAGCACAAAGAGTTCTTGTACACGATCGCCGTGTTAGTCGTATGGAGCGGAATGAATCTCATCTTGCTTATGAACAAATTATTCCGGTTTCTTATGAGCACCTGCTCATTTGACACTTGTCATCAGAATGTTATGAAAATTCGTTTTACTTGCAACGTTGCTTGGCAACCTTAATATTTATAAGCATCTTGCTTATTTGAGACCTCCGATTTTGTTCAAGTTTTATTTTAATATTTTAGTGTCATGGTTGCGAAAAAAAGATAAAAGTAGTTCTAATCTAATAGGACTTATTCAGACTTTTAAGCAATTTGGTTCAAACGTTTCTTATCGATATTTATCTAGTTAAAATTCCTCCTACTGGTTTAGCGAATGCACCCACCAACTTTGGATTTGTAGAATATAGGCGACACCTAGCGTTAGGTTGCAAAAGCTTAGCTAACAACAATTCGTTTTCTAAAAATTAAATCAAAATAAGTGTTAATTTTAAATATAATAAATAATTCTATTTATATTCCTACAACTAGTTGTATTTTAAATTTCAACATAATATTTCCAACATAAATTTCAAACATTTCCGCCTTAAGCAACCAACCTCGCTCCTCTCTCATTTTCCATCTCCTTTAAGAAGTCAAAGTTTCCAATTGCTATATTAGCCAGTGCCTTGACCATGGTCCCCCAGTTAAACCCCATTCCCCTGGCAGTACACATCCGTTCCGGCTATAAGCCGATGCCAAAAAGTATTGATTGCACATAATTATAGGATTTCGATAGGGGCCCTCTTGAAGCTCGCACAACACCCAAACCCAAACGACTGAAGTGAAAAGTGAGCCTGCAGAAAGAGGGGCCAAAAAGGGATAAATACGAAAATGAAGAACGGAACGCATAACTTGGCCAACATTTGCTCATAATTAAGACCGCCAACTGGTTTTCATTTTGGCTTCGGGAGGATCGAAACGCTTTCGTGTGCACCGCGTAAAAATCGGAAGTTGCAGCTTTGCATTTAATGCGCTTATTTTAAAGAGTGTTGAAAGCGGAGCACTCAAAAAATAAAAATAAACTATGTACATAATTGGTCAGGCGAAAGAAGAGTGGCCAAAGAAAGAGGGTAAAATTATGGAATATAATGAAGATATTAATGCGATATCTGACATAGTTTTGTGGAGAAAATAAATAAATTAACAATATTTGTAGGGAATGGGGGAAAACCTACTTGCTTTTAGGTTTAAAGTTCAAAATTGAATATCAGATACTAATGGTTATAGTTTCTATATTATTTATTCAAAATAGCAAAAGAACATTCGACATAAACTTCTTGAGCTAATCAAATATTTAAAAAACTAAAACTTGTACCAAAACTTTTAAGTAAGATATCTATTTCTAGAAACCAACCCATAATAAAGACTTCAATCTCGTATTGTCACTTACCTGTCACCTTTGCAACTTTTCCACTTTTGATTGGAATGTTTACCTTATGTTCGTTATATATCCGCGTGACATGTCAGGTTGGACAACAAAGTTTTTCTGATTTGTCTTTTGACTGCTGCCGTCTGACATGTGTTTTGTGCATATTAAAAATGTGTGGTAAAAATGATGACCTGCCAGGCGGTGTCACTGCCAAAAACTACCAAAAAAGAGCGATGAATAAATAAAAGTGAATCAGAATTTGACAGTTGCGTCAGCTATATGTGCGCCCGATCCCTGACAGTTGCTGCACAATTATTTTGGCTGATTCAACATCCTGGCTGGCATCCGGAATTTAAGCAGCTTGAGAATAAAGATGTTACCCCCACAAAAAAGAAAATCAATAAGTTTTCTACATTTTCTTTTTCCACATTGCCACGCCATTTTACAAAAAGGCCGAAAGGAAGAAAAAAGAAAAGAAATGGGTGGAAAGTTTGTATGTAAAAGCCAAGATGGCAGACAAGCAGACAGATAGGGCGGGGGCTACCATACGAGAATATATATAGCGAGATATATATACAAACGCAGTTGGAATTCAGCTCACGGCCCCAGGACAATGCCAGCTCTGTGCCCATATATCCTTTTTCAACGAAATTTCAGCTTTCACTCGTTTCGCGTACGTGACCGTGTTGCCACCAAGGAGCTGTTGAAGTGGCAAATTCGCACAGCGCCACCATTCCATTTGCTGGGTTTTTGTTGAGGGGTTGAGTGTGGAGGCGGGTTGGCTATATGCTATATGGGTTGGCTGTGGGTGGTTTTGGGGAGGGTGTGCGCCAGGTGGGCGCTGGCAAAAAGTAGCAGTTTATTAGGCGCACCAAATTAACATAGGACTACTAATGACTGCCACGGCAAACTAACTAAGCAGGCGAAAAGTTGGGTAGCGGGTGGACTAATGGGTGTTGAGGGGCAGGAAGCTGGAATTTGGGTCCGTGGCAGTGTCCTGCTAATTAAGTTTGCTCCAAGGTTCTTGAAATCTGGGTAAGTTATGTCTTAGTTGATAAGAACTCGCTGCTACTCAACACCTACAATTGCCTTTGCTTAGTCTAAAATTAAGTTAAAGTAAGTTAAGTTTAAGTTTAAGTTAAAATTAGCATAAAAATATTGAAAAATCATGGTTTATCATTAAAGTACAATGTTATTTAATATTATTGAATACAAATATTATGGCAACATCCATTTGGACCAAATATTAATACCTATTTTAGCTTTTCCTTTGGTATGCATGAACATAAAAGTGTAGATGATATTCCAGATTACGTATAAAATCTCTTTACTGTTCAAAAACAAATGGATAAACTCTTAGAAATATTAAAATTTGTTTAAATGTTATTATTAATATGTAAAGAAAACGCAGTAAACCCAATTTATCCCACTCACCCGAGGGTGTTGAGCACTCAATGCCGGCTGAAAAATATTACAACGCCTGCGCGGATTTACATCCTTTCCTGTTCGGTCCAACACCAAATCCAATCCTCACAGACCGACACCCCTTCAACTGGATGCTGGAATGGAAGGAAAAAGGGGAAATTCGTTCGCTTTCCCTAAAGCTTTCCTTTTTTTTTGCTGTTTTGTTTGGCTTGCGCTTAGCTCCCCAAGGAAATCAAAGGGAAAACACAACGTATGGAGTACGTTGAAGTGGTTTTAATATTTATACAGAGTTCATGTCTCTATCTGAGGGAAATTCCCCTTACAACACTCAAGTGGAAAAGTGTTATGTACGAGTATCTGTGTATCTGTGAGGGGTATTCACTCAAGGATGCCGCAGGACGACGGATGGGGCAAGGGGCGATGCTGCACAGTTCCTTTTCGTGAACTATATTTGACAATCAAGCCGCAAGCATATGTTACCCGATAATTTGCCGAAAGTTTTAATGAAAGACATGGGACTCATTTTTCCTGCCACACACCCCCATTGCTTGTGTGTGTGCATGAGTTAATGTCCTTTTTGTGTGAGTGCGTTTTCCTCCTTGTTTTGTCGCCATTTTGTCCTTGTCTGTGTGAGCCAAGCATATTTTGATGAGCTCGAGAAAAGCAAGTGTCCTTTTGCCAGAACTTCTACCCATTTTTTCTCGTTGTGTGGGTGCGCCTGTCCTCGGTTTATGTGTATAATTTCCATTTTATAAATGACTTTTCCGGAGAATTTTACGGATAGCCGCAGGCCACTGTAATCACGCCATATCTGTTGAAAGTTTACAACTTTTTGCTAGCTTTTTTGGAATACAAATTGTAAGGGGTTCGCCTCTTTTGCTAGTTGGTACTAGTTTTGAGAAAGTATTGAGGGGCTGTAGTTTAATGGGTTTTAATTTGTTTAGAAATATTTAAGAAATATATAGATAAGATAGTTTCGATTTTTATACTTTCGATTTTTATACTTTCTATATTAATTTGTTCCTTTAAACTTTTGTTAAAACTCTTTCCCTTCTCTTGTACTTTATTAAAAATGTATTAAAATTGTAAAACATATTATCAGAGTGAAATGAAAACAAGGAAATGTCATTTCCGTTGTGACAAATTTGTTCAGTTAGCATGTTACATGCTTTTGGGATTGGTCAAAACAAGAGTTTTTAACTACCCTTCAAAAGCAATAATTTTAATTGGTTTATCTTGTTATTTAGGAAATTTAAAGATAGTTTTATATTATTTTATAAGATATAAGAATTTAATAAATATATATATTTTAAAAGACTGAAAGATACCATCTATCTTACCCAAAATCCTGTATCATTTTCCAAACAAAGTGTATGAAAAAAGAGTCAAAATGAAAACAAGGCTTACACCCACCAATTCGCCACCGCTTCCCGCTGGGAGGCGCTGATGCAGACGACTAAAAACTGGACAGGTTCGTGGTCGTGCAGAAGGAGGAGGGGTAGCCGACACTCTGTCATACAATTTTTCCGATGTTGTTGCTACTTCCTTGGTCCCTGCTGTTGTTTTTTTTTTCGCCCTGCTGTTGGTAATAAGCGTAAAACTTTGACAGTTTGTTATCCGCATTTGTTTGGTGGCTTGCAGTTTTCATTTGCCAGCATTTTTTGTTTCTGTGTTCGGCTTTATTTTTTATTTATTTTGAGTTTTTTGTGGCTCACTGTTGGTGCTTTTTATCCCCCCAGCGAGCACCTGTTAAAGTTGCCGGAGTGACAGCAGCGGCACTTTCTAAACGGCTCACCCGGGAGCTGCCGCATGATAAGCGTTGTCCACGAATGATCTGCCAGGTCCTCATCCTCTGTTACTCTCCTTTTTTTGTGGGTGTTCCAGGGCAATTAGAACAACAAGAAACATTTAAACAGATGCATGTAATTTTGTGGTTTCCAGAAAAAAACACACTTTTCGTGTTCCGTTCAATACTTTTCTCACCTTTTTTCCCAAAAAACGGATGTTAACTGTAAGGGTTATCATTTTTTAACCACTTTTCCGCTTTTTTGTGCTGCCCATTTACCACATTTTTCTTTGTAATTATAAATTTAAACATTTTATTGATGTATAACTCGGAAGGTACTATATAATTGCGGTTTGGTGGGGTAAAAAGTGGGCATATCGACCACAATTAGGGATCACTTATGTCAAATTTATGACACGAAATTAAATGCAATGAACACATTTTTGAGGGAAAAGAAAATTATGGAAAATATTATGCTTCTTTCTGTAAACTGAACTAAACTCAACATTAAACACTTCTTTAAGATC